CATTTTCTCTTGGACTGAGAGAAATACCATCCTAGTAGAGTAATATGAAGTTAAGAGAACACAAACAAATAAGAGACCTTTTGTCAATCTATCGAGAAGAGAATAGTGAGTGAAAAGCATTTCAAATAAAATTAAAATTCAGTTCTGGAACCATACAATGAGAGAGAATATAAGTAAGTATACCAAATGATCATTTTCTCTTGTCCTAAGAAAAGGACCATATTATTACAGAAATATACTCTCTGTGTTAATATTCAAATGCATCCGAATCTTATTCGCTGGTATATTTTTTTTGTATTGTTCACCAGCGCTATTGGAATCATTACATAGGAAAAAGTCGGCTTTGTTATCACACTCGTTTTTACTATTAGTACTTGTCCAAGGACGCCATATTTTAAACAAATAACAAAAATTTTAAGTAATTATAACTTCGCCAAAATCGAATTTCAACACTCAAATCGTGATCAGTTCCTGAACTGAACATTGACAAAAAGACACCTCTAACCATCCTCACATTCTATTGGTCACCGTAACATGACTTCTAATTCAATTTTATGACTCTTCAGCCAATCACAAAACTCGGTTAGTGAAAATTATCCAAAACGAACCGCCTATTTTTTCAGTCCACGTGGACTAATTCGTAGCGGCATTATTTATTTGTACTGTTTTTTTTGGCCTTTGATTTCTTCGTTAATTTTGGGCATGCATTGTTAAACGTCGTCAACGGGGATCCAGATTTGTTTGAAAGGTTCATTACTGGTGACGGACCACGGGTATACTGGTATAGCTATGACATCAAAACCAAATGTCCAATCTTCCCAATGCAAGAGCCCAAGAGAGCCAAGACCAAAACAAGCACGCCAAGTTCTATCAAAAGTCAAGGTTTTGCTCACTGTTTCCATCAATTAGCGTGGCGTAGTGTCACATCGTCATACCTTCAATAAGGAGTATTATTCATTGAAACCGGTATATCAATTACAGAGATCTTATAAAGGTTGGGCGGAAGAATAGATGTTGTACACACTCATTTCTAAAAAAAAATGTACCTATCAGTTCTGGTGTACAGAAAAGGTGTTTTCAATGGATTTATTCAAAACCAAATATTCCAATTCTGCCTATATCAACAAACGAATCATGCTGAATACATCTCTGCATTACTAAATTTCCGACAATAACAAATTTACATTTACTGAGGTAGTGGTCATTTGTTGTTCATCGTCTTCTGTTATGGGATCTGTGAAGCGATTCGGGCTTTATTTGAATTTTTGTTTTATAATATCACGGTTGATAATAGTTGCTGGCTATAGTGTTGGTTTGGTGAGTAACTGAGTTATTTTCTCTGATATGTTTGTTTAACGTAGCTGTAGTTAGTATAGAAGAAAATAGAATATCACTTCACATAAAAATATTTTATTTGATATTAGATTTAGTTTAATATCAGCGACCTGGAGATTGAAATGAAAAAATTAACAGAAGAATATCACTCGATTCAAAAAAAGATCTCGGTTCAACTCTAGCTGAAGAGATGTAGAATACAAGGAAACCTTTGAAGACTTGCAAATTTGACCCCTTGACCTTCACTTTCAAGGTCGAACTTTCATTATTTCCATTGTTTCTGTAGATCACGAAAATTTGCTGAAATGCTATGTCTTCTTTCAAAACTATATGGAAAGACAGAAGAAATGAGCGGTCACACGTCGAAAAACAACAGAGCTATTAAAAAATTACGTAATTAGTATCGCTATATGATTACATAATAGATTGTGGTAATAAATTGCCAACGATAAATTGTGTAATTATTTTTATCAGTGTGGCGCCGAAGAAATATCTGGCGATGACCAGGAAAAATCTACGCTCAACAGTAGGAAATCTGACTGACCACTGTCAACTAAGGAAACACCTCCATAATATGGGGCTAGTAGACACACCTCTATGCAGGATGTGTGAACAGGAAGATGAAACTCTCAGGCATGTCCTATGTGAGTGTCCGGAGTTATCGTCAATAAGAGAGTGAGTGTTCGGCGAGTCTTGGCGATATAAAGGAGATGTCTCCTAGTGACCTGTCCACCTTCCTGGAAAGGACAGAATGAACAATGACCTAGAGGAGGACAACTCCTCGGGAGGATGTACAATAGGTCATATGTTGCCAGTGTGCAGTTAGTCTACAAAAATGAAATATTCTTCCTTGTTGATGAATCCCATTCATTGATGATTCTCTTTTCTAATTCATGGACCATGATGGTTTGGTTTGGTTACAGAAAGTTATAGTGAATCACAACAACCGCTGACCACCATACAGTAACCAAGGTAAAAAGATAAATGAAAATTTCTATGTTTTCCACCACTTTTCGTGTGGCACCCACGTTTCAAGCCTCTTGACCTTTTCAATACGTGTTTAACCATAAAAACCGCATGGTAGTGATATGGGCCCAAAGATCTATAGTCTTTTTAACGATGAATTTAGACGATTGTAAAGATCCTGAAGTTAAATTTAGCGAAGGCTCAGTATATTTCAAAGGTACTGGTGGTGTAGAGAAGAATGATTACGAAGTGACCATTCCCTTGTATAAAGGAATAGATTTTGAAAAAAGCAAACACTTCCATAGAAAAAGGTGTATTGAAATACTACTAGTCAAAGCAAATCCAGAAGAACCTTACTGGCCTTCCCTGACATTAGATGAAAGCTAACATCATTGGTTGAAATGTGATTCCAATAAATGGATGAAAATGATGATGATTACATTTGAAGATGACTCGGAAGATGAGGGTGTTGGGGAATGGGAGGAGGAGGAGGAGGTGGTGATTTTGAGGAGATGATGTGACAAATGGTTCAGGTGGTGCTGGTGGCAAACCAAACTTTGAAGACCTCGACGGGGATGAAGGTGGTTCGGATGATGATCCCATTCCATAAAGTTTTTACATTGGTTTTTGTATTTTTCTGAACACTACTGTCAAGTTTTGGGTAGAAGTAGTATTAGACAGTGTGGAACAAGTACAATGAAAAAGTAAGTTATCCATTGAACGAAAGTTAGAACTTCTTACAAAACAACAAATACACCGAGATCTATATTCACACATACAAAACCCAACAACACAAAGAATAGAAAATTGTATTTATAATTGCATTTATTGCCATAAAAATGGCGGCAGGTGCAAGTCCACTGTCATTCAACTCTAAAGAAAACAATGAATTTATATGTAAACTATGTCAGAAAAAAGTTGTGCAGAAAGCAATGTGTATATAATGTGAAGACACTTTTCATCCTGCATGTCTCAGGCATGCTAATGAGTCTAAAAAAGGTGATTGTAAGCATGTGGTGGGAAATCAAAACCAGGGTAAAGAAAGAAACCAAAGTGATCTTGTCTACACTGAGGAAATATTTCTAAAAGAAGAAAATAAACTTCTAAGAGACGCAATCCAGAATAAGGAAACAATTATAAAGGACAAAGAGATAGTTATCTCATTATTGAATGACAAAATCGCATTTCTAGAAAATACTTTGTCACAATATAGCTACAACTATCTTCACAAAACTCTATCTGAACACAAAAACGGCAGGCAAATAGCACAAAAAGAGGCCTATCAGAAAAAGGTAAGGCTGAAAAAACCAGACATACCAAGCAAAACCTTATAAATGAGTCAGAGGTAATAAACAGCCAGAAATCGGAGAATGCCCAATTACAGGGTGATTCATTTCTCAAAGTGAATCAGATTGCACCAAAAATACTACAAATTCAAACAGAACAAAAAATGAACAACTCATAATGTTCACAGAAAATGACGAAAAAACACAGCATGATTATTTTACGTGAATCGAAAACTTGGATTTTGAAAATAAGATTACTTGAACAAACATATCACCCATACATTAGGCTCAATTGATGAAATAATATTCAAAATTTAGCTTTTGGCAAACACTTTTTTGTATAATGATTCAAATGAAAATCCCTTCATCTCAAGATTTGAACAAATTATCATTTGTAGAACAAAATTTTGAAATATATGGATAGTACACATTTTGAAGTATTGAACTTGGTGCACTCGCGAGACTAGATAAATATGCTTCATCAGCTCTGACTATTTACATGATATACTGCATTCACTAATGAAGGAAAAATATGTTTATCCTACATTACAATAAATAATGAGTTTGATATAAGAGCAGTTATCATTCATTTCATTGAATGACACTATTTGATTGGGTTGCGAAACAGATAACAAATTCTGATATCACAAAACTCAAAACCACAGGGACCACAATTAATTTTAACTATTACCACCCTGAGAAGAATAGTTTAATAATAATTAGTATGCGATTTCTTTAGAACTTTCGAAATACTTCTGGACTCACCGTAGCCATCTCATGTGTTGTGTCATCAATATAGTAAGGTAGTAAATCGAAATCAATTATCAATTAAAAAATTACTTGTACTTGTTTTCAAATTATCATATCCACATTGTCACAAGTAAACACAATTCAGGTACTCAATTAAGCTAAGTACGCCTATTATTACCTACAGTGGTGTTATATAAGGGCTAATGTAATCAATAATTTTTAGTTTAATGTATACGTTTAAAAATGTCCTTATAGGACCAAACTGCAGTAACGTTAATNTTACAGAGATCTTATAAAGGTTGGGCGGAAGAATAGATCTTGTATACAAGATCTATTCTTCTGTCTGTATACAGACTCATTTCTAGAAAAGAAAAATGTACCTATCAGTTCTGGTGTACAGAAAAGGTGTTTTCAGTGGATTTATTCAATGCCAAATGTTTCAATTCTGTCTATCAACAAACGAATCATGGTGAATACATCTCTGAATTAGTAAATTTCCGACAATAACAAATTAACATTCACTGAGGTAGTGGTCATTTGTTGTTCATCGTCTTCTGTTATGGGATCTGTGAAACGATTCGGGCTATATTTGAATTTTTGTTTTGTAATATCACGGTTGATAATAGTTGCTGGCTATAGTGTTGATTTGGTGAGTAACTGAGTTATTTTCTCTGATATGTTTGTTTAACGTAGCTGTAGTTAGTATCGAAGAAAATAGAATATTACTTCACATAAAAATATTTTATTTCATATTAGATTTAGTTTAATATCAGCGACCTGGAGATTGGAAGAAAAAGTTAACAAAAGAATATCACTCGATTCAAAAAAGATCTCGGTTCAACCCTAGCTGAAGGGATGTAGAATACAAGGAAACCTTTGAAGACTTGCAAATTCGACCCCTTGACCTTCACTTTCAAGGTCGAACTTTCATTATTTCCATTGTTTTTATAGATCACGAAAATTTGTTGAAATGCTATATCTTTTTCAAAACTATATGGAATGACAGTCATACGTCGAAAAACAACAGAGCTATGAATTTTCAAAACCTTTCGAACTTTAAAAAAATTCTGCAGATGTGCATTCGCTTCTACATAATATCATAAAAATTCGGAGGTATGCAATTGCGAATCAAGAAAAAAATTCTATATTTTTATTTTCGAAAATTTTGAAGAGAACATTCATTAATATATTGATAAATGATTTTTCCTTCATATTGCTTCATATAACTTTATATAACAAACCACAAATGAACAGTATTGCATATTCTTTCCAAAACGAGCACTTTTCCCGAACAATAGAACTGCAATACTATGTTTGACGCGCGTTTCAATGATGAAGTTGGTGAAAAGTGTTCGTTCTGGACTCATTCTATACCAGAGATGCTAGTTTCATCATTTACTAGATACTAGCGAGCCGGGCCGGTTCCGCACGGGTGCAATGCTGATACTAAATATACATATAAACGCGTGCTATTCATGAAGTGCGGCCTTCGACGCGCTATTTATAGGCTCGCGACGCCGGCCCCCCTTCCGGTACCACCGCAACTCTGCATTTTGAAAGTATAGTATCTTCGAAAATATTCATTTAAATTACATGCTGTAAGGGCCATATTGATTCATATTGAATGCTCACTGTATTTAAGGTACTTATTTGAATGAGGATAATTACTTTCTAGATAAGCCATGTTTCCTTGAGGATAAAAAAAGGTTATCGTGGGTTATCCCCACGAGATAGACGTATACCATCCCGGCCTTTTACACCAACTACACCTACACCAACTATAATTGCATTTAAACGAAAATATTGTTGTCCAGTTTGTGATTTCATACGGTGCTTTTCTTTGATGTCCATCCACCTCTTATTTTTTGAACGGGTCAACTCAAAAAAAAATTAAATTTGTGATAATGAAATTAATGCATAAATACTTTATTTGAAGTGAAATTCAAAATGGTGACTGGGAGCCATCTGGTATAAAAAATGAAATGGAAAGGAGGGTCTTGTCACACATCTTTTTGAAACTCCTGAAAAATGCTTCACAACCCTAAAATATAATGTGAATATCTTCAACTACTACAAAATGGCGGAACTTTTGATAGTTGCCTGAATACATTGACATTTAACTACATAATATGAGGTAATAAGCTTGAGGTCAGTTCAGAAGGTNAATTGACCATTTCAGTGATTGTTGACGTGATACCTTTCTACAAGTAAAACCGAAAACTAAATGAGAATATTCTAACTCAACAATGATGTTCATTGTCGCATTGACATTTTTTGTTGTTTTTATTAACAAAAAATAACTTAAAAATCCTTATTTGGTTTTTGGAATTGCCATATGGCAGATACAAAGGAATATTTCTAGAAATATCGATATTAATGTGGTTGTCTTCAGGAAATTATTAAATGTTTCGATATTTTGTAGTAGGTGAAGATATTGACTTCATATTCTATTGGAATATGTGGAATTGGCCGCGGTGGTAGTGAGCCCGACTCACGATCTGAAGACCGTGGGTTCGATTCCTGCCTCACACGTTGAAAGGTAAGACCTCGTTAGTCCTTAGCTCGCACAAGTTTCTCAACTTCTGAGAGTTGTCGTTCGTTTGGGGGCGACAGCTGATTAACGGAAAAACAGATTTCAAAACAGATTTTGAAACAGATTTAAAACAGATTCTTCAGGAGCTTCAAAATGATTTCTCACATAACCCCCCCATCCTAACCAATTTTTTTTCCTGATGGCGACTGGGCGGTTTCATCTGTCAATTTCACTTCAAAATAAATGCATTAATTTCATTATCCCAAATTTCAATTTTTTGAGTTGACCTGTTCAAAAAATAAAAGGGAGGGGAACATTAAAGAAATGCATTGTATATTTTATCATCATTTTTTCTCAGCTATTTAGTATAATTCCTATTCGCCACCGCAAGAGACAGTTTGAGGCAAAAATGTCAGTCATTTCTGAGAATTTAGTGCCTACTATTTTAGAATTATATACTTTAGTAACTGATAATGAGAAGGTTTTGCCTTTGCACTTATCCATCTTCATAAAGAAAATGCGGGATACCTATTTTCAAAATAAACTCTTTACGAAGATATGTGGATCATATAAATAAGTAATTTTCAACTACAAAATGGAAAAACACCCTCTAGAAACACTTACTTCCATATGAACATTGAATTACACGAAACGAAAAATTTTTTTGAAGTAACTACTTTCATGTGAACATTGAACTATATAGTTTCGAGATACCTAGACCTATGTACCTGAAAACAATACAAAAACCATATTGTGATCTCAACCTTAGGAACGATTCACTACATAAAACAAAACCAACGCAATCTTTCTTCATCACACTTGTTGCATCGGTATATCAAGCCACTTGAATTTATTTCCCCGCGCGATATTTTCAATTTTACGATAGCTTCTGAGGTATTGATTCGAATTGTTTGGTGTGGAAGACTATAATAATGTTCCTGAAATGCTTAAGGCAATCAAAATATTTATTTGATAGGGGTTGATATCTCATTCATCTGAATACATCTCCAATTTCCACATATCTGTTGCCATATCCGTTAGGTAGTTATTGAGTATATCGCGTTCAAACAGACAGCCAATTACTGCGGAGGACCTCAATTCATAATATCCATATAAGTGATAAGGCCACACTTTTGATATCCTTATTTATTCTAGGAATTTGACCTAAGTAACTACTATCATGTGAACAATGAACTATATAGTTTCGAGATACCTAGACCTATGTACCTGAAAACAATACAAAAACCATATTGTGATCTAAACCTTAGGAACGATTCACTACATAAACCAAAACCAACGCAGTCTTTCTTCATCACACTTATTGCATCGGTTTATCAAGCCACTTGAATTTATTTCCCCGTGCGATATTTTTAATTTTACGATAGCTTCTGAGGTATTGATTCGAAAATATTTATTTCATAGGGGTTAATATCTCATCCATCTGAATACATCTCCAATTTCCACACATCTGTTGCCATATCCGTTAGGTAGTTATTGAGTATATCGCGTTCAAACAGACAGCCAATTACGGCGGAGGACCTCAATTCATAATATCCATATAAGTGATAAGGCCACACTTTTGATATCCTTATTTATTCTAGGAATTTGACCGCCGGTGGAAAAATAGTGTTTTTTCAAATCGGACAGAACGGACCGAGGAGAAAAGCTCGAAAGGTAAGAAATTGGAAAACGGTATATATCATTTCTAGGAATGATTCTATAAATGGATGGATGTAGCCGTTACTACGTGGTAGGAAATCATAATGAAGTAAAGATAATTGAAAACTTTCCATATTGGAAGCTTCCTATGCAAAGAAGGGTTACAAACTCAATTATTTAGAATCCTTGGATATTCACAAGCATGAACATTGATTGCGGGTGCAACCAGTTCAATGATCAAATCGATTTAGTTTACTCACCGGTTTTCAAATTAGCATATCCGCATTGTAATTAGTGAACGAAATTCAGGTATAGTATTTCCAAAACCAATTGGAACAGCACAGAGAAGGAATTCCCGCCTCGACATAGGCGTCGGCATATTGTTTTTCAGTGGTAGTTTTTCAGTTACTTATTCTTACAATCATAGCAATTGATCACCCCATGAAAAAGTTATCTCAACTGAATTTTTCCACCATGGGTAATTATGAAAAAATTTCGAAATTTAAGGTAGTTGATTTTCGAGTCAAAAACTCTAAAATACAACATGACTCATACAAATACTCATGAAAACACAAATAATCACACCGAATTCTCGTCAAACATATATTCAGAAAATAAAAGAGGCCAACAAAATTGCTAGAAAAATCAAAATTCTTCTTCGCTATATTCAGATGAGGTGGAATCATCATTAGGTTGAATAACGATAGGATTTATGGAACTTTGCACATAATATTTATTCTCTTCTTTTATAAAGTGGGCCACACATCACTATTACCTACTCCATTCACCACTCGCCGTATATTGTCAAGCACTACAGCATTCAAAGTCGGTGACTGATTACATTTCTGCAAGCTTTCTTTCATTGTGGCCCAAACCCTTTCAATTGGATTGAACAGACAATAGTATGGAGGCAAACGTAAGAGAATATGACCACGTGTTCCACACATCGAATCAATAATATACTCTTTTTTGAAATTACGTTGTTTTATGGTCGCCAGTAATACCTTTTTTGTTGGAATCTTTTCGGGTATTTCCATGTCATGATTTCGCATGAAATCAAAAATATCTTTGGTTTGGTTTGGTTGGTTGTTTGGTATTGTAGTCAATAACCGAGAATGATACGAAGCGTTATCTATAACAATAACCGAGTTTGGAGGAATATTTGGGAGAAGCTGCTCACTGAACCAGGTTTCGAATAAAGCCGCAGTCATATCTTCGTGGTAATAAGCAGACGAATCTTTTATATTTTTGAACGACAGAAGCAAAGCGTTACCCCTAGTTCATAATAATGCAAGGTAAGGTAAGGTATTCATTTTTTGACGTTCACATTCCATTTCCATAATCTTGACAGCAGCAATCAATCATATGAAATAAATAACTTTCATTTCTATATATTTTCAATTTCAACAATTCACTTTACTGGAGTGTTATAGCCAAATCTTCTGGAGATATCGATCCATATCTTTTTTTTTTAACAATAAAGGCGCGCACTAACAATTTCACTAAATGTTCAAAACATATCAACAAAAATTGATCCTCATCATTTTTCATTCTTTCAAATAACTGAAATTGCCCCTGAGTCTTTCTGCTTCTCAGAATGGGTCTGACATTAAACCTCCTTCTTTTTCGTTTCTTTCTCTTGAGTAAAAGATACACACTTACTATTGACACGATCGCGGCAATTTTTGTATTTATATCCATCAAAAGAAAATCAAATTTCACAATGTGACGTTTAAGTTTATCTGGTGGCATTACCTTTACACCATTCGGATATATCCGTCAAAGTTCGTAGTATGGCGCTTTCTGATTGGTCGGAGGTGAGAACGCAACGCAGAAAGTTGAAATCAGCCAACTTTTTACCTTGCGTTACCTTGCCTTACCAACGTTACCTTACCTTACTTTTTATCTAGAACGCAAGTGTGTTTTCTCAATGCTTCAACTTTCTTACCTTACCTTACCTCGTTACCTCGCGTTTTTATAAACTAGGGGTTAGGTACGAAACCACTTTCATTCCCGGCATGCAAAATTATAACACACTTTCCCCTTGAAGAAGGTGTGTTCAAAGCACAATACTTGGTTTCGCTTACCCAGCCATATTTGACAATATCATGGGTGTCAAACCAAGTTTCGTCGAGGTAGATTATATGTCTGCTGTATTCTCGGTAGCTTTTCATTCGCCTCAAATATTCTTGTCGGAGTTGAACAATGCGTGTCGATTCCATTATGACCATCCGATTGTTCAATTTTTTATATTTGAAACCACAAGACAATAAGACACCTCGTAGAGTTTCTAAAGATTTGTAATTGTAATCGGGATAGTCGAGTAATTTATACCAAATCATTTCCAAGGTTGGTACTTAATTTTTTTTTGGTATATACCATAAATTGTTCGCCGAATCACATCTTTTGTAGCACCATCAACGTTTGTGAATTTTTTATTCCTTTGTTTTCGTTTCATTGCATGGTCAATGACATCCCCTATTTTAATGACTCGAAGAACTGTCCAACGAGATAGTTTCGTTAACTCGCATATTCTATTCACAATAGCATTCTGTGAAGTGTGACAGTTTTCCTTCTTCAAGCATTCATGAATATTTAAAATTACTCGCTGAACTTGAACATGTAAGTCCTTATTTTCAAATTCCGGATCCCTGTCGATTGACACAGATTCCTCACACGTAATGTTATTATTTGTTTCAAAAGGTCTCCAGAAAGGCATATTGATGGAAGTACCCAAAAACACTAAGATTTTTACAAAAATCGATTTAAACGATGTGATTGGAACCTTTGGTGTAAAAGTTGAAAACTTTTTCTAGGGATCAATTACCCTAACACGAAACTGATGTTTTTGCACTCGACGCGTGTTTCGCAAACAAGGTTAGCATCTTCAGGAGAAGCAAATCAATATTAAATCTAAAGACAAAGGTTAGCTGTTTATATACCTGAAGTTTTTTGGTCCGATGTGTACTTTGTTTGTTAAATAATGATCATCCTAATTTTTTCGGTAATTAACTAGTGGAACCACTACCTGCAAATTAATTAGTCAACAATAGATTGAAAAGTGGACAAATTGATTTGCAGGTAGTGGTACCACTAGTTATTAACCGAAAAATCAATTAGGATAATCATCATATAACAAACAAAATCCATATCGGGCCAAAAATCTTCAGGTATCTAACCCTTGTCTTTAGATTCAGTATCAATTTGCTTCTCCTAAAGATGTTTTGGCAATAGTAGTTTATAGTGGAAGTCATACAATAAACTATATGAATTAGTTTCAAAATGGATTTTCACAAAGTATCGGCCAGTTCTATTCAATTTTTCACACATTAGATTCCATAATTAATTTCAGGTGATTCAATTTTTTCATGAAAATCAATTTTCTTCAGAAAGTACATCCTGAAAAAAGGATATTCAGTGGTCTGTGGTCTGTGCTGACATAAATTTTATCATTGGCAGTGATAGTGTTGTTAATGAAAAATCATCAGATAATCCACTTCCACCTCAGTATGGAAGAAGTTATTCAATATTGAAATACTTCCATTTGAAATAATCAAAATTACTATCGTGTGATCTGTTGATTTTCTCTATAAACATAAAAGTGTTTTTGAATTCGATGAAAATCAGAAAACTATTATCAACAGATTTCCATCGGCAAACACTTGTGACAGCTACGATATACCATGGCCGCACGAAAAGACATATATCTACAACTTTGGAGGAGGTAAGGTGCATGAAAATATATTCTATATATTCCAATTGAAATAAATTCGCCACACACCAGAACTGAAACACTCCTCTTGATGCGCGTTTCACCCATCAAGTTGTTGTTATCAGACGACTTAAGTGTTTAGATCACTCCATGACGACGCCAAGTTGGTTGGTGAAATGCGCCAGTTCTGAAAAGTAGTGTGAAATAACTGAGAAAATATATTATATGTGAGTTTATATTTTATAGAAAGGAATACACACCAAGCACATTGAAATTAATATAGATGTCGATGGAGATGCATTGACTTTAGATTTGACGTTGAATAAGAAACTGATACCAGAAGGATTTTTCCACAAATACCAAAAATACGGTATTTCTGAAACAGTTGTTCCAAATGAACAGGTAAGTATTTGTCATTTTCGATTGCCATAAAGAAAAAGATGAACTGATGTTACTATGTTATGTAATATTTGATATTTTACTGTATCATCCAAATTTATCAGAAATGATAATATTCATTGTGATATTTACATCAATTTTCTTGAATTCAACCAAATTATCAGACGGCGGATTCTTATCTCTTCAAGGTTGAGTACCCTAAAAAATATACATTTTCATAGGAACGTTTTCTACTCGTCCATATTTATACTAAAAAATGTGGAAATCTTCCAAAGAAACAAAGACAAATTAATTTCACATAAACCCTTTACAAATATGTGTAGATTTTGTAAAAAAATAACCTTCCGACACAGACCGGAAGAGACGATGAAAAAGTAAAAAGCCAAAACTTTTCTTTCCCAAAAATAATATCTCCTAAAAAATTCCTTCTTTCAATTTGAAGATGAACAGTTATAGTTCACTTTCCCTCTCTTGATTTTTAGATAATTCATTCTACTAACCATAAACATTATGGAGAATTTGAAAAACATTGGAAAACGAATCTCCCTGAGGAAATTTTGAAATATATTGGCCTTCTCAGCACAGTAGTTTCCTTAAGAGATACTCATTTGGTTAATTTAGAAGTATTAACTTTCATAACTATTGCTTACGGGTCACCAGAGGTTTTTCTAGGATCAGTCAAATATTTGAAATTTCCCATGTTTCCAGATCTTCAGAATATCCATTGGTAATATTTTGTTAATGAATGAGCAATAGAGCTGCAATAATTGATTCACATGGTGTTTCCATATAAAGGTGGAATTTGGAATTCTAACAAAAAAAACTGTTGCCAAACAATATTTCCCAACTTTCATCCTGAGTTGTTTTTCTCAACAATCTTTTTTTTTGTTTGGTTTGCATCTTTGCTGGTATTTCTAACATCTATCTATTTGATGTCGCAATATTATGTATGTTTCCTTGGAACTCAAATGCGGAGACTTCTAAGCCAAAAACTTCGTCTTTCACTTCGAACAGAGACCAACTGAAGAAATATTGAAGAATTCTATAAATTGTACCATTTTTCATTAAGTGCGTTCCTATTTTTAAATTCAAATAAAACAAATTGTGATTGGGATATCATCGAATTTTTTTTATTCGTTCGAAAGACCTATTGATGCTATTATCCTCCTCAGACCCCAGGTAGCATAAACAGGGTGTAACTGAATAAGTGTAAAACATTTAAGGAGGTGATTCCTCATCGAAAAAAAGACAGGATCTTTCATATAAAGGAACTTCATTGGATCATCCCTTGTTAAGATACAGCCCGTTAAAGTGGGTACAAAAAATTTGTATAACAATTTTTTTCACAAGCACTGAAAAAGTTACAATATTTGAATTGACCTGACGTTTTGTACTACCAAAAAGACACTTAGCCAGTAATTCATTTGGTTTACCCCATGGTTGTAAGGGGTGGAAAATGCAACCCCTAAAATATATTCCCTTTTTGTCTTATTATTTGTTTACCATTTGAAAATTTATTTCCGATAGCCTGTTTCATTCTGAACAAAAAATGTCTCTTGGGTTTTTTCCCAAAATGAACCAGTTTGCAGCAAAAAATTATTTTATGAACAACTACAGAGATACATCGTCATGAATGCGAACTGGATTTATTGTTATTTTGTAGTTAGTACCTACATTAAACGATTAAAGGGTAATAAACAAAACTAATTTATTAATAACAAAACACACAACATGTAGAAATCATAGTGAATGTTCAATATATCTACCTTCAGACATTACGCATGCGTCTAGACGTCGGCGCATTGAGCCACGTATTCGCTCAAATATTCCTGCAGTCTCTCTGATTACCCTGCACGCATCGATGATGCGGTTTCTTAAGTCCTCTACATCGCGAACAGGAGTACGATAAACCAAATGCAGTAAATGACCTCAAATAGAGAAATGTAGTGGATCGAGATCCGGGAATCGAGCGGGTCAGTTCTGTGGTCCTCCTCGACCTATCCACCGATTTGCATATGTTCCAGTTAAATGCTGACGTTCTACTTGACTAAAATGGGCGGGAGCATAAAAAACATATCCCTTCTGACGCCCAAAGGAACTTCCTCCAGCAGTACTGGATGCACTTCTCTTAAAAATTGAACGTATGCCTCATCATTTGATCGAGGAGGTAGGAAAGGAGGCTCAATTAAATAATCACCAATAACTCCGAGCCACACGTTAAGAGAAAACTGTTCTTGATGGTTAGTTTCGACAATAGCGTGAGGGTTTTCATCAGCCCATATGTGGTGATTATGAAAATTGATAATCTTGTCCCGAGAAAAACTACATTCGTCTGTGAATTCTATCGTCTTCAGAAAGTCACAATTTCTTCCAATCATTTCCAGCATCCAGTTGCAAAATTCAAGACGGCTCGGAAAATCTCGCGGTAACAGTGCCTGTACTCGTTGCAGATGGTAAGGGTATAGGAGTTGTTCCTTTAAAATTCGAAATACCGTCATATGATCAACATTTAGCTGGAAAGCAATATTTCTAGTACTGTTAGTAGGTTGTTCTACAATCAAATTAAGTACTGTTTCCTCAAGCAGTGGTGTTCGTACTTCTCGATGGCGACCACAATCCTATGTTCTTTCGTCGAATGAACCATATTCTCGTAATCGTTGATGAAGTCGAGCAAATATTCTATGTGAAGGATGCTGCCGTTGAGGATACATTTCAGGATATCTTCTAGAAGCTTCTAACCCATTCCCCTGTGACAGACCGTAAACGTAATGCATATCAGCCGTTTCCTCATTTGTGTATGCCATTTTAATAACAAGTGAATTATCAAAGTAACAAATTAAGAACAGAACAACACACAATTAGTATTAATTCAATTTAGAAAATTCACAAACTGACAGCGTCATACCAATTTAATTGTCATTATCGCTAATAGCGACCTACTAGATAGATTACTTTCGAATTTTCGCATTTATGACGATGTATCTCTGTAGTTTTCTTAAAATAATTTTTTGCTGCGAACTGGTTTATTTTGGGCAGAAAACCCAAGAGACATTTTTTGTTTAGAAAGAAACAGGCTATCGGAAATACATTTTTAAATGGAAAACAAATAATAAGACAAAAAGGAAATACATTTTAGGGGTTGCGTTCTCCACCCCTTACAACCATGGGGTAAACCAAATAAATTTCTGGCTGAGTGTCTTTTTGGAGTTGTTCTTTTGAAATTCGAAATACCGTCATATGATCAACATTTAGCTGGAAAGCAATCTTTCTAGTACTGTTAGTAGGTTGTTCTACAATCAAATTAAGTACTGTTTCCTCAAGCAGTGGTGTTCGTACTTCTCGATGGCGACCACAATCCTGTATTCTTCTGTTCTTGGTAAACAAATAATGAGACAAAAAGGAAATAAATTTTAGGGGTTGCGTTCTTCACCCCTTACAACCATGGGGTGTAAGGGGTGGAGCCAAAAGGCTGTAAGATACAGCCCCTTGATGCTCCAATGAAATTTCTTTATATGAAAGATTCTATCTTTTTTTCGATGAGGAGTAACCTCCTTGAATGTTTTACACTTATTTAGTTACACCGTGTATGATACCTCAGGTTTATATTTTATTCTCGGCCTCCAGCTCCATTTAGCCGCACGTACTCGATGATACCATGTATGATACACATACACACGGCAAGAAAAATCAGTCAATTGTTTATGTTTACAAGTACACGTGCTACGATGATGTTTTATTGAGATATATTCATTGAACATGTACTACAGAACAGATGAAAAATATGGGCTCTATTTTAAATATTACAAATATTTTGCAATGGGGGATTCGGTTAACGTATCGTGGGTGATATCTTGCGTCTCACTGACTACAAAATTCAATTTCAATGTAAAAATCAGATTATGGGGACTTTCACGAACAAATATAGTTCATTTTTATTTGAAATATTATTTTTTATGTCCTTTGACCGCTTTTTAGCTCGAAGAGATAGCTCTCAACTGAGACTTAGATCAGTCGGACCCCGATGATTTTTCTTCGGACGATGATGAGGATGAGGTTGATCTAGGTTTGGAAAATGTGGTTCCCGATCCAGATGATTTTGAGATCGCAGAAAACATGAGCGATTCATCGAATGAGGAGCCTTATGCACACTACCTACAAGGTTACCAGAAAAAATGGTCACGTACTCGTCAGTTTGAACCAAGTCATTTCAATTTTCAAGAAGAACACACTGACACTGAGTTAGAACAACCAATCGCCTACCTGAATAAATATATTTCGGATAAGAGATTGCCTTTTCACAAACATGCGCGAGGTTTCTGATACAGTTTCTGAAACATCCGAATATGAAATGCGAACATTTTTTGGAGCTTCCACGTTGATTGGAATTTATGGTCTACCGAGGATAAGGATGTATTGGGCGCGAAACACAAGAGTACCTATTATTTCAGACAACATATCCAAAAATCGGTATTTCCAACAAAGATCGCGACTCAAACTTGTGGAAGATCAGAAAGTTTCCAGAGAAGAAAGGAACTTGGACAAATTTTGGAAAATGAGGCCAATGTTGGACATGGTGCAAAAAGGATGCCGCAGTAATGAAAGGAGTCGATATGTATCAATAGATGAACAGATACCATTTCATGGTTGAGTTAAAATACGTCAATTTGTTAGAGGCAAACCCAATCCCATATGACTGAAGAATTTCGTCGTGACAACGCCAAAAGGGTCCCATTACGTTTATCTTCACGAAGGAAAGGGATCGTCTGTGTACCCTTTCTTGGTGAAAATGTCCGAAAAACTTGATGTAGGTGGTAGAATGGTAATGAAACTCACAGAGACCCTGCCAATAGAAGTTTCAGTCTACACCGACAGATACTTTATCTCAATTTCGTTAATCGAGTTACTCTCCTCGAGACAAATAACTCTAGCTGGTACAATTATGGCTTCTAAGAATCCGAAAAACGCAGCATGTTTAAATGATAATCAATTGAAAAAATCAGGCAGTGGTTCACATGATGGGTTAGTTAAAGAAAATGGAAATATTATTCTAACGAAATGGTTCGATTCTAGGCTAGTGCATTTTGCTTCCTCTTCCTCTGGCATTGAACCTTTAGGTAGTTGTATTAGATGGTCTAAGACTGAAAATAAGTACATTACAATCAAACAACCAGCAATTGTAGCCGATTACAGTGCTAAAGTGGGAGGTGTTGATTTACTAGACAGGGTGATTGGAAAATATGCAATGCGTGGACGTACCAAAGAATGCACAATACGTGCAATCTACAACTTTTTCGATTTCGCAGTAGCTACATCTTGGCTCTAATATCCTCAAAATGCCATTACAGAAGGCTCGAGGAGAAAAGACACTTTGGATTATTTTTTATTTCAAATTATCCGTTGCTCAATATCTGATTTAAAGTAAGAAACTTTCTGGAGAAAGTGAAGAAAATTCGGAACGAAGTGAATGTGATGAAGAAGAGACACCACCTCCGAAACAAAGGAAGGTACAACCTGTTCCGGACTGAAGAGTCAGGACCGTTGGTAACATCCACCTACCAGTATTCACGAAGCAAGAACAAAAAACAATATCAAAATGTTGATTTCCAAAATGTGGTAAATAAACGTTTGCCAAATGTAACACGTGCAATATTTATATTTGTTGTACCGTTGACAGAAATTGTTTCGCGCTTTTTCACCAATGAAATGTTTTTATAGATTAGTTTTTTATTTTATGCCTCTAGACCCAACGTATCATATAAGGACACAACACAAGCAGTACAGGAAAATCCTTAAGGCGCTTTCGAAGCGGTGCCTGTGCGACAGTAGCGATTCACATTGGATTTGAATCAGGAAGTTTATTCCACTTGAGCGCAGTTCTCCAGATGAAAGAATTCTTGAAAAGATTCGAAAGATTTGTTGAATAGTGAAGCTAGAGGTGTACTGAGTTGAACCTCAAAACGATGAGCAGCCACAAGCTCATGTTATGTGCCGATTTTGCTGGAATCAAATGTGCCAAGTCACTTGAACGCTTTCTGTCAAAGTATCTGTGAAAGAGAGAAAAATCTCAAACCTTTTTTCGATGTTCCAGGTTATCAAGGTTGCACATGATGTTCGCATATCCAAACAGGCAGATGGCTCTTTGCTGGATGGAATTCAGCAACTTCAGGGTATGTTTGGGAACAATACTCCAAAGAAGGTCTGATCTGAGCTTTATAAGTATTAAAACTTGCTGAGGTGTGTACAGTTTTCTGGTTCGAGACAGCGTTCCAAGCTTTCGAAAAGCAGCCTTTGCAATTCCAGCGACATGATTGTGCCAAGACATATTTGTGTCCATTTTAACCCCCAACAAACTTATCAAAGCAGAAAGCGGAATTGTCTGACCTGACATTATTATATCCTGTTTGGAGACATTTATCTTCTTGGAGAAAACCGATGCTTGGGTTTTTGTGAGTGATGCGAAGTCGAATACCTCAGATTCTCCGGCACACTCTCACAGACAGCGGCGATATTCTTGACAGATCTTGCGTTTCGTGGACGTGAAGTTGTTGGTCGATCATTTACTGAATCAGTGGACTCAAATTTATCCACTACTGCGAATAATGCTAACAGTAGGACAATTATGGGGACCGTGAAATTGGCAGCATTCATGTATTTGTCTGTAAAATGTTTATATTCTTCTCATATCGGAAACCTAGATAACAAAGCAAAACACATATCTATTTTCCAGCAAACAAATCTCTGTGAATACGTTGGGAAAGTTCGAGGTAAACCAACCTCGTGGGTCTCAGTATCTACCTGCGAAGGCCTCTCTGGGGTCATTTTTGATGGAAATGAATTACATTATATCGAGAAAGATAGCTCCAGAGATTCCAGCAAAGGGTTTTCTCATTTTCTATACAGTTACTCGAATTTAGCTCGAAGTAACGCAAGCTGTGGACATGGAGAAAGTAATGGTGATCATGAACACCTGTATCCGAATGAAGAGCTGCGTAGGGTAAGTAGAAATAATTCAATTGTGATGTCACTCAATCTCACATGTCTTCATCAAAGTGTTTTTGAGGAAGAAGTCATGGCTGAAAAAAGTTTCGAAGGACACAATATTATAATCATTACAAGCAACAATTGTATTTTGGGTGAATTTCATAATAGGTGACAGCTTCTTTATGTCAATGTAACCGTAAGATGGAAGAATAGTCACTTCACATATGTCCATTTCTGTTTATTTTCAAGTGTTGGTAACCATAAGAGAATATATTCATCCAAGATCATACTTTGTTGAAGAATGTATGGTCATAATCGTAATTATTGTTAACATAACATAGGCATTTTGAGATGCCCAACTCTGCATGTCTGCTTTTCTCTTGGTCATAGTTGGCAGCTGTTTTAATCGGCTGTGATAAGAAGTCATGATACTATATCTTCTCTTTCTATTAAGACAGATTTACGGGATCGTTTGGCAATCATATTATTCAGCTATTTGTCAGTTGTTTACTTACCTTCTAAACTACTTTGAAGTTAATGTATTTTGAAAAAACACTTTATTGTGAGATTTTCACTTGAACAGATTAACAAATCGGCAACACGTGTTTCGCTACACAGTAGCTTTTTCAAGCGTGTTCTCTAACAAACTGAATTCTACATACATTGTGATTTATATATACTTTTTGAAATATTACTATCTACCTAGAAACTAATAATATTCTAGGAACTAATTAATGACTGTTATACCTGAGTTTGACGAACATTTATACCTGAGTATGAATGTGATGTGATGAAAATCTATGATGATGTATTTTGAAAAACAGGTATCGGACAACTCTATCTTATATTTTAAAGTTGATAAATATAACAGTCTATTTAATAAATATAATGAAATATATTCAATAAATACAAAACAAAGTCACCTTCACAAGAAACAGAACACACTATGCCTATGCAGATAAGGACGCTTGATAATGAATAAACTGAATGAATAGTTATGGCATTTTAAGGACGCAAATATAATAGACCTGCGACGTGTTGATCAGTTTACCGATGTTTCAAAGTTTTTAACGAACTGGTTCACCTATTCGCTCGTATATCCTATCGATATGCAGAAGCTATCTTGTTACGGGGGGCAAATTTTATGGAATAATCTCACTTTTCAATTATTCACAATGGCAATGCATACACAATAAAAATGACCCAGGTAAGAATTTAGTTCTAACATTTAAAATTGTTGCCGTTAGCTCTCAGTTCAATTTGTATATGAGTTACGTTCAATTGAAAATTGTTAGGTATACTATAATCGTATACATTGCTCTCAGTAATAAATTTAATAATATAAGTTAGTTTTCGCTGAAAAATGTATTATATTTTAGGTGTTATCATATCTGTATATTTCTGTCTTCCAGCATAAGAGATTTGCGAACCGAACTAAAGTCCTTCGTGGACCTTACAATGCCAACGAAGAAACGAGATACGTTGAACTTGTATTGGTTATGGATAACGGGGTATACAAAAATCATGGAGAAAATATACAGAAAACGGTGAATTATGCCAAGTCTATTGCGAATATTGTTAATGCGGTGAGTAACTTACAATATATTGATTTGAACAGTTCTGGGAATGAATAAATAACGATTATAGATGGAAAAAATTGTTTTTGAAAAACTGTAACAGTTGATTTATTGGTGATCGCTAACATTTTTGTTTGAAGGTGGTTGACAATGTTTCGTGGTGAATTTCATTAGTTTGGACTTCTATTGTCTAATAATATGATATAAGTTGATTTGGAATCCCCGAAAAAATCTATGAAAATCAAAAGGATCAGCTGAAAAATGACAATAAGATTAAGCATATATGCGCCTTCTTTGAATTTCCTCCTGAACCAGTGTTCCTCCCTCTGGAAGATTTCAGCTGAGACCCCTTGATGTTATGTTAATGTGTCCAAACATGCTGCTATTCCTTATTTGCTGGTATCCCCTCGCCTTGTGTGTTTCTTGTGCTCGGCAATGCGAACTTTCGATGGCCTCTTACTTTCACTGATGTATAATTCTCCGTACTCCTAGGGTATTCGGTAAATGCAATTCTTGAAATCGCAGTACGCGTTTGGTGGCCTGGTTTTCGTGAGGCTGCTACGGATAGTGTTCCCAGATCTGAAACAGGTCCTGATGTTATACTTGGACCCAATCCTTCTTATCCTCTTCGATAATCCTCTGATGTGGGGATGTACAAGTACTGGTTGTGGCGGCCTACCTTCCTTGTGGAGCTCTTGCTGTCTTCTAGCTAAAGCCTGTTCCACTATCACTTTAAGTTAACCATTTCGTTGAGGGTCATTTTTGATGATGCCTAGTCTGTTTTCGAGACCTTTCTTTGTATTACAGAGCCCGAAAGCACTCTTGATGATTCCTATCTCAGTCTATTGGTGATGGTTGATTTCCTTGTTCAGGAACTGTCCCGTGTGAGTGGATTTTCGGTATACAGTTGTTTCTCATTTAGTGTCGGTCCTCTTCACCAGTACGTCTAAGAATGGCAATTCGTTGTGGACTTCCTTCTCCATTGTGGAAGTGATGGAAGGACTTACGTTGTTGATGTGCTTCAGCTAATCTTTTTGAATTTTTATAATTTTTTTCAGGAATTTCAAATCAATTTATATCATATTAGTTCGAACTTCCAACATTTTTCAAATGTGATTGGTAGATAATGAATTGAGGAATTTCTCATACAGACTAACAACCTAATGACATGGAAATTCTTTGAACCAAATTCTAATATTGGTCTTAGAAATGTTTTATCGTGAATACGTTCACAAACTACATCTTATGATAAATTCCAACATTTTGTTAGCCCTTTTACAAATTTCATCAAAATGTTTCGAGAATGACAAAAAGTGATCATGAATAATCCCAAAATCTTTCATTTTTTCTGTCTAGGAAAGTATCTCCAATTTTGTAATTAAATTCAATGGGTTTATTTCGCGAAGAAAAGGTAACGATATTATATTTATCATTTTGAAGTATAATTTATTTTCTATGGTCCAATTATAAATTCTATCAATGTCTTTTTGTAGTCCAACACAGTCTCTGATGATTTGAATTTCTTTAAAGCATTTGAAATTATCTGCAAAAAGAAGCCCTTCAAAAAAATGCAAACATGATATTAGATCATTGATAAATAAAACAAACAGCAAAGGCCCCAAGTTCGATCCCTGTGGGACACCCGAATGTATCCATCCGAAAATGAAATGTCATGCAAATGTATCTGTTATTCCAATTATGTTATATAATGTTTTCACTGTATGCACATTGAATTTTCAGCTGTACTCCCGCCTGAATATTTATGTAGCTCTAGTAGGGGTGGTTGTTTGGAACGAACAAGACGAGATAGACATGTCTTCAAATGGCGATAGAATGCTTACAAATTTCTTGGAATATAGAAAAAAACAACTTGTAAATTTGCATCCTAATGATAATGCCCAGTTCATTACGTAAGTATTTTTTTCTTATCAGCAATTTTCATTTCAAATTGATTGTTAGTCAATCGTGAGTTGTGATTTCCCGGTTTCCCATTATTACGTTAATTGTATATTTTGTGACAACTGACACTTATATAGGGTCATTCATTGAGCGGGTCATATTTTTAATTTAAGGAAAACAAAATGTGTGTGAGATATCTTTGAAATTGTTTATTCGTTTGAAAGACTTATTGATGCCATTATATGCGACTTAAGAAAACCTCACAAGAAAAAGTCTAACGGGATCAAATCGCACGATCTCGGTGGCCAGTTTATATCACCTCCACATGAAATGACCATGACCTCAAATAGCTCGTGCAGAATATCCAATGTGGCATGGGCTGTGTGGCAAGTAGCGCCGTCCTGTTGGAACCACATGTCATTAGTGTCCAGATCATCCAATTCAGACCAGAAACATTGGTAATCATCGATGTTGACAGCGATGGACCGATGATGCCGCCAGATTGAAATTCACACCGAACAGTGACTTTTTCGGGATGCACTGGACAATCTTGGATCTCATACGGGTTGTTATCGTCCCAAATTTGTCAATTTTGTTTGTTCACGTACCTATTCATGTAGAAATGGCTCTAGAAAACGGCCCAGGCGAAGCTCTCTGGCCTACAGAGACAGGCTTGTTTGGCTATCAGTGGTGTCATCAGTACCACACCATCAGCCACCATGGAGATCCTTCTAAATCTACCTCCTCTCTACATTTTTCTGGAAAGAGAGGCTAAATGGACTGCATATAAGATGAATTGCATACAGACTTGTTCAGCTTGCCAATGGCACAAATCAATTTATTGTAGAGTGTAACAGAGTGTTGGTTGACACTGGAAGTCACAGCATTCTGGAAATAACCTCTGACTTTATGCCTCCAACTGTCAACTAAGAACTGCCTCATAAAGTACTGTTCCCGAGTAGAGAGGAGTGGAGTAGGAGGAAATATTAACAGCAGATAGTTATTGGTTTACAGATCAATCAAAAACACCTTCCGGTTCTGGTGCAGACCTAGGACAGAGATATCTACCTGACTAGGAACCTAAGCGACTGTAATTCAAGCAGAAATTTATGCTATTGAATTGTGTGCGAAGAGATTGGAAGAATCCAACCTCATGCACAAGTCAATAAAAATATTATCGGACAGTCAAGCGGCATTGGAAGCTCTTGGCTCCTAACGAGCAACGTCTAAATTGGTAGGAAATTGCCAAAAACGACTCTCCTCGGTGGGAAGACTCAACAGATTGTCTCTGGTCTCGATTCCTAGCCATACTGGCCTGGAAGGCAATGAGGCTGCTGACTCCCTTGCAGAGGAGGATGCTGCAACCAACTTCATCGGATCATACCCTGCCATTGGCATCGCTTGAGGTGTTTCCAAAACAACATTGAACACTTGGATGGCAAGAAGATTTATGGACTTCTGGCAGAATCTTCCAGGATTGGCTCACTCCAAGGCGTTCATTCACCCTTCGAAGCTTGATACCAAACAGTTGTTGGACTACAGTAGGAATCAACTACGATGTCCAACAGGCCTCTGTCATTTGAATCATCATATGCAAAGATTCGGACTGTTGGAAAACAGTGTGTGTCGCCTGTGTTCGAAAAATGATGAAACAGCAGGGTACATAAGTTGTGTCTGCCCCGCTGCGGACCGAATCAGGTTTTTAGAGTTCGGCAGAGCCGAACCTATACACAAACCTATACTAACCTTTTGAAAAATTGGAGGTTGTACCTGTCATTCGCAGCGGGTTGGAGGTAGGGGTGGTATTTTTATGTTGAAGAATGTCAAATTATAATTTACATTTGACGTGTTTCGGGATTTTTTTTTAATATGTATAGTAACCGTAATAATGAGTGTTGCCTCTGTTTGGAAAATGATGAAACAGCATGGCACATACTTTGTGCCTGCCCCATTGGGTACCGAATTCGGTTTTCTAGAGTTCGGCAGAGCCGTACTCGCACCATCTGACCTGAAAGACCACTCACCATACAAACTAATCGGCTTCGTTGAGAAGCTGAATTTGGTCGAGTGTAAATAGGTGTGAGCCACAATAAACCCTTTTGGTTTGCGGTGGAGGGTCGAACAGACCCACTCAATTTAGTGAAAACATGCTCGAAGAAGCCGTTGTATGGCGAAACACGTTTTTGTGAAACTGTTTAGCGAAAATTTCGAAATGAAGTGTTTCCTGAATGCGTTATGGATTTTCATCAAGTATTGATCGATTCCATCACATAAATTTTTTTCCTTTCCAGGAAACAGATTTTTGATAATGGTGTATATGCGAAAGCCCTAAAGGGACCTATTTGTACATTTGAATATTCTGGAGGTGTAGTAACAGATTTTTCACCAGTAGTTGGACTGATTGCAACATCTGTAGCTCATACTATGGGACATAACTTTGGTAAGTGTTATTATTGTGTCAGGAATATCGGTCAGGATTTTCGGTTTCTGGTTCTGGTTGTGTATAAATGTTCGTCAAATGGAAAAGTACAAGAATTTAACTCAATACTTCAATTACCAAAAGAAACAATATTTATGACATCTCTCTCAAAGTTTGGCATTGCTCTCCAAAACCTCTATATGGTGAGCCAAAAAAAAAAAGAATTACAACAATTGTATTTCTGAAGTTTAATCTAACGCAGTAAAATTTCTGAAAATAATCAGAAAACGTATATACAAATATTAAAAATAATTCGCGTATATCCCCAAATTTTTTTTCAAGTAATATTCATTTTACTCAAATTCACAGAAATCTTCCGAAAATTCCTATTATACTTTCTTCTTAATGAAATTCAAAATTTCTATACTGATTGAAAACTAACATTTCAATTCACCACTTGCTTTTTTCGTTTTTCATATCTTAAACCAACCCAGGCATTATTTCAAAAGAAAATTCACTTTCCAATACATTAGCGTGACATTTTAAATCACGCTAATCCTCTTTCCAACAGGTTCAGCGTTATTGAACCGGTTTGATAACTTTGAATGGAAATATAAGCATGTGTTGTTAACAATCCTCATTTTAGATGCCGTATAAACGTGGTCATTAACAAAACCTGTTAAAAAATGACAATGAAAACGTCAGAATTTTGTTACTGAATTGTTTTCAATGAGTGTAAAAAATCCTAATAGTTTTCCAATTTGAACGATTTTTAATTTCCAATGATTACAAAGTTTCCGGCAGAGCGCATTCAATTCGAACCACCCTACTACAAAGTAATTTTCGTAATATTCATTCATAGGTAATAATCTATATATTTCTAAACAATTTTCAGTTCTTCATTCGATCTGAGGAGAATGAGAACAAAACTTTGATACATGTATCACTAAACAAACCTTTTTTTTCCTCCATCAGACCTTGAGCTTGGTGGAAGAGTACACGCATGCTATCGGTATCAAATTCGGGATAGACAAATGTGCAATATTCCATCTCAATAGAGGACGATGCGGGGACTACGGAGAGGATGTGCAGCTCGTGGAAAGAAGCATCTACACTGTTTAGATGCCGGAGAGACGTATACTCACCTCGGGGTGGAACAACGCCACTCACAAGAGGTAACAACAGTGAAATACTCTCTCCGCGGCAAATGTCAGCACAAACTTCGACAAATTTGGTCATCGGAGTTGTCGGGGAAGAAAAAAGTTGCTGCAACAAATATGCGTGCCGTTCCAATCTTACCCTACTCGTTTGGAGTACTGGAGTGGACCCGGGAGAAGCTGTAGCAACTCGACGTAAAGATCCAAAAACTGATGCATCTCTATAGGAGTCGACAGGAGTTCGGATCCCCCTCTATGCATAGTCCGTGACCATGAGAGATCAGGAATTGGAACATTTCTCTTTTTGGCAGCTGCCCGAGCAGCTGATAAACTCGGTATTGTTTTCGACACTGAACGAGGTGACCACAACTCTGCCATCGAGTCTGAACCCGTTCAGCAAAAAGCTTAAATAAAAGCAGCAGATCTCACCTCACTTCTGCGGAAACACAAGGATAAGCCAATGCGTGGGGTCTGCTTCAATAACATTGGAGACCTTGGCTTATCAAAACGCCTGAATTTCGCTTTCCTCAGGTCGAGTTGGGTGAAGTTGGAAACTGAGGGGTTCATCATGGCTTGCCAGGATAGTGTCTTCAACACCTTAGTCTACCTCAGTCGCGTGATAGGTATAGAGCTTCCTGACACAAGATGCAGGGCCTGCCGCGAGGCGTCCGAGACCCTAATGCACTTGCTATCAGCATGTCTAGCATATGCGGTCTCGGCTTGTATCCATCGACATAACGCGGCCCTAAGAGTGCTATTCTACCATCTACAGCACTCTTACGGTATTGATACATCGGTGTGGCCCTACGCTCCGGAGGATATTGAATCCGTTGCGTTGTGGGGAACGAGAAGTGTTGAATTTATTGGAACTATTCGTTCCCCACCTTCAGGCTCATACAAACTAATAAGCCGAATGTAGTCCTTCTTGACCACCAGAGCGAGACGACATTTGTCGTGGAGTTTTCAGCTCCTGGCGAGGCGAATATCCAAATCTATCCAGATCAGTCTGTCAAGATGGTTGTTCTGATTATTGGAGTCCTTGGTGGAATGATGTCCTCTTTACTCTCGAATCTTTCTCTGAGAGATTCTGAAACTTTTTGTGAAATATGTCTACCAAATGTTAATTTATGATCGAATATTACCCCTAGGTCTTTAATCTCATTACATCTCAGCATATCTGAATCCTGTATTACATAAGGGAATGTATAAACTTCTTTTTCTCGACTATAACTCACTACTTTACATTTCTTCACATTGAGTTTCGATTTATTATTGCTACACCAAGCAAGAAATTCTAATTGAGATTGAAAATTTATACAGTCACCTACTTTCTGGATTATAGAAAATAATTTCAAGTCATCCGCGAAGCATAACCGTTCACACGCTAAACTTCCACATAAGTCATTAATGAACAATAAAAACAAAAAAGGACCTAGGTTGGAGCTCTGAGACACACCAGAAGAAGCTATATATTTTCTAGATTTATAACCGTTATAGGAGACGAATTGTTTTCTACATGTCAGATAGGATTGCATCAGCTGACAGGCAGTATTCGAAAAACCAAAACTCATCAGTTTATTTAGCAATATACCATGATCAATTTGATCAAATGCTTTAGAGAAATACGTGTATATAACATCAACTTGGCCTTGGAAATAAATTGAGTAATAATGACTAGATTTGTAACAGTTGATGGTTTCACGAAATATATCATTACACTTCCTCAACCAGTTTTCAATCTGTTTATTTTTATTTCTTATGCTTTTTATCCTATCTGGTATGGGGGGAATTCGAGAATTTCTTTCAATAATTTGAAACGTGATAGAAATCCGTGATCCCATTTCCTTTGTCGATCTAGAACTACTCCCAAATATTTGATTGTAGTGTAGCTCACTCTCTTGCTTCACCAGGTATGGAACATGATACAGACGATTGCGAATGTCCAAAAGATATCTGCATAATGTCCACCAAAATGGGCTTCCACACTACTTACTGGTCTTCGTGCAGTATTAACTATCTTAAATTGGCCTTCTCTCGTGGAATGGACTACTGCTTGAAGAATAAACCCAGATGGTTATTCAATGGTCCTTTGTGTGGAAACGGGTTCGTGGAACCAGGAGAACAATGCGACTGCGGCCTTCCAGAATATTGCGAAAACTCCTGTTGTGATGCTGAAACGTGTACTTTGCGTAGTAATGCGACTTGTGCCTCTGGAGAATGCTGTGACTATGAGGTAGGTGAACAGTATTGCGAATAATGCGTGAAGTACGAAAAAGCCGGCCGACGCTGGTCTTTTTCGATCGACTGCAACTTAGTCAAGGTCATGCTCAGCCCCTCTTGTGCCTCTCTCGAAATTTCTAGAGTGCCGTATCTATTCAAGAGTTATTCTACCAGCTTCGGAAGGGTTCCATCGGTATATATAAGCTTGACCCCGACATAGGAGAGGCTCTCCTCGCTTCTTCCATGGGACAGGGGTTGGCGGTCGTCTACATGCAACGCGCATTGGACGACCTCGAACGCTGGTACCTACAGTGGAAGATTCGGGTGAACCCAGATAAAACTCAGGCGATAGATTTGGGGAGGCGAAACGTTTCTCCAGACACAAGAGTCACTCTTCCAGAATATTGCGAAAACTCCTGTTGTGATGCTGAAACGTGTACTTTGCGTAGTAATGCGACTTGTGCCTCTGGAGAATGCTGTGACTATGATGTAGGTAAACAGTATTGCGAATAATGCGTCAAGTACGAAAAATCTGCGTACGTTCAGTATTGTTCCCTGAAAAAATAAAGCCGGCCGACGCTGGTCTTTTTCGATCGACTGCAACTTAGTCAAGGTCATGCTCAGCCCCTCTTGTGCCTCTCTCGAAATTTCAAGAGTGCCGTATCTATTCAAGAGTTATTCTACCAGCTTCGGAAGGGTTCCATCGGGATGTATAAGCATGACCGCGACGTAGGAGAGGCAGTCTAGTTAAGACAGTGCCGTGCGAAGTGATGTAATGAGACGAAAGTTATGATACAAAAATATGTTAACTTTTGAATCTATATTTCATGTGTAGGAGGATTGGTATTGGAGTTATCCTTTCGCCACAGAGTGTTGGATATAGTTAGTCAGTCATTTAATCATTTTACTTTTTATCATAAACCTAATCAGTGCATCACAGATCAACTTGTTTTTCATCACTAAAAGGCTTGTGATGTTTACCCGGAGTTTGATATTGAGGGATGTAAGTGTGGACAGTAGGTTTTGTGTTTCTTGAACATGGTTTTTACATGCAAAAAATTAATGATTCAAACCGGCTACATAGTTATCATCACATATACATAAGATAGTATTATGTGCTCCTATTCTAAATGAATGTGAGGAAAAACTTCCGTGATTGAGTTTGAGCCGTGTTATTGTGACGGCATAAAACCTTGGTACTTATATAATTCAATATGTCGAATAGTCTTGGGAAGAATGGGGTGAATCGGAATATAAGGTCGTTTTCTGATTGGATTTTGCAGAACCTAGAACTAAACAGTATTATTGGGTTGTCAATAATGTTAGTATATCATGCTCAACTTTATAGATACAATGCAAGCTGCTAATTCCACACTCTTCATACGTCCATGACTTTCTTTCTATAAAAAAAATACCAATGTTTTTCAAATAAAACAGATGATATCCAAAACAGTTCAATGTCACTGGTTCGAATTTCCATCGTCTAAGAAGGTGAACATTCATATATCAAATGCTTGTCCTTTCAAACCTCAGCTCAATATTCCATTATTCGCACACTGACTATATCTGATCCGATGTTAACAATATTCCTCTAAAAGTTTAGTCAGGGAAAGTTTCAGAGCATAGTAGACTCTGTTTCGTTATGTTATCATTTCAGACCTGTTCTCTGAAGAAAGCAGGAACTTTGTGTAGATCAGCGAAGACAGAATGCGACCTACCAGAGTATTGTACTGGTTATGCCGATACCTGTCCCACGGACTATCACAAATTGAATGCAGAAATTTGTGATGGTGGAAACGCCTATTGCTACCAGGGTTTTTGCAATAGTAGGTCTGATCAGTGCAAACTGCTTTGGGGTGATACTGGAAAGTCCAGCCAGGACGCATGTTACCAGTTGAACATCAAGGGAACTCGATTTGGAAACTGCGGCTACGATAAGAGAACACATTCCTACACTAAATGTACAAATGAGTAAGTTATCAGCCGATATTATGCATTTTGAAACAAGGAACTTTTACGAACTGATTTGAATGTAATGTTCACAAGTGGTACTTTGTTATTATTTGAGATCCGATATCCTTCAGTTTGAAAAACTAGAAATATTTTTCACACCTACCAAGCTACTAGAAAAATATAGTTACTATTATCAAGTATAAAACCTGATAATGGGTGAAATATTTTTCACAACTACCAAGCTACTAGAAAAATATAGTTACTATTATCAAGTATAAAACCTGATAATGGGATCAAACCCGAAACCGGTCGTATAAATAAAATTTACCAGTGGTATTTAGACAAAAATGTTTTTATTCATTTCATTTAAGTGATAATGAATAACCATAAAGTAAACAAGTCATCAATGACACATATAAGAAAATTGATAGCGAACAACTGTGGAATTTTTTCAATGTTTGAACAGAGAAGAATTTTTGTCAGATCGTATGTATCCTTATAGATTTCGGAACGGGCTTGCTCGATTTTTTCTATGATAATATGTAAGAATATAAGCTTTCGTGCCAGAGTTAAATAAAAACCTAATTTTTGAGAACTCATAGCTTTCTTTTATTCAATATCAATCACTAATTTTTTTGTCATTTCTTTCATTATTGAGGAAAAAAATATAACTTATGCGTGAAAATTCGCATCTCGGCAAATTCTCAAGATTCATGGAAGAAATGGAGGAAAATGAAAGATTGACTTAGAAATTGAACGTCAAGAAGTCTTTCATAGTTTACCCTTATTCTATATTGTTTCAACAAGAAAATGTTGTTGGGCCGAGATCAATATCTTTTTGAAGTGAAAAAAATATTATTTTTTGAATTTTTCTTCAGTGCGTCATCGCCAATACACTTTTGAACTGCTCAGGTATTTTTTAGCACAGTCCTGCCATCAACAGCTCGCAACTTTTTCTCTATTCTCTGTTGCTAAATGTTCACATCAGCATAGCCTTGCTTTTTCTGATGTTCAATCATAAATGAATAAAACTGCTTCAATTAACGCCCTTCTGGATTGCCTGATTTTAACCCTGTTGATTTTTTGTAAGTGTGAAACACAGAACTAATGCTATGAAATGGTTATCTGAATACCTTCTAGCATAAAGTGAGATTTGTAAGATATTTTTTGAAGAAATTAAAACCCCAAGTATTGGAAAGCCTGAGTAAGTAAAAGCAATGATATCTCCCCTCGTCGATCCCTCTCTATGGGATCGACGAAAGACTCAATTCTCTCTGTATTTGGGCTCCGGTTTCATCTAGTTGCCTTGCACTGCCCATAGATGGCGTCTTGTAATATTACTAGTGGTCGTTATCAATTTTAAAAACCCTATTTTTCCTCCCGCCTATTTTAGGAGCGTTCTCTGTGGAATGTTACAATGTCAACATCTCAACGAGAGGCTGGAATTTGGCATGGAATCCGTAGCGATATTATCGTATAGCTTTATCAACAAAGGAGGCGAAATTTTAGCTTGTCGTACTGCAAATATAGACTTAGGACTAGATCAAGTGGACCCAGGACTTACTCCAAATGGAGCTCAATGTGGAATAGGGAAGGTGAGGAAAATTAAAAGAAAATATGTCATGGATTATAATCGAAATGGTGATTGATTTTAATACTTCTCTCATGCTTGTCATATTTAGTGAGTTGAGATGGTTCATTTATATTATTATAATTATATAGGTACCCTAAACTGTTCTATTTTTTCTTATATGAAGGTTTTTCTTGGTGAATTTCTAGATGCACCAGAGGTTTCAAAAAGGTGATTCCGAGTAGTTGAAAAATAATGTTAAGTCATTGAATTTTTATGAAACAAATTGTTATGAGAATGAAAACATCATACAGTTTCTGAAACGACGAAAATCGTCTGGTGAGGATAGTACCTTAACCGAAATTTGGCAGTCAATAATTGATTTGATTCCAGAATCCATTCAGTAGTATTCAATAAAAACTATTTCTCGATATGGAAAATGTTCCAGTTCATTCGAAATTAATCAAACCAATGCCAAAAGATGGCAATAAAAATGAATCGATAAACTACATACCTACTACATTGTAGCAAACATTGAATTGAATTTGAAATTTTGGTGATGCCATTAACATACAATAAAAAAAGTAATGGACCACGAACTGAGCCCTGTGGCAATTCATACTCTATTTTCTATTTATATACAGGGCGTTTCAACAAAAATTGACCTCCTCTGTAAGTCAGAAACGGACATGTTTTCAAAAATTTCAAAGAACACGTCAATTTTCATTTCTAGAGGGACTAATTCTGTAGTTCATTTTAATGAGGAAATCAACAACAAATAATATCAGTGGAAACAAAATCAACGGATAAATTGCTCAAAATGACTTCCATACAATAATACATCCTACTCTCGAAAGCAGTCCGTACATTATTCAAGATGTCCGAAGTTAGTAATCGATATTCCCGAACAATTCTCTGTCGCAGGTCGTCTAGATTTGTAGACCTAATAGAGTCCACTTCAGGTGTCCCCACAGAAAGAAGTCCATCGGTGTGAGATCAGGTAATCTAGCTGGCCTCTCCACTAGACCCCTTCTGCCGATGCAAAGCATTGGAAAACGGTCGTCCAAAAACTGTCTCACCCGAACATCAAAGTGTGGGGGTGCACCATCCTGCTGGAATGTTATTTTATTCTCCTCTGAATTGGTCCAACAATATAATTACCAAGAATGCCGGCCCAGACATGATTACCAATTTTTGTGGAGTTTGTGAATGTGTTACCATCACCAAATGAGAATTCACATCGCTACAGTAACGACAATTATGTCTATTCACTTCACCATTCAACATGAAAGAATCTTTGTCTGAAAAACAAGTATTGCATAATAAGTTTGGGTTATTGGTCAATTTCTTGCTGAATACCTCACAAAACTCGACGATCAGAATCCATGTTTTCTGTTTTAAACAGAACCTGAAGTTAGGAACTTATCCATTAACTGTTTGACGTATTCATGCCTCACGTTGTGGTCTGGATGATCGGTATTATGAATTCTTGCACCATGTTGAGCACATTCATTATTTCAATAATGGGTTGCAACAATTTCTATTTTTTCTTCAGTAGAATAAACCATGTTGGAACACAGTGAACAAGGATGACTGAAAAATAATTCGTGAAGAAGTGACAGTGGCCAACTATCTACTTTTGTTCTGCGACAACTAGATTCAATAAAAGCTACCAGTGCAGAAAAAACCAACACTGCCGTCCATTTCAGAACGTTAACTACTAATTAAATAAGTTCTTCAAATCTAGGAGACCTGCGACAGATATTTTATGACTCCGGACATCTTCGATAATGTAAGGAGCGCTTTCGAAAGTAGACTGTATTATTGTATAGAACTAGATGGAGGTCATTTTGAACAATTTTTCCGTTGGCTGTGTTGCCATTGATATTATTTTTGTTGATTTTCTCAGTAAAATGAGCGACAGCAAATTTTCTGTTTTTTCTTAAATGAAACGTTCAACATTTAATTACAGAAATAATAGAGGGACAAAAGAACTTTCAAATGATGTACCACTCGACCCCCCATGCCATTGACAGGCACAGGGGGGTGAAGTTTCGGGTATGATTTTCGTATCAGAATTAATTTGTATGATAGAAAGCAATATGTGAATATATACACTCAACAGAGTATGGTTGGGCAGGTATCTTGTAGTATTTCGCAAAGGAACTATTTTCATTCGAGATATATTACTCATTTATACCACCTGCACAATTGAAAAATAATCGATCTATCTCAAGATATTCTCACCCTTACGATAAGTAGTAGTAACTTCACTTCTATATAAATATTGAATCGCAGAAAAGAAAGAACACTTTTCAAATTGAATAAGATATCATTCACAGGATTCGTACACAATATAATTATTGAAAGAAATAAAATTCCATATGGAACACTGTCATCCTCAATTTCCAGAAGTATTTGTAAATACTGTTCTGACAATTAGGGAGTATCACTTTTGGTGGCATTTGAATAAAAATGTATGAACTCGAGTTTAATCGTTATATCAAATGGAAAAATTGGTACTCTACTCACCTTTTCTTTTCCATTTCATTCACTATGTTAGGAACAATCTCATATTTGGAAAATATCTTTGGTAATTTTTCAGATGTGCGTCAACCAGAAATGTGTATCCGTTTCTGAATTTAGAAATCAAGGACAGGCTTGTCTTAGAGATTGTGGTGAAAACGGTTGGTGTAACAATATGGGTAACTGTCACTGCAAAGATGGTTTTGCACCACCGTATTGTACTTCTCCAGGCCCCGGAGGATCTACAGATAGTGGTCCAGCAACAGATCCAGGAGGTAATGTTGTTTTGAAATGTTTTTGAGTACAGCACTTGTACAGTCACTTGGTAAAAATTATTGGCACTAGTTATGAGGATAAATATAAATTTTCACAAGATATGCTTTATTTCCAATGGGCGTTACACGACAACAGTAGTTTCCTTTGTTGAACTGGTACTCTACACTGATTTACAATGTACAATATAGGGATTACTTATCGGTAAACAGTTAGTTTCAAGAACAAGTATCCAGCAGGTACAAATCAGGTAAAGTTAGGTATTGTTTTAACCAATTGTTAACGACCAATTCTGAGAAATTATTCATGAGACTTAATTTGACAGTGGTTAAAAATTAACTTCTTGCTGATCGTTCGATAGGAAATTTGATTGTTGACGTTTAATAATTTTCATGAATTCCAGCAAGTTTGAGTGTATCTTTTATTTTCTGTGTGTAATACATCGTGATTTATGTCGAAGCCGTGTTTGTTTTTCAGCATGCATGGACTGAATTGGTTTTCTTTCATTTAAAAACTCTTGTGTTCAGAGATTCTGTTCTTGAGGTTCCTACACTTTTTTCTACACTTTTGGACACCAGCCACATTTTAGCTTATAGACACTTGATGTGTTCCTTGTCCTTGTCGATGTTGCATTTGTTGCTTTTCACATGTCTATCTGAATTTTTTTGCAAAAATAACGATTCACGTGAGATTTGAATTGCTGGAGTTATAATTCATTTGGAAGAACTTTCTCAAGAAATTTATTTCACATACACGCATTTCTCCTGATGAAAGAGTTCTCAAGCAGTGAAGTACGAAGTGTACTGAGTTGAATCTCAGCCATAGTCCGTCGTGTATTTCTGATATGTACCGCTCTTGGTGGAATCAAATGTTCCAAGTCACTTGAACACCTCCCCTGAAAGTATCTATGAAAGAGAAACAAACCTTCAACCTTTCTTCGATGTTCCAGACTATCAGGGTTACAAGTGATGTTCGAGTCTCCAATTAAGCGGATGCTTTTTTTTCTGGATGGAATCCAGCAGCTTCTGGATATGCTCAGGGGCGGAGCTCCAAGCATGAGAACAATACTCCAATGAAGGTCTGAGCTGAGCTTTATGAAGCATCAAAAGTTGCTGAGGTGTGTACACTTGGTGTCCATTTTAACATCCATCAAATTATTATATTTGGAGGAAACCGATGTCTAGGTTTTTGTGGCATTGAATTGAATCTGGTTACTGTCACCCTGATTCGAAATCACTTCTAGATCCTCATTTATATATGCAAGCGCCCGTTGCCGGTGAAGATGTGTATCTGCAGCCGATGTCCTAGAATTCGAATGGAATGACGAGACAAGTGTATTGTCGTCAGCAAAACAATATATTGAATTTTTGATATTGTTTCCCGATAAGTCGTTGATATAGAAGAAAAAGGTGATTGGAGACAATATGGATTCCTGGGGGACACCAGCGTTGATGGTGAAAGAATTCGAGAGATATTTATCGACGGCTACTTGCAGGGAACGTTCTTTCAGGAAGCTGGAGAGCCATACACAAAAATGATTCGACAAGTCATAGCATCGTAAATGGGTCAACAAACCCTCATGCTACACACGGTCAAATACCTTAGAAATATCAAGCCCCACAACTCTGGACTCTCCATGTTTCTCGATTGCGTTATTCCAAATATGGGTCTTATACGATAGAAGGTCGCCTGTTAATCTTTGTTTTCGAAAGCCATATTGATGATCGCTCAAGATGTTGAAGCCTTCCAAATATTTGAGGATATGGTGGTTTGCGACTTTCGCCATGATTTTTGATATCGTTGATAGCAAAGCGACTGGTCTATAGTTGTTTGGAAGATTTTTTCTGGGAATAGGCTGAATGCGAGCAACAAGAAGGCAGAGTTAAATGTTGATGTTCTGTTCAGTTAATATTCTACTCATTTTTTATGATGCTATTCCTGTATATATAAATACATAATTACGGAGTTCCTGTTTGACTTGGCACGTATCAGTTGAAGAACTTCGTTATCTTTCGATTACATTTGCTTTGAAGCTTGTCGACTTTCCATTGTAATCTGCTGTATCCATATGAACTTTCATCTCATATGAACTTCCGAACACAATGAATGAATCAATGTTGAAATCTAAATAATGAGTTCTTGGCATTCATTGATATTTATTCAAATGTCATGATTTGAACTAATTGAAAATGACAATTTTTGAATATAGAGTATTATTATTTTTTCACTTGCAGCATATAGTACCGTGATCTCATTTTGAAGTAACTGCTGTTAATATACACTGGACTGAGAAGAGAATGAGTTAGAATAATCTACGAGAGGGTAGCGAAACCTGCGATTATGTATGGAGTACAAGTCGAATCGGGAGATAACTGAGCGCGGCACAGAGGCCTCTCCTGCTTGCTTCATGTGGGGCATACAGGACAGCACCAACGGCTGTGCTCTGCGTGATCTCAGGTATGGTACCGCTTCATGTTGAGGCGAGTGCCAGGCACCATGAATGGAGGGTGGATGGGAGAAGAAGAATGAGGACGAAGTGAAGGGAGAGGACAGAATACTCCCCTGGCTGCAAGGAATGTTGCTGGACGAGAGGGAGGAGGAGAGAGTGACTGAAGTGTACGGGGATGCTGGGACTGGAAGACGAAAGAATGGGCATAGGCTAGGCGTACGAACGAGAAGAAAATGAGTGGGTACAGGGGAATGAAAGAATCCCCGGACAGGCTAGTGTGAACGAGGCAGGATTGATAGCAATTGAGAAAGTTATTGAATGATATGAATGAGAGCGTGACTGTGATTAGCGTTTCTGCCATGGCTGTGGATCGCATGGAAGCAGCAAGAACGAGGAATGAAAGAGAAGCAAGGATACAGAGAATGATTGAAGAGAGGAATGCGAGGACAGCTCGGACTTGTTTGATCTGGAAGCGCGGCCATGAAAACAGCAATCTCGGAAACAAGAAGGCTTATGTGGAGGCGACGAAAGGCATGGATAAGCTCAATGTCATATGGGACATAATGAGAATGGGTAGAAAGAATGAAGAGAGAAAGAGAATCAAAGAACGAATCAGGACAGAGTGGCAGAGGGAATGGGACATGGGAGAGACTGTGCGGCTGTTCTCCAGATTCTGGACTGGATGGCGTGAATGGAAAGAATATATGAAGCGGGAAAAATAGAAGATAGCATTGAGAGGAGAGAACGGAAGAAATAGCGAATGGAAAAGGTTTGTTAATGAATGGACAGAGAATATGTTTAGGAATGAATGGAAAAAGTGAAGGGCAGCTTGTCAGCTTGGCGCCATTGAACTGAGGGGTAGACAATGATCTCCTCAATCATAGCGGACATAAATATTGTAGTGGCATCGGCCTGCTATGAAAATGATTGTTAGAGTTTATTTTTATTTTGTTTATATTGATGTTATAATGCAATGGATTTAGTTTGGAGGTCACTGACTGTGAAATTGTGAATATAATTGTAATTGTAATTTTTCGGGAATGAATAAAAAAAGATTTTCCGCCCCGCTGGTTCGCCCTCTCGTGTGTTCGACGTCAGGCGTCGGCGCCAAGTAGAGGGGGATGAGTTCGGAGAAGTAGGGGTTGTAAGGCTTTCAGCCAGGGCAATAGAGAGCGATGGTACGTTTCATGTTAATGTACACTTTTTTATTTCAGCCTCATGGAGGCGTTCTTCGACAGCGACATCCCCTTCAGTGACATCTTTCGCAGCAGCATCCTCATCTACGTCAGAACATTTGAGCAATACGATTACAGAAGCATCAACAATTCCTTCAACCAACGAAACTTCACTATAATTGGGGTTTATCTCAAAAAACATTTCAGAGAACATCCCAAATACATATAAATGACGATGTGATTGCATGATTGAGGGCCGCTATTTTACGACCAGTGTTTGATGCATACTTATAAAATCTTTCATTTCTTTGTTATTGTCTTGGAAAAAGTTATCAGTATAAACCATACACCAAGGTTTCACCTCCTAATGTGCGATTCCTGGCACGGAAAATAAATGCATTCTTGGAAGAGCTACTATTGACAAAACTATGTTTTCATAATGTCGATGAGTTTTTGCAAAATAAAAAAGGAATCATTTGAAAATAACACTAAAATCTAGGTATATGGAGGTGAATATATTTATTGTTCTTATATTCCTTAAAGAATTCATACTCTCATTGTTATATTGACGATTTATATACAATTATAATTGTCTGAAAGAAAAAACGATTTTGACTGAGAATTCAACAAAATTTCACTGAACGACTCTACGGAATTTTGAGATGAATGTTCGCATGTAATATTTACATGCGACCATTTACATAATTTATATTTAGATGTTGCTCGGTAGGAGCCAAGAGCTTCCAACGCCGCGTGACTGTGCGGGAATATTTTTATTGACTTGTGTATGAGGTTGGATTCTTCCAATCTCTCTGCACACAATTCAATAGCGTAAATTTTCCCTTGAAATATAGTCGCATAGGTTCCTAGGCAGGTTGATATCTCTGTCCTGGGTCTGCGACTGAAAACACCTGCACCAGAACCGGATGTGTTTTTGATCCATCTGTGAACCAACAACTTCCTGCTCTTAATATTTCCTTCTCCTGGAGGATATAGTCGTCTCTACTCGGGTACAGTACTTTATAAGGCAGTTCGTAGTTGACAGTTGGAAGCATGAAGTCAGAGGTCAGTCTGTTGCACTCTGCATTAAATTGATTTGTGCAATCGGCAATGTGCACAAGTCTGTGTGCAGTCCATCTAGCCTCTCTCTCTTTCCAGAAAAATGTGGAGAGGAAGTAAATCTAGAAGTATCTAGATGGCCGCTGACGGTGTGGTACTGATGGCACCACTGATGGCCAGGAAAGCTTGTCTCTGTGAGCCAGAGAGCTTCGCTTAGGCCGTTTTCTGTAAACCCTTCAGATACCAGACAATTGCACCATAAGTGATCATTGGTCTGACAATCATTACATAAATCCAATGAATTTGTTTGGGACCTAAACCCCAAGCTTAACCACAAATTCTTCGACATATCCGTAGGGATAGTCTGGCTTTATGTAAAACTTTTTAATCAAGGACAATGTCAAGATATTTCACCTCCGTTCCGAATGGAATGACCAATATGATCACTTGGTAATCGAAACACGTGTCGAGGTGTTGAAAATAACGATTTGGTGTTGGGAAAAAACTCCAGTAATATTCATATTCCCATCATGTGATTTTCATATTTCCCTATCAATAAAATCTGTTATTATTATCATCATCATTACTACATAATCATAGTTATGATGATTTCATTCACATATTCAGACTACAATTTAGATTGTTTCTTCCTCAGTGGGTTATCCAAGTAACACCTCATTGTGAAATTTCCACTAGACAGTGTACGAAATTGCATGTTTCGCCATAAAATAGCTTTTTCAAGCGTTTTCACATGAAACTGAGGAATGTTTATTTCAAGTGAAGTGTCAAATATAACTATTAACGGATTTCTTCAGCAAAAACAGTACATCAATGTATATATTGAATGATATGGGACTCGGTACTGTACCGTGAGGAACTTCATAATCAATTACTTGGCCATTCGAAATGATTTTAAAAGACGTGTATTCATTTTTCGAAAATTTCAGTGAAGAATATGTGAGTATGATTTTCTTAATCATATGAAATTGTTTATGAAATCTATAATTTTTCAGAATTATCTTTCATCATCTCATCAAATATATGGGATTATGTGAAAAAAACACCCTGTTGAATCAGGCAATAGTTTGGCGAACTTTTTTCTGTTGATGGGAACTCTTCAATAAAACACCTTTTATTTTACAATAAATTCAATTCATTTCAAGTTGAGCTATAATACATACTGTTCACAGTTACGGAAGGGGAATAAGTTATTTTGATTTTTATTTTGATAGTGATTGCTTTTTTGGTACATCGACTTAGGAGGTATTACCTATTGAGTCAATAATTCAGTCAAATCAATAATTATAAAACGTGTCCAAAATGTCTTCTCTCATAAACGTATTTTACAAACTTAATATTGCTAAAATTTTGTGTAGAAAAGTTTAACTTCAATTTTGATTATATAAACAACACTTTGGAGCATTTGGTGTATTATGTGATGACTGATAAATATTTTTTTTAATATTAATATACTTCTATATGATCAACAATATCATTAACAAAACAATTTCTGTCGATAAAACTGTCAGAATAATAATATACAGTGTGTGTCACATTCTGCTTCCATTTTTCATCTAATTCTATAAGTTATTATTTTATAATGAACTATCGAACATGAGCTAATTTTTCTTGTTCCATCGATCCTAAATGAGCTTACCTGACAATTTTTTTTGTTAATGATTTTTTCGTGTTCAAAAACCGTGTTTACGAATGAATAGAATAGTTTATTAACTACGTTACATTTTCATGTTTATAGCAAGTCAAGTCTATAGGCTTTCTCAAAGAAACTAGTTAATTATAAAAATATCAAGCAATGAAGGGGTTGCCTACGTACATATATAAACAAATAAATATTCATCTATGATAATAGGGTATTTACAAACTACCACAGTAGAGTCAATACCGGTGAGTATGTTTCATCTCATATGACATGCTGACGTGAACTGTCTTAAAATGATCGTAGTATTCCGAGACTGAGTAAAAACATTGGTTGAGTAGCATTTCCTTGACGGCTCTTTTGAATTTGGTGATACCGAGCTGTTTAAACTTATTTGGGAGAGAGTTGAAAATATTATAATCAACTGAATTCATTTTTCATCTGGTCAAACGATAACGGCATGTTCTCACTTTGTCCGCATTTCTCGTGATGTGTTGGTGTATGTCAGACTGTTTCTCAAGCATCTGAGCATTTTTTTCTGATTTCCAGTAGCGTCTGATAAATAAATAATGTTGGCAACGGCATGATTTGTAATTTTTTGAATAATGGTCTACAGTGCTCACGGAAACATACACTTACCAGTATTCTTACAGTTTTTTTCTGTAGTTTTAAAATTCCCATCGAACCAGGAAAGTTCCCTCAAAGAACAACACCGTAGCTCATGTGTGAATGGAATAATGCAAAAAACGTCGTTTTTAGAATCTCACCGTTTGTGATGTTTTGCAGTTGACGAAGGATAAATATGGCACTAGATACTTTATTTACGAGAAGATATGTATGTTTATGCCAAGATAAAGTACTGTTGAGGGTAATGCCAAGTGATTTTACTCTTTTGTTAGCTGAACCTACAGTGGTGACCTCAAGATTTTGAGTTTTGTCACTATTCAATTTCAATTTATTTGCTAGAAACCAAGTGTTGGCTTGGAGTGCAATGGTAAAAATATTTTTCTTTTAAATTACTGAAAAAGTTGATCACCTGAAAATATATTGATTTTGTTTTTGAGTTTTTAGGAATTTAATGTTGGATAATATATTTTTGATACTATTTTGTTATAACTTTCGAGTAGCCAGGTATTCACCTAACAACCCCACATATTTTGTAAGAGCTCTCCAAAAACAAATTACATCTTGAATGAATGATTCATTACATTTTGAAAATATCTAGATTACAATAATACTCTTCAAATGAGTTATTTCCATTGGAAACGAGTGAATCAACATTCTGATGTTAGTTTTGTCGAACCACTCAGTATATATCCAAGTAACTTTCATATAATCAATTTTTTTTGATAATTTTCCTGCTTCACCTCAAACTTTTAATGGTATCGCGATGTGAAACACACTGTATTCACTAATATCACTTCATTGTTTATGCTTGAGACCTTTATCGCTCCCAATTCTGTGTAAATATCCATTACTCACAACTGTGAGTAATAAATGATTACTCACGCCCATGAGTAATAAATCTATTACTGATGGGACTTGAAACATTCCTTTTTCTCATACCTATTCGTTCTACATCATACACCAAAGCCCCATTAAATTCACACCCATTTACACAGCAATTGAATAGTCCGAGGGCTGCCCAGACCCGCTGGGTCTAGACCACAAGCTGGACCTCAACCCCAGCTTCAATTTTTTCAGGGTATCGATGTCGCATTCGGCTTCGCTCAGTTCCGGTCTATCCGGAGTATTCTGTTCTGTTGGTGGTCTGTCGGGTCTCTCTTTGAACGGCGTTTCGGCCACCGAGAGGTGGCTCAGCATCTGCCTCTGGGAGTTGCTTCGACCTCCTTGTGCCAACCACCTAAGAAAAATATTACAATAATAATACTCCATTTTCTCAGTAACATGCAAAAACATGTACAGAATTTATCAGAAAGCAGTAGGCAAACAACTAAATATTGTACTTTTAGATAATTTGATTCACAGCCAGTCTTGGAATATGAAACAACCCAACACATAACCTCAAAAATGTGTACTGCTTTGTTGTGAAATAATAAGATAAGCTTTACCTATTCCTATTCCTGCGTGGAAGGGACTTTTGATCTGACATCGGAGATATGTCTGAAGAGGTACTTGATTGGGCGCCATGATACAAGAAATCTAGAACATCAATAAACTACAATAATGAAAAAGGCACAGCTAATCAAAGGCTAGCTTTGTTAATATAAGCAAAATTTAATAGACTCCAAAAAGAATCTGATCTTTTTATCGAGCTTTATTTTTGGGTATTTCAACTTCTACAACATGAAGAAATATAAAACTTGATAAGCCGAAAGAAAACAAGGAAGTATAAAATAATCATCAAAGTACAAAACACTGAGATAATATACAATTTCAACTCACACTTACTGTGTTTGTGCTTCATATCTAGTTGATTGGAAGACTCTGTCCTGCTGGACGTTAACTGGTCTTGATCGGATTCGCTCTCGTCGCTGTCAACGTCGTTTTTTCTATTGACGCGTCTCCGGCCATGGCCTTTTGTACTTTGGAATTTTTGCTAAAAACCAATTGCAACATGCATCAGATCACTTTGATAGCGAATTTCTTGATATATTGAATAGTGACATATGAATCTGTTGAATTATATATTTTTCGTATTTGAATAAACCTTCGGCTGATTTTGTTAATGAAGCTATTACCATCACTATATGAGCAGTTAGACGATATTATTGATAAATTGCTGACCTAATGATAATGAAATAAACTACTGGTATATTTAGCAAATCGGTAGATCGATGGATTTAGCACTAAATGAGTAGCTGATTTATACTGATCCGAAGATCCCCCCCACTTGACCTTGAAACGAACTTAGGCCACGTCACACAACCTTGACTAGGTAACCTTCTGGTCATTTGAAGGTTACCTGTCGAGGTTTGTGTGACGTGTTCCATAGTCGGTTCAAGGTCAAGTGGTCGGGCGAGGATTTCGGATCGGTATAAATCAACTACTATTTAAATAACCCTGCCGACGAAATCACCCGTTTCCTCATTAATAAAGAGATTGCGATGGCGATATTTCTTGATAAATTGATGAATTCAAACTTGCTGTCTTGGCAAGGACTATATCAAAAGAGGTAGCTTGAAATCACAGATCGGATTGGGATAACGTTAGAGAAAGACGACGTGAAACCGATAGTTAGTCCAACAAAAATTATCAGACAAAGTCTTAGGTCAGCTAAGGACCCCAGAGAAACTTTAGCAATACTGCGGGTAGGTCTACATTGGAACCACGAAAATAAGTGTAGGAACCAGTCTCTCTGAACACAAGAGAAATTGTAGACTCGAAAAAACCGACGAATAAGCTGTAGCTCTCAACAAAGGACGCAATCACATTATCCCATTCGAAGACACAGTGATAGTAGTAAATGCGTAGGTAACAACGTGAGTACCAACGCGGGCATTGCGATCGTTACTACATCATCTTTGATAATGTCTATCATAGGAGTAAACGAAACGTCAGGTATAAAACCTGTAAATCACGACCAAAAAACCGAAAAATATCTTTCACATATTTATAAACTGTTTACAAAATGTCTTAGATAGACCTACTCATATGTCAATGATGTGACCAGTGAGTGAAAATCACTCACCAAATGAAATAATCCGCTTCATTGCGAAACTGGATTTGATTGACCGAGTATGAATAAATGCGAACCACAAAAAACCTTCGCCAGTTGCCTAACCTACACAAGTGGTAGATGGCTCCGATTGGAACTCTCGAAGAGACTTACGATATTATAATAAGGTGAGTTTCGTTGAACAGACGAGGTTGCCGGCGGAGGGGAAGCACAGCCTTCAGTCATTGGATGCTCGTGGTACATGAAGCTGTGAAGCATCGTATTCTGCGGCAAAGTACTCGGCTCTGACAGTTGAAATGTTGCGTACGGCGATATGTCGTCTGAAGTCTCTGCAAACGTAAAACAACCTAGATCATTATCTTTGCAATAGCATGGACCAACAGCTTAAAAAATTTTCATAATTTTTGGTAAAAATAGAAAAACTTTATGTTTTGATCATATGCAACATTGATATTACTATTTTGAAAATATATAAATATAGTTGCATCAAAGAAATGACTTGATATATGTCTAATTCAACCAACACCGTATCTTCTACCGTTACATAGATGTCAATGGTATGCAATTACATTTTCGTCATCCAATATGGTTCATTTAGGTTCGTGACCGACATGATTTTCACTCTTTCCCATACAGTTGAAAATGTTCTGGTAAATTATGTCATGAATTTTGGCAGGATGTGAAAAATATTTTCCATCACCTTTTTTCTATTGGCTCCTTCACCTCCACCTGTAGTAGCTGATATTTAGAGTTCTCTAGTATTAATGAAATATCATCATTGATATGATTTTCAGTATGAATTTAAAAACCATTTGCACACTACCTTCCGGTTTCTGGACTAGATGAAGTATTTTCACAAAGTTGAATTTGCGTGAAAATCAAATTACTTTCATCCAGATTCTATTTTGTGAATACAGAATATGAGACGAAGTATTCATCTCAAGATTTCTCCTATTCCTAACTGAACATTTTGCACATTTCATTCACATCATCATCAAAACAATTTTGGCAAATCCCAAACTCATTATTGCAATAATACTTTGAACGAAACTTATGGATTGGTGTCTTTTCAGAATTATCAATAATGATACTATACGTGTGATGCACTGTTTCATACACTACAGAGCCTTTTAGGAAATCCAAAAGACAAAGTCGAGAATTCGGAAACGTCTGGAATTTACGAAATTAAATGTATGGACTGCGATGCAAAATATTGTGGACAGACAAGAATATCTATCAAAATGAGGTATAAGGAACACATAAAATGTGGAAGATCTGAAAATCAGCAGTCGCCCATCATATGTTGCAACAAAATCATTCCATAGATGTTAATTCATCAGGATTAGTTAGACAAGTTAACAACAACAGGCATCTAGATACCTATGAGAGTGCAGAAATAAGTAAACATAATAAACGATGATGGATCACTACATTATAGTATACTATCTGTATCTGTAGAGTATTGAGGGTGAGTGTAGGTCCACAGCACTTGAGCCACATTTTACATCCTCCGGAGGAGTTGTCCTCCTAGGTCATCGTCCATCCTGTCCTTTCTAGGAAGGTGGACAGATCACTGCCGATGTCTCCCAGGTCACTGGGAGACATCGGCAGGTGTAGGTCAAGACTCGTCGAAACACACACTCTCTTATTGACGATAATTCCGGACAGTTACATAGGACACATGTCCTGCATAGATTATGGCCACTAGTCCCATATTATGGAGGTGTTTCCTTAGTTGACAGTGGTCAGTCAGAAATCCTTCTGTCGAGCGTGAATTTTTCCTGGTCATCGCCAGATATTTCTTCGACCCCAGCTTTCTAGGGTCGCCCAGGGTGATCCTGGTAAGACTGCATCCTTTGATTCCATCTCATCTTTTCAGGGATTGAGCATGGAAGTGACATTTGGCTAGTTACGCAGTCGTCGAAGTAATCAGGCCTCAGGTGCCACTGGATCCTAAAATTCTTAGTCCAGCCGCTTCCTTGGCTAAAGAGTCGGCAATACGATTACCTTCACTCCTGTCGTGCCTTTTAACTCACCTCAGGATAATGTTATTATCTACCGAGGCTTTGACTAAATCTTGGTGGTACTCTAGTACTAGCCCTGAGATTGTTATGTTTCTGCCAGAAATTCATTCCTGGTCATTTCTTTCGTGGCGATTGACATACCAGCCAGTTCTGTTTGAGCCACGGTGGTATTTTTTCCATTCTCCACTTAATCCTTAGGCTTAGTGATCTGGAGAATTCTCCACCTCGTGAGCCTTCGATAGTATACAATATAGCTTGTTAAAAAAATATTATCAGCTTTACCTGACTATTATATGAGGACACATTGTAAAATTAATTCAAGATAAGTGGATAAGGCAATATTTTGAAATTAATTGAAGACACTTAAGACGTAGGTACCTAGAAGAGGTATCTATAGTATAAATGAGGATTGTTTGTATATTTAGTTTGATCTATGTCTTGAAGATGATCACTTGGTGATCGGAACACGTGTCGAAATGTTGAAATGACGGTTTGATGTTGGGAAAAACATCAGTAATATTCAATGATAACATAGTTTACGAGAATTCAAATGGAGATGAATAATTCATGTCAGCCGAACATTCAAGGTATCATCTCGATTAAGCGGATGATTGCTCTTTTGTCAAATCATACATGTGTACATATGAAAATTGAAAGAATAATGGCAGAATCTCAAATGCCGAAACAATTTTATTTCAATTGGAGATCCTAAACCGCCACCAAAATAATGACAATAGAACTTTTCAAAAAAACTAAAAAAATTGATGTTTGTTATAGGCAGCTTATTCTAAAAACTCTGGCATGTGAATAATAGTTCCAAAAATAGTGCCGTATACTGTCAGCCTCAAACATTTCATCAAGCACTACTCCCAAGATACCATCAATTGAAATGCAATGAAAACTAGCAATTGGAAAAAGAATCAATTACTCTGTAAGTATCGGAACCACAGCAAAAAATGCAGCTCTAACCTGGTATTTTTTCTCCAGCTTGCAAAGCCACTTTGTGTATGGTGGCGTAGTAACGTTCCCTTTGCGCTTCTGCATTCTGTTGGTTGTCCATTTGCTCTTTCGCGGCATCGTCTTGACCTGAAACATACCCTATTTGGAGCATTCGTTTTGTTTCTATCACAAATATACTCACGGCGTCTCATGCAGATCAGAGCCCCTACCACAGAAACAATTATTCCTAATACTAAAATTAGTAGGGGTATCACAACTTTCATGTCTGAATAGAAGGGATAGTCATCATGTCCCTGTTTCATTAGGTCTGGTGGAGGTACATCTAGATAAAAAAGAAATATTAGCAATGAGTAATTGTGTTGGCTACCAGATTTCACATTTTGGAAATAGTTTCACGCATCTATATGGAGAGTATAATTTCACGAACAAGAAGGTGGTATAGTTATTATAATAGTAATAATGATAATACATTCATTCCATGTTAATATACCTACATACATTGAGATGTGTCAATTGGTATACGCACGTAAAAAATATTTGGGCAAGATGAAGCGATGAGTTAAAAAACATTAAATCATCTAGAAGAACAATTTGTTCAGGTCAGTTTCAACTTCCTACACTGTAGGTTGATGGACTGACACCTATCAGAAAACAACTACTTCCCAGGCTTATACCACAGAGGACGTTGAATTATATCCGACAGGTGCCAGTGCAGGATTCTTCACTGAAGTTATTCCTGCATATGCTGTTGGCGATACAACTGCCGCAATAGATTTTCAATTATTAGATCACACTTCCAGATTGGTTTTGGGCTGTTTGGCCATTCATCAATGCTAGGTAGTGTATATCATCAACATAAAGTCGATAATTTCCGATAACTGAACATCGAATTCCTTCAGAGTACCATTTCTTGAACTAGGCTGAAGCTGACAACAAACAAGATAGTTGTCATCGCCCCATCTGCCTGTCAACGAGGTAACCAACCACATATCAAAACTCTTGTTGTGAAAATACTTTTACAAGTCAGCAGAAACATCTCAAAATAACTCATCAACTATAGAAATCAAATATTTGGTTATCAATATTACTCCAACTATGAATGTTACAGAACTTATTATTTCTATTTCATGTAATGCTTCTATAATATTCAATAGTTCACCTCAAGAAACAAAAACTTTAATACCAGCGATTTTATAAAAAAAATAGATGCCATATATTGAAAATAGACATTTGAAAATAATCTTTATTCTCTTTGTACTCGACGTGTTGAAATGTCATTTTGGAAATACCTTACCTCCATCTTTGGTCAAGGTCATGAATGCAAACTCTTCAGTGGAATACCCTGCAACATTATGGGCTTCCACTTTAACGACGTACTGGGTTGCAGGTGTCAGTCCAGTGATGGAAGTACGCCGTTGTGGCTTCAGGGCATTTGACACTGAAATTTATTATGAACATTTCAAAAACTTGAAGAGATCTGAGCAAATGGAGCCTTAAAATAATACATTTATACCAGTTTCGAGTGAATAAACGAGGTTTGTAGGGAAATAACAGAAATTTTCGTTTTTCTATGTATTATGTACTTGTGTCAGCGCTTCTCCCAATCCTCGGAATCCTCGGAAATTTCCCAAACTCGATCTCAAGCTCTTTCAGCGATGCGCTTCCAGTGTCACGGTGCTTTTGAAATGATGGCCCTACAGAAATGAAAAGAAGTCACATGGAACCATATCTGGTGAATATGGAGGCTAAGATATTTTTATACTTTTGTTATTGGCCAAAAATTCACGCATTGAAGTGTGTATTATCGTGATGCTGAAGCCATGAATTGTTTTTCTATGAATTCAGACGTTTTTCTCAAAATGCTTCATGTAAAAGGCGTTGATCTTGTAGATAGTAGGTACTCCTTATTGATCGACTGACCTCGTGGAGAGAACTCATTATGCACTTTTCCATTGAGATCAACTCGTATTTTAAAAATTTTGAAACAAATTTTGCTGCGTCGCGTTTCATAACCATAACATTCGAAATTACTCGATTTCTCTGATTTTGATTTGGCGTTCCTTCATAACCGTTTCATTTACCTTTTCTACGTTCATCCTCGAAGATGCATCCTGAAGTGGTTGATCTACAGTAATCCAGGACGAGGATTTGAGGATCCTGGTGGAGATTGACCCATCACAAACGGTGCGTGGAATTTTAGAAGAACTGGGCGTGACTCCCACACTGTTTTTGATAGTTCATAACGAATTGGAAATGTCAGAAAGCTCGAAAAATGGATGCCCCACGACCTGAACGATCGACAGAGATTGTCACATTTTGAGGTCTGTTCTCTCTTGATTTTGCGCAACTAAAACGATTTTTTTTGGATCAGATCTTCACTTGTGATGGAAAGTCATAAATGCACTTCCCTAAGGCGAAAATCCACCAAACACCACGGTTACTGTATACTGGTCAGGGTCTGGTGTGATTCAACATAATATTATGCAACCGGGTTCTTTTTTGAGAAAATCGACGAAATGTACCGAAAATTGCCTCAGCAGCAGCCGGCATTGGTCAACAGAACAGGTCTGATCCTGTTCCACAATAACGCCCGTCCGCAGGTTTCACACATCACCATTAAAAAATTGAAAGAATTGAGCGTCGAAATCCTGACTCACCCACCATACTCCCCAGACCTCTAGCTAACTAATTACCATCTGCTGAAGAAATCAATCAATATGTGTTACGTTCGCGCAAACACTGACTCAGATGGTGCTTATTTCGATTGAATTGAATAGGTATTCACTGGAATATTACAGTTTGGAGGAGACTCATAAAAATGGACAAAACTTTCGAAACAACCTCATATTTTGATCTGGGTGTTTGATTATATAAATACCTTCAGATTATTTTTAATACAAATTATAGTTGTGTAATGACCGTGTATGTGATAAGTTACGATTAGTAAAACATTTCATTATTGGTTATGAAAAGTGAAGCAATTCGACATATTTCATACCACATTTTCTGAAAGAGCCACATCATACAGTGCTTTTCTTTAATTTTCGTTAATTTCGAACGGGTCAACTCAAAAAATTTTTTCAAGTGAAATTGACAGATGAAAATTTCAAGATGGCGATAGAAAATTAAATAGAAAGGTGGGACACATCTTTTTGAAGCTCCTGACAAATGCTTCACAACCCTAGAATATAATGTCAATATCTTCAACTACTACAAAATGGCGGAACTTTTAATAATTGCCTAATTAAATTGACATTTAACTACATAATATGAGGTAATACGCTTGAAGTCAGTTCAGAAGATCCTCGAAATGGTTGCATTGAACTTCTTGACATATGAACAGCCTATCCGATATTTCACGCCGAACATTTTCGGACACAGTAACGTCAATATCTCTATAAATATTTATTATTATCTGCCGTACATCCAATTATGAAGCAGGTTCAGTTTTGTACACCTTTCGCTTCAAATAGCCCCATAAAAAAAGTCCAAAGGTGTCAAATCAGGCTAGCGGGCTGGCTCTTCTGTAGGACCTCGACGGCCAATTCAACGACCGGGAAAAGAAGTATCCAAATAATTTCTTTCTTAACGTTCATTGAAAATCATTTCGGTCTCGTGAAAGTTACGCGTCGCACTGTAAATGAAAATGGCTTCAATGTTTTCTTCCAATGGACGAGAATTGACCATTTTAGAGATTGATGACGTGATACCTTTCTACTTGTGAAATCTAAAACTAAATGAGAATATTTTGATTGAACAATGATGTTCATTGTCATACTGACATTTTCTGTCGTTTTCATAAACAAAAAATAACTTATCAAACCTTATCGGGTTGTTGGAATTGCCATATGGCAGATAAAAAGGAATATTTCTAGAAATATCGATATTAATGTGTTTGTCTTCAGAAAATTATTGAATATTCCGCCATTTTGTAGTTGGTGAAGAAATTGACATTCGAGGGTTGTGAAGCATTTGTCAGGAGTTTTAAAAGAATGTGTCACAAGATCTCCCTTTCCCCCCCTTTTGAAATGGCGACTGGTCGCCCCTTCAAGATGGCGACCAGTCGCCATCTTGAGTGTTTCATCTGTCAATTTCACTTCAAAATAAAGTATTCATGCAATAATTTCATTATCCTGCATTTCAATTTTTTGAGTTGACCGTTCAAAAAATAAAAGGGGGAGACATTGAAGAAATGCACTGTATGTTGAAAGTAGAAGAATTAGATTGTAGCCTGAAAACAAAATACGTCCAGAAAAATAAGTTATTGAAAGTAGGTACCCTGATGAGAATCTTGAATATATTCCTCAGATATAGGCTCCATTTTTGACTTTTTTACACCCATATCTCTCTATTTAACTTAAAAAATATATCAGAATATCAAAAACAGATCTTTGACAAAGCAACGGAATTCTCATAAACTCGCCATGATCAACAATGCTTATGCCATCATACCGCGCGTAGAATCTGTTGTTCACAAACAGCGTAGCCATTTCCCCACCTCCCTACAACTTTATAGCTACAAATCTCGCTCTAAGCGGTATTGTTATGACGCGTTTCCGTTTGCTCTTAAGTGTGTGTCAGAAAATCCTACAAACCTAACGTCCACTGCACTTCGGAAGCTTTCTTGTACTGCAATATAAAATAAAGAATAGGACATCCATTGTCAGGCCACATGTGAAGTCGTAAAATCACCGTAGTTGAATTTGGTGCTATGAACGAAGACGGCGAAGGAACTCCTGGAGGGTGGCCTTGAGTCCGGGCTTGTAACGGATGGCTTGCAGGCGAACTCCCGATTTTGTTGTGGGCTATGAGGTAGAGGTGATAGGTGGTCCCACAAGAGAGGCTCTGAAATATAAATAAGAGCGAAGATGGCAAAGATTTTTGCGACACATATGGATAGAATTTGTACAGGAAGAATGTCATTGATGAAAGAACTGACCTTCAGTTCGTAACTGCTAGCATGTCTGTTCAGCTGGATCTCGTTGATATCGCCAAGTTCCTTCTTATAACTCAACGTGAATCCGCTTATGGGGGCACCACCGTTACTTCCAGCTTTCCAGTGGAGCAGAACACTGCTGCTTGTTGCACTCGTTACATAAAGGAGAGGAGCTGAAGGAGGTACCTGGAAAGTAGTGGGGAAAATATATTGCTTCAGAAAACAATGGTTCCTATTAGTTCTTTGATAAGTTCAATGAGATTGTTGCATTAGAACCAATTTGTTATTATTTTATAGCAATCATTTTCAATTTCCCAAGAAATAGTTATTCAACTCAAATAGATGATTGATTTGCGTTCCGCTCAGAAATTTCAAACAGACAAACAACGACCAGTATTTAGTTCATGTTATTCCAGTAATCTTTTGATACCTACTGGTATAACTTTGTTGAAAGCTTCACATATTTAATAGCAGCCGAAAAGCTTATTTTCGACTCCGAAGTTAATCAGAATTCTGTTGGAACCCCTTTCATTAGAGAGCTTACATCAAATCGCCAGACAATTATTTCACATATATCCTCTCAGCTAGCTACATGAACATAAAGTACAAGCTCTTGTCTAGCAATATCAATTAGGCCCTGGTGGAATAATCTTCAACAGATATCGTCAAAAAATGAAAGGGAAGCAATCAAAAATCGAGTAGTGTAGAATATTTAATAAATCGACAAGGGTATATATGTTAGGGAGAGATAAGTTTTTGGAAAAGAAATGTTTTGGCTTTCAGCTTCTCCATCTTCATAAAAATTATTTTTTTGTCATCCTTCGAAGGTTTCCGACACTTTTTATAAAGATGGGGAGGTAGGAAAATAAAATAATAATAATGGTGGAAGAGTACACGCGTGCTATCGGTATGAAATTTGGGATAGACAAATGTTCAATGGTCTATCTCAAAAGAGGACGATGTGGGGACTATGGAGAGGATGTGCAGTTCATAGATGAAGGCATCCTACACCATTTGGATGCCGGAGTGACGTATACTCACCATGGGGTGCAATAACGCCACTCGCAAGATGTAATAACAGTGCAGAACTCTCTTCGCGTCAAGTATCAGCACAAACTTCGACAGATCTGGTCATTGGAACTGTTGGAGAAGAATAAAATTGCTGCAACCAATAAGCGTGCCATTCCAATCTTACTCTACTCGTTTGAAGTAGTGTGGACTCGGGAGGTGCTGTATGAACTCGACGTGAAGACCCGAAAAATAATGCTTCTCTTTAGGAGTTTGCAACTCAAATCGTCCGTTCAACGGTTGTACTTCCTCCGACAACAGGAAGGTCATGGACTTTTGAGTTTGGAGTGCCTACATGACAGAATAGTATGGGATGTAGCCTGGAAAGTCGTTAGGGCTTCGGATCCCCTTCTCAGCATTATCCGCGATCATGAGAGGTCAGGGATTGGAGTATTTCTCGTCAGGGCAGCTGCCCGAGCAGCTGATGAACTCGGTTTAGTTTTTGACACTGAACGAGGTGATCACAACTCTGTCACCGAGTTGAAAGCCGTTCAGCAAAAAGCTGATATTAAAGTCGCAGGGATCACCTCACTTCTACGGAAACACAAGAATGAGTCGATGCATGGGGTCTTCTTCAATAACTTGAAGACCTTGGATTATTAAAGCGCCTGACTTTCGCTTTCCTTAGGTCAAGTGGGCTGAAGTCGAAAACTGAGGGGTTCATCATGGCTTGCCAGGATGGTGTCTTCAACACCTTAGTCTACAGCAGTCGTGTGATGGGTATAGAGGTTTCTGACACAAGGTGTAGGGCCTGTCGCGAGGCATACAAGATCCTAATGCACTTGCTATCAGCATGTCTAGCATATGCGGTCTCGGCCAATATCAATCGACATACCGCGGCCCTAAGAGTGCTATATTACCATCTACGGCACTCTTACGCCAATGGCGAGAAACCGGTGTTGCCCTACGCTCCGGGGAAATTGAATCCATTGTGGAGACCAAAAAGTGCCAAATTTATTGGAACTATTCGTTCCCCACCCTCAGGCTCATACAAGCTAATAAGCCTGATGTCCTTCTCGACCACCATAGCAAGGTGATATTTATCGTGAAATTTCCAGCTTCTGGCGTTCGAAAAGAGGAGAAGAAACGAATAAAATATCGAGATTTTCTCTTCGAATTCTGCAGGCTTTATTCAAACCACTCTGTCAAGATGGTTGTTCTGATTAATGAAGTTCTTGGTGGAATGATGCCCTCTCTACTCTCGGATTTCAAAATCATACCGGCCTGCCGCACTGAGGCAGAAATCTTAGCCGGACCGATGCAGAAGGCTGCCATTCTTGGCTCACTGCTCTTGGTCAGGGCACATGATTCTCGGACCCAGTGATCACTTACCCCACGGTGTGAGAAGTGGTCGTTGGTTGATAATGCAGGCGAGCCCTCCCAAATGTTTCGGGGGATGGAGCCTGACCAGCGCATACTACGGTAGAAAAACTTATAATAATAATTCATTTATTTCGTTTGTTGAAAAGTACATAACAGTGGATGATTCCATCAGTACAATAACAAGGAAAACGTCATAATATTCTGAGCTTTTCGTAAACATATATTCACATACAAGTACCTATCTTGATATTTCAAAAGAATTGAGATTGAAATATAAAGGGAAAACATATATGTGAACACAAAAAAGTGGCGAAATATTTCAACAGAAAAATTGAGGGTCATGGTAACAATTAAAAAGTTAAAAAAATAGTAATGTCGATTATTGACAAGAACGTTAATGAAAGAAAAAAGAAATACCTAACCTAAAATTTGTCAGAGGTGTAGCAATTTCTGTATGGTGGTTCGGTGCATATGTATTAATAAGATTTTAGAGCGGGTCCGGTATTTATGCTGATTCGATGTAAAATTATGACCATTCTTGTACATGTATATAACGGGTGATTTTTTAGAGGTATGGGATTTGATTTTCAATACAACCCAAAAAATTTGAAAAATTTTATGAAATTTTTATTGAAATCGATAGAACGATCAATATAATTCAATATTTGAAGATGCTTCCATGCTCTCTCTAACATATCGACCGGCATTTCCCGTATAAATGCTTCAATATTGGCTTCCAGAGCGTCAGTCGTTGCTGGTTTATCTGCAGAAATGAGCCTCATCATGACCCCACAAGAAATAATCCAAAGACGTTAAATCACACCGTCTTGTTGAAACCACATGTCAGGCATGTCCAATTCTTCCATTTTGAGCAACAAAAAGTCGTCAATCATCACACGGTAGCGCTTGACATTCACAGTAACGTTCCGGCCATCGTCGTCTTTGAAGAAGTACGGCCCGATTATGCCACCGACCCATAATCCACACCAAACAGTGACTTTTCCGGGATGCATCGGTAGCTCTTGCGATAATTGTGGCTGGTCTTCACTCCAGATGCGGCAATTTTGCTTGTTAACGTATCTAGTCAACCAGAAATGAGCCTCGTCGCTGAACAAAATTTTTCAATAAAAATGTGGATCTTCCTCTAACTTTGCCAGCGCCCATTCACCAAATGTTAGACGTTGTGGGAGGTAGTGTAGCTTCAATTTTTGCACCAGCTGTATCTTATAAGGTTTTACACCCAAATCGTTTCGCAAAATTTTCCACGTAGTGAAGTAACAAAAGCCCAATTGCTGCAAACGGCGGCGAATCGACATTTCACGGTCATCACGAACACTGGCGGATACAGCCTTAATATTTTCTTCGGTCCTCACTCGTATGCATGTTTGTGGTTTAATGTCCAATAATGTAAACTGGGTTCGAAATTTAGTCACAAGCTTCCGAATAGCTCCCTCAGCATGAATTTTGATAATGAAATTCAATGATTTGGAAGCTTTGTTCATTCCTAAGTCTATTCATGGTTAAATTATAGACTAAACTGAACAAGTTTGACAATGACACAAGACACGATTTAAGCGTGATCTCTCAAAAACAGTGTTGCAAACAGCAAAACAACAGCAAAAAAATCACCCATTACATAATTCATAAATATGAATACCCGCCACAGTATTTGCAGTTATTTCAAAATGTTTCTGCAAGAATGCCTCCATCCTATATGAGCAATAGTTCTTGTGGCATTTCTGCAGTCTAAAAACTCTCACTACAGCTGATCCAGTGCCCCAGTTTGGTATTTCATATCGTATATGTCAGTGTATTGTTCGATAGTACAGATCCAACAAAACCGATTTACTGCAATGGTTCGACATAAACTTCAGTGCATAGAAATTTATGCGAAGTTTGTCCCAAAGAGTTTAAATGTGAGGGATCCAGGTTAGCTTGTAGTCAAGTATAAAGCATAGCATCTTTGTTGTTGAGCAAGATTAAACATGAAAGTCCTCGTTCTCATGAATGCTAAAATCGTCATGAGCAGAATTCATTGAGAATTTCATCAATGAGGTTTTCATGATGTTCAGTGATGAATGCTTCCTTTTTGTCCTTGTTACTACCTATTCGAAGACATTCTCTGTTTTTTCTGCAAGTGCTATTGCATTGTTCCCTTCGATGAGGAAGTTGGTGTCGTCTGCATAAACAACCACATGTATTTACGAGAGACTATTCATGAATTGCAACAGGTCATTCTCGTATATACGAAACTGTAAGGGGCCAAGAATTGAACCTTATGGAACTCCCTGTTTGATGGTTGCTGATTGACTAACAGTTTTTCAAATCACTACTTTTGGGTCCTGCCCAGCAAGTAAGACTCCATTAATTTCAATGCGGTTCCCCTCACGTCATATCATTCCATTTTCTGGAGTAGAAGTATATAATTTACACTACCGAAGGCTCTGGTGGAGTCAATAAACGCACCGCAGATGCTTAGTTTGCCATCAAGAGCATTTATGACGTGTTCAATACTTTTGATCTGGGTAAAACTATGCTGATTTGGTGACAATTGTACATTAGCGAATTCTCATGAAGATCAGTATCTTCTTTGAAAAATATTGGTATAACGAGTGTATCTTTCAATTTTTCGGGAAAAGTTCCTCGTTCCATTGACAAACCAAAAGGTTATTTGAAATTTCGTCGTGACCACGTGCTTTGGAAATTTTCAATATTTTTACAAGGACTACAATGTCATGCTCAAGTATATAATATAAGATAATGAGGTTTTGGCATACTTTTATGTTACATTCCAAAAAAATCAAATCAGTAGCAATACTGTTAAAATTCCTAGCGTTACTTCGGTATGAGTAATTCTAATGGTTCTATTGATGTCGGCTGTTAATCACAGAAACCACATCAAAATGGTTTTCTAAAAAAATTAATAGATCAAATATTGATAATGCTGATGTAGTAATCGTTCTATATCGGATCTCTTGATGAAGAAATAAATGTCAACTCACCTGAACTATAAGATTGTAAATTATCCTGTCTGTTCCTTGTCCATTATCCACATGGCAGGTATAATTATTAGCGTCTGACCTTTGAAGATTGGATAGAATCAGCTCTCCAGTATCCAAAAGTTGGATATTATGAGTGGCTCCTCCCTACATTGAATAGTAAGTAGTTAGTTTATTTTATTCTATTATTGAGTGGGTTTGAAAATGTTTCATTGCGTGAAAATCAAGGATCTGTTCTAGTTCTGTTACATGCACACGTTCCCAAACGAGTACAAAAGTGAACCATTGAATGTTTAACTAATGACGCTACCTTAATAATAGTGAATATAATTAAAAGTAAGTATTTGGTATTCATAGAATACTTTTCATCTTGAAAATGTCGATGTCTGCGATATGAATACGGGATCTTTATATTATATCTTCTAGATCATCTGTAGAAACTTACCTTCAGTATAATATCCCCCCTCAACCATTCCCTTCTTGGTGAACCCACTGCCTCACAGCTGAATGAAACAGAGTTTCTCCATGGTCGTACAACAAATCCTCCAAATGAAATTATTCTAGCAGGAACTGTAATTGGAAAAATATTCAATTGATTTATCATGGGAATAATGGACTCAATGACAATAATGATGAATATAAAATATTTTATTTGTGAATGAATATTTTAATCCAGAGTAATGTATGTGCTCACTTTATTGTCATATTTGATTGCCAAATTTGTCCAGGTAATTTTAATAAAAATTCAGACAAGGCTAGTACAATAGGCAAAAAATAATCCAGCATATTTTACGAATAAAACATATCATGAGTCTTAGTCGATTGATGGTGGTTGGACTAAGAGAGGAATCATCAAGACTCTACTAGACCGTGCTTTCGGGCTCTGTAATACGAAGGACGGTCTCGAAAAAAAACTAGCCATCATCAAAAATGACCTTCAACGGAATGGTTACTCCAAAGTGATGGTGGAACAGGCTTCAGGTAAAAGACATCAAGAGCTCCACAAGGAAGAGAAGCCGCCACAACCAGTACTTGTACTTCCCTACAGAAGAAGGACTGGGTCCAAGTATAACATCAGAACCTGTTTCAGATCTGGGAACACTATACGTTGCAGCCTCACGAAAACCAGGCCACCAAACGCGCACTGCGATTCCAAGAATTGTATTTACCGGGTACTCTGCGAGTGCGGAGAATCATACATCGGTAAAACTAAGAGGCCATTAAAAGTTCACATTGCCGAGCACAAGAAACACACACAGCGAGGAGAAACCAGCGAATCAGAAATAGTAGAACATGTTTGGACTCATCAACATAACATCAAGTGGGCTCAAGCTGAAATCATCCACAAGGAGGAACACTGGTTTAAAAGAAAATTCAAAGAAGCCGCTTACATGTTGTCCAACAACGCATTTAGCCAAGCTAGCGTAAAGATACGCAACATATGGAAACCTCTAATCAAGCGGAACACGTTCAACTCCCGCCAAACGGTCAGCTTCCGCTAAAACCGAAAAGGGGAAAGAGGAGATAGGTGAAAGCACTGGAATAACCTATGAATAGTCAGATCTCGGAAGTCCCGTTTTCACTCGAAGATGATTGTGGATACTGACACGTCGTGAAGTAACTTGGTCTCGTGTTAATATCTCACATTTTTTGATTTTTTGGTTGTGGCTTGTACTTTATTTCATTATAATTTCTGTCTTTTTTTGGTTGATATAATTGTGATTTTTCAGCTAATCTTTTTTAATTTTTTACAGATTCTTTCAGGGATTTTAAAACAATTTATATCATATAAGACAATGGAAGTCCAAACTAATGAAATGACCCTCGAAACACTGTCAACCGCCTCCAAACAAACATATTATGAGAGTGAAAGAAAAAACTTCTCAAAGCGAAACAAATATTTTCTAATTAATTGTTATTATTTTGGCATATTCGCATGTATGCTGGCGCATATGTCATGAAAAACTGAGTTTTCTATCATTTCATTACTGTTGGAAAAACATAACGAATTCATCTTAGCATTTACTTATGAAAAATACTTTTAATACCTCTCGGGGTGGAAACCTGTGAAACCACCTTGGAACTCTGACCTTCACCAATTCTTGTGGTAGCGGACACCCAAAACTGGTACTCAATGTGTGATTGGACGCTCTTCACTTCAAAAACGGTATTTTGTCCGGATATTGTCTGCCTGGCGTTATCAACTTCCGTCCGACCATCCATACTCCTTCTATACAAATTGTACTTTGTGACAACGCCATTAGGTTCGATTGGAGGGAGCCAAGACACTTTCAAAGACTGAGGGGAACTCACGACGACCTTGATGTCCGCAGGGGGTCCAGGTACTGAAAATAAAAGTTAGTTAATCAGCTGAGATTGGTGGCTGATATGTTTTATTTTATAATGCATACATTCACTATTTCTCATTGTATTCCATTATATTTCAAGTGATAGGCAAAATTATTGAATTTCGACAAACTACTAATGAATAACTCATCGGGGTGAAGGGGGCCTCTTAACACCTGTATTAGTTGGGATTTATTTACCCTGGAAACATATTTATAATGTTTATAGCAAGAATAAAAAAACAATCGGAGAATCTATCATCAGAGAATATATCTATACAATCAATAAAAAAAAAAATAATGAACACTTTCAAAATATAAACCATGAAATTATAAAACAACAACAAAAATTAATTGGCGTTCCGGGGCGACTTCATTGATTCCAGTGGCGCATTTACTTTTTCAGCTGCAGAAAAACCCGGAAAAACCTGCAGCAACACATTATCTGAAGATCTTCATCTGCCAATGTCCTCTCAATGAATATTTTTTCAAATGATTCGGAATATTTGTATATTAATTATTTTTTAAGCATTTGGTGGCTCGATGTGAAACTTTATAACTTTATAATGAATCGAATTTTGCCAATATTTGTTTTCATTTTCACTAATATCTTGTGGAATGGTTGTGTTGGTCACCATTAATTTTGAAATTCACATTTGAATGTTTGAGCTTATTTTTGACCAAATGAATGAAGGAACATAATTTAAATTTGTGTAGGAATAACAAATCGAATATTTTTTTTTTGATTTATACAAGTGGACTGTCGGCTCTTCATAGTTTGATTCGAATATATACTTTATGATTTTGTTTTGGAGTTTTTCAATTGGTTTCGATAAGAAATTTGATGCTATTCTATATACTGACATTAGATTTTGAATTTTGGAAAATACTAATGAAAAATGAATGAATTTGAGTTATTTTAGTGGTACAACATTTAGTATTTTGAATTAGATTCCAATTATTGAAGTTATTTTTCTTCTTATTGTTTCAATATGTCTATTATGCAATTTACTTGGATCTTTTGAATCAATTGATATCGACGTTTTTGATATAAATGTATATGAAGATTTCTGATAATTTAATGACATTTTATGGCTTGAAGCCCTCAAGATATTTGATCAAGTTCTTTTGAGTTATTAGTTTTGATTTTTTTGACACTATTTCCATTGTTGATTAAGGTGGTGTCATCTACAAACATGTGGAATTTACCAATTGAATTAACCGTAGCCAAAGGATTGAAATACATATGAAACAAAGTATTAAACCTTGCGGTACCCCACATGTTATATATTTTTAGAACTAATTATGTCGCCCATATAGAAATATTGCTTCCTATTCATTGAATAATTCTGAAACCTAATATAAACATCCAACAGGCACACTGTTGGGTGTAAACTGCATCAAAACATTTCGAACTCATCTGCAGCTAGTGGGATGCAAATCTGCTAAAGAAAGGAATACAAGTGTAATAAAAATGAACAGAAAAAAACTACATGAACTTTTCAACAACAAAGACAAATTTCTGAAGGTGTATTTATTTCTTTCTCTGGTAACAGACCAATGCGGGTATTTTCTGGGCAAGATATGACACTGAAGTCTCCTATTCATCAGAACTATGGAATTTGAATCATGTTTCGTTCAAATCGATAGATCGAAATATTCGAAAAGTTGAAAAAATTGGAAAAAAGTCGAAGTGACAGTAGAGAGTTCAAATTCCGAGCAAGGGTATAAAATGGGAAATTGAGCAACTTTTTTTTGTCATTTTTCGAGGATTTTTGAAAAAAGGTAAAATTTTACTGGTTTAGAGTAGCACATGACCTGAAAAAATGCTGTTTTTTACTAATTTGTCAAGCACAAAGTAACTGCGAAATCAAATTTTCATTATATCTGTTAATTAAAAAAATCCATATGTTGCGAACTTAATGTTTATAGTGCATTTCTTTAATGTCCTCTCCCCCCTTTTATTTTTTGAACGGATCAACTCTAAAAATTGAAATTTGGGATAGTGAAATTAATACATGAATACTTCATTTTGAAGTGAAATTGACAGATGAAACTTTCAAGTTGGCGACTAGGTGCCATCTGGAAAAAAAAAGTTAAGAGCTAATGGGGGTTTGTGAAGCTACTGACGAATAATTCACATCCGTGGAGTATGAAGTCAATATCTTCACCTACTACAAAATGGCGGAACATTCAATAATTTCCTGAAGACAAACCCATTAATATCGATATTTCTAGAAATATTCCTTTTTATCTGCCATATGGCAATTTCAACAACCCGATAAGGTTTGTTGAGTTATTTTTCGTTTATAAAAACGACAAAAAATGTAGAACGACAATTAACATTTGTTTGAAGGAGACTGACAATGTTTCATGATGAATTTCACTAGTCTACTATATAATATGATTTGAAATCCCTGAATAACAATTATATTGAGCAAAATGAACCTGAAATGAAATAATGGTGAAATTTTATTTATTTAGTGAAATTTTTATTTATTTTTGTTCAATTGTTCTATTTTACTTGTATTTTATTTCACTATTATTTCATTTCAGGTTTATTTTGCTTAATATAGTTGTTATTATTAGCTATTAATTTTTGATTCTTCTTCTTTAGTTGTTTCAGGGATTTCAAACCATTTTATATAGTAGACAATGGAAGTCTGTACTAGTGAAAGACAATTAACATCATTGTTCAGTTAGAATATTCCCATTTAGTTTCCAGTTTTACTGGTATAAAGGTACCACATCAATATTCTCTAAAATGGTAATTTCTCGTCCATTGGAAAAAAAAATCAAAGCGATTTTTATTCATGATGCGACGCGTAACTTTCACAAGACCGAAAGGATTATCAATGAACGTTTTCCGAATCGTCCTATCTGTAGAAAATATTTGAGGGAACTTGTATCCAAATTGACAACTACCAGTAGTGTACATAACAAAAGCCCCCAGATCATCCGTCCATTGCGGAAGAACAGATAGTGCAAATGATTGGTGAGATGGTAGTAAATCCTGAACAGTCTACTTATTCCGTCGCGAATGTTGATGAGGTGTGTCCCTGTACTGTGTGGAGACTTTTGAAGAGGAATAGGCATCATCCATATACAATTAAAATGGTACACTAACTAACTAAAGATGACCCTGATCGAAAAACAGAATTTTGCGGAAACCATTGCAATACATCCTACCTATCTCCACAATATTTGTTTTAGTGACGAATCCTAATGAATTCGATATGGATATCGTATTCCAAGAAGATGGAGCACCACCATATTACCCCAAAGGAGTAAAAAACTATTTGGATACTACTTTTCCCGGTAGTTGGATTGGCCGTCGAGGTCCTAGAGAATGATCAGCTCGTTTGCCAGATTTGACACCTTTGGACTTTTTTATGGGGCTATTTGAAGCGAAAGGTTCACGAAACTGAACCTGCTTCAATATTGGATATACGGCAGAGAATAATGAATATTTGTAGAGATGTTGACGTTACTGTGTTCGGCTGTGATAGGCTGTTCATATGTCAAGAAGTTCAAGGCAATCATTTCGAGCAACTTACGAACTGACCCCAAGCTTATTACTTCATATCATGTAGTTAAATGTCAATGTATTCAGGCAATTATTAAAAGTTCCGTCATTTTGTAGTAGTTGAAAATATTGACACTTTATTCTAGAGTTATGAAGCATTTGCAAGGAGCTTCATAAAGATGTGTCACAAGACCCCCTTTCTATTTAATTTTTTTCCCAGATGGCGCCCAATCGCCATCTTGAAAGTTTCATCTGTCAATTTCACTTCAAAATAAAGTATTCATGCATTAATTTCATTATCCCAAATTTCAATTTTTTGAGTTGACTCGTTCAAAAAATAAAAGGGGGTGACCTTAAGGAAATGCACTGTATATAATGTAGTTGGTGAATTAGTTTGACAAAAATCCTCATTATTCGTAGAAACTCGTAGAACTCCGCGTCAGATATTCAACGGAGATGTACGCCATTTCCCAAACGAGGTCAGAGTGAAATTATTGCTTCTACAGTTCCAACCGCTGAAACTGTTGAATGTACCCCGAGAACTTCATCGGAAAGCAATCAAATGAATTTCCCGAGTGTGTCACACGGAAAAATAAACTGTTCAACTTACCGTCTTCCTCGGTCTGGCAATAGGATGGGGCGGTGAGGACGCCGTCACCGACTTTGGTGAATGCCAATACTTGCAAACTGTAGTTAGTGAACTTTCTCAATCCGGTGATCACAGTTGTCAGCGCAGTCGTTTTCCTTGTCTCTATTTCGTCGCTGCCTGGAAGTTTAGAGGATCGCATTAGAATAATGTGGGATGTGATTTCGAACTGTTTCCTGATGGTAGGAGTTGAAAACTCCGGTAAAGATTTATGTCAATTCTAGATTCTAATGGTTATTTAGTTTAGAACCACCTGAATCTAGATTCGGATGGATATATAGCTTACAATCTGCTCAGAAAATGGAGTTACAAATAATTATAGTTGACTAGCGGACCCGGCGAACGACCTTCCGCCCAACAGTCAATGAATGAGTAAATTTAGGATATGTAAATTGATACAAAATTAATTATTATAAAATAAATGGTATTGGTATATAATAAAATAAATGGGAATTGGTAAAAAGAGTGCTCTCTTCAGTAAAGCACCGTGTGATATGTGAGTGTAATAATTGCCATTGCGATAGTTAACGGAAAATATCATTTTATTTATAAAAATCGGGGTAGGTCACCCGGTATTCCGATATCAATATTTTCCAACAGATTAAGCGTTGAATTTAATTTATGATTGTTGAACCCTACCGGCATCATGAAGATTATGTTTCGTTCAGGCTAGACTAAACAAACGTATCCTGTTGATAAGTTATAATACTGGGAACGCGAAAATGCTACCTACATTTCATCTTCGTGTACAGGAAGTTCGGCCATATCTGAGTAGGTGGGTCCGAAAATTTATTTGAAATAAAAACTGACCAATGACTTCGATGAAAAGAAGATATAGGTTTTGACTAGGAAGGTTCATGAAAAAATTCGGGAACATTGAACAGAGATCAGACCAATCAGGGGACGGTACAAGGAAGGAGAGTTAGGGACAGTTGCGGAAGAGGGTCGCGAAACAGGGTGGCGATCGGACAGTTGCGGAATGTGGGATTTTACGATAGAGGAGTTGCGAAAAGGTTCCTTGGCGATAGAGAGTTGCGAAAGTTAATTGGGGGACAGTGGCGATCGGACAGTTGCGGAAGAGTGTCGCGAAACAGGGTGGCGATCAGACGGTTGTGGAAGAGGGTCGCGAAACGATCGCGAAAGTCAGTAACGGAAGAGGGTTGCGAAAAGGGATTTTGCGAAAAAGGATTTTGCGAGAGAGGAGTTGCGAAAAGAGTCCTTGGCGGAAGAGAGTTGCGAAAGTTAATTGGAGGACAGTGACGATCTGACAGTTGCGTGAAGTCGGTCGCGAAAGTGAATTGCGATAGAGAAGTTGCAAAAGTCAGTTGCTGAAAGATTTTTTTGCGATCGAGAGTTAATTGGGAGAGTTGCGACAAGGGACTTTCCCGAAAGGGATATTGCGATAGTGGAATTACGGTAAATTGCGGTCAGAGTTAATTGTTGTTTCGTTTGGTGACACTTAGAACGGATTTGTATCTTACACGGATACCGTACCTGAGAGGGAGACGAGAATCCAGTATAGTATCTTGAGTCAAATTTGGATTTTTACTAACCCCCATGTCGGTTTAGAGAGAGAGGATGCCATTTTAATTTTGAAATAATTGTTTTATTGTTGTTGTGTCTTGGGGACAATATAAGAAGGGCAATAAATTACACTACACTCCTTTCAATTGTGTAAATATAATAGCAATTAGTACACACGGGTTTGAAGCTTTAAAAATGGTACGGTGGCCAGGCAAGTTCAGATACTCACTTCAGAATGTCCGCCAAGTTTGAATAAAGTAATTTAGTTGTTTGTGTAAGTTGGAATTCTACCTTATGAGATAATATATAACATTACACGAGTTGATGAAGGTATAATTTTTGTTTGAGAATCAGCTATTTTAGACGTTCTTTCTTATAATTTTGATTTTATCTTTGGAACATTTTCGCTTATTGCTTTTGTTTTACTCTCATGTTATATTTTTACATAGTTATTCGTTGTGATCTATAAATATACCCGTTCATTCTTCATATTGGTTTTGTAATATAAGCCAAATCTGAAGCTTGTTGTTTTTTAATGGCTCACTATTCGAGCGACACCCGCACCCTTTCAGGGTAGTTGAAAGGCCTTCAGCTATAAGTATTAGTCTCCTGCATCGTTCCGGGTTGGAACTTAAAAGGAAAACCATCTCAAAAAGATACACGGTATGGTTAGGTTTCAGAGAGACCGGCCCTCGTGCGATCGGCACGAACCCTACAGCTTTTTTGGACCTGCCTTGATATTCAAAATTTGATGTGGAGAAATCTGCAGCTGGTGACAGCCGCTGCCAAATTGATCTCAGAGAATAAATGAATCAGAAATGAGCATTTATTACACTGAAAACGGTCGGTATATTCAATAATAATAGATAAAACCATATATACATATGTATTGGTTATATTTCAGTGAGATGTCAGTTGTGTTTTAGCATAACACGTCACTATTATCACCGATGTTCTGCTTCTTTTATTATTATTATTTTTATCGATGAAATATCATATTTCAATACTTATCATCCTATTTTTATTGATAAAATGTCACATTTGAATACTTATTATCCTATATCATCTTATTGTCTATGAAGACAATTTATAAAACAGAAAAAAACATAAAAATTGGTTGGGTTATGTTATTATTATTATTATTAATTTTTTTTCACCGTAGTGTGCGCTGGTCAGGCCCTATCCCCTGAAGCCCCGATACATTAGGGAGGGCGCACCAGCATTATCAACCAATAACCACTCCCCACACCGTGGGGTAAGTGATCATTGGGTCAGAGAATCATGTGCCCTGAGCAAGCGCAGTGGGCCAAGAACAACAGCCTTCTGCATCTGTGCGGCTAATATTTCTGTCTTAGTGCGGCAAGCCGGTATAATTTCAAGATTCGAGAGTAGAGAGGCGCATCATTCCGCCAAATACTCCAATAATCAGAACAACCATCTTGACAGAGTGATCTGTATAGAGTCTGCGGAATTATTTTCATCGTAGTGTGCGCTGGTCAGGCCCTTTCCTCCGAAGCCCCGATACATTCGGAAGGGCGCGCCAGCTTTATCAACCAACGACCACTCCCCACACCGTGGGGTAAGTAGTCATTGGGGTAGAATCATGTGCCCTGAGTAAGCGCAGTGAGCCAAGAATGACAGCCTTCTGCATCTGTGCGGCTAAGTTTTCTGCCTCAGGGCGGCAAGTCAGTATGATTTTGAGATTCGAGAGTAGAGACGACACCATTCCACCAAGGACTCCAATAATCAGAACGACCATCTTGACAAAGTGGTCTGGATTGAGTCTGCGGAGTTCAAAGAGAAAATCTCGATATTCCATCCGTTTTCCTTCCACGACAAATATCGTCTTGCTCTGGTGGTTGAGAAGAACTACATCAGGCTTATTAGCTTATATGATCTAGGGAACAAATATTTGCAATGAATTCGGTACTTCTCGTTCCTCATAATGGATTAATATCCTCTGGAGCGTAGGGCAACACCGGTGTCTCGTCAATGCAGTAAGAGTGCCGTAGATGGTGATATAGCACTCTTAGGTCCACGTTATGTCGATATAGGCCGAGACCGCATACGCTGAACATGCTGACAGCAAGTGCATTAGGGTTTCGGGTGCCTTGCGTCAGTAATCTCTATATCCATCCCGCGACTGCGGTAGACTAAAGTGTTGCTGACACCATCCTGGTAAGCCATGATGAACCCCTCAGTTTCCGACTTCAGTACGCTTGACCTGAGGAAAGCGAAAGTCAGGCGCTTTGATAAGCCAAGGTCTCCAATGTTATTGAAGATGACTCCATGTATTGGCTCATCCTTGTGTTTCCGCAGAGGTGAGGTGATCTCTGCGGCTTTAATATGAGGTTTTTTGCTGAACGGGTTCCAACTTGGTGATAGAGTTGTGGTCACCTGTTCAGTGTCGAAAACTAAACCTAGTTCACCAGCTGCTCGGGCAGCTGCCCTGAAGAGAAATTCTCCAATTCCTGCTCTTTCGTGGTCACAGACCATGTAGAGAAGGGGATCCGAACTTCTGACGAGTTCACAGGCTATATCCAGTACCATCCTGTCATGTAGACACTTCAAACTCAAAAGTTCACGGTCTCCCTGTTGTCGGGGGAACTACAACCGTGGAACGGACGACTTGGAATGTAAACTCCTATAGAGATGCATCATTTTTTGGGTCTTTACGTCGAGTTGATACAGCTCCTCCCGGGTCCACTTCACTACTCCAAATGAGTAGAGTGAGATTGGAACGGCAAGCATATTTGTTGTAGCAACTTTACAGCAGAGTTCTTTTATTATCATCATATTATTATTGCTATTATTTTTATCGATTAAATATTGAATCTAGATGCTTATTATTCCATTCTCAACAAATACAAATTCACCCACGGACAGCAATTCAATTTTATATATTAGATGGTATGAAGGCAGAGATGATTATTGACTCATAATTGGAACTGAATATCATTAGAATAGTAGAGGAATGTTCATTGGTGATAGTCTCTTTTGTAATACTTCATTGATCTACTCATAAAATATTCACTATTCAATCACGTCTCGAATTCCAATGAAATGAACAACTATTTACATGAATACGTTCAAAATGTTTTCAATAATTGTAATGTAATAATGTAATAGTAATAATCATTTAATCATACAAAATATGCTCTCAATTCGATTCGTTACCGAAGAAGCTGTGCTAAAAGCATGAAATCTTCAATGTATCGAAAGCCAAGCTTTGGGGGTGGATGATAATTCAATCACAATGTTGAAACTTTGTAGCCAGTTTATAGATAAATACATTACACATATCATCAGTTGTTGTTTCAACTTTTAATATTTTCCAGACTTGTGTAAAATTGTCGTTGGGAAACTCATTCCCAAGAATAATGATCCAGCTACTTATTCTGATCTCAGTAGACTCCCGGTTATGGGTGAAATGTTTGAAATTTATTCACAAATTATCACCATCGCAATTTAGTTTTAGGCACAGCTTTAGTACAGGTGCAGCTTTTGCTACTGTTACACAGGATATTGTTGGGAGACTTGATAAGGGAATGAAAAGTACTCGTGTTTTATTAGATTTTTCGAAAGCATTCAGTACTATCAATCATGAGCTGATTTGCATAAAAATCAAATATTTTGGTGCTTGTGCTGTCTTATTTCTCATCTGGTCTTAAAATGTTGATGGTCACCAGGTGCTCCTTATATCTTGATATTTCATCTGGAGTACCATAGGGTTCCAATTTGGGATCTTTATTGTTCTTCATTTACACTACTGACATTATCTCGTCCATCGAGTATTGTAAAATAAAAGATTATGCTGATGACACACAGTTTTTTTCAATCGATGAGTTTGTTAACTCACAAAATCTATTTAACACTGATTTGGATTTGATCAATTATTTGTCTATCAAGTAAACATGATTTTAAAGTTGATCCTAATGAAACGATGTTGATGTATTTCAGATCGCAGAAGAATCGTAAACTTGCAGAAAACAATTTCCACTTAGAACTAGGTCGTACTATCTTGACTCCTGTCAATACAGCTGAAAGCTTCGGACCGACCTTTGATTCACTGATCATGTTGAAAATTCCAATGAAAAACGCTTATATATCATTGGAACTGTTAAACTGCAATCTTTTCATTTAGAGCCTTTTTATTCAGATCCAATCTCTAAAATAATGCTTAGTGATAGTTTGGTGCTAAGCCACCTCAATTACTTTGACTTCATATATGGGCCATACTTATTTGATCCAGATAACAATGAATACATACAGTTCAAAATTCTTGTTTCCGTCTAGTTTATGGAGTTCGTAAGTATCATCCATGTCTGAAGCCTTCAAAAATTCCCGCTGTGGATTCATTTCTTCCTTTCTTTGGATGTGTCTCCACAATTTATGTTCGCCGATGGAAGAATAGAAACCCAGAACGCTTTTTGTTCTACTGACTCTTGTACTATGAGAAGCAGTACAGAATTAATCAAAACCCTCAGCTCATGATCAAACTGACTTACTCAGGCTAGGAAATTTATGAACTATAGTTGATTGCAACTCACCTCTCCAGTTATCGTCCAGCACTGGTTCGTATGTCAATTTGTAGCCCTGCAGGAGTCCATTGCAGTGCTCCGTGGGGGGTGGCTGCCAGCTGACTTGCAGCGATTGCGATGTGAGGGCGGCACATCTAACGTCTTCGGGAGGCATGCTGGGAACTGCAAATGAGAAACTTGCGTTACTTCATTTCAGAAACGGTAATGGAGTCCTAGATTTTTGTAAGCGTCAAAGATGCCCTTCATTTGTGAGAAAATGGGATCCATCGAATGCTTTTCAGCATATTTTGAGGCGACTAGTTGATGGATACCTAGTTTTGCTTTTATGAAAAAAGAAACATATTCATGATATTTATTATTTCACCAAATATCTCAAGCATGGAAAAAATCTATTCATAACATCCCAAACGAACATTTTTTAGATCAGGGTCATGACTACGTAATTTATAAGTTACCCCATGAAGAATAAAATCATGTTTTTGTAGTCTTGGGATAACTGATTCATTTCATTAATTTTTGTTCGGAATGATGCATTCTTTTTCTGATGTTTTCAATTCATCATCACGAATACAAGATTTTCGTAGATTAGAAAAGTGTATTTTCATCAGATTGAAATAATGATCTAATATAAGTCATATTTATGATGTTCATTGTTTTATTAGATATTTCACGGAAAAGATGTATATATGACATCCCAAAATTACCGTCATTCAGAACACTATCGTATATACCTACATGATTTATAAATCATTTCTATGATCATCTCATTACAAAGAAAGTATTTCCTTACTATCTGCAAAATACTGATGAAAACCATCATATGATCGATATTCTGCAAATACAATATCTACTGGTCATAAAGAGATAATTACAAGAGGAAATTATTTTTTTCAAGGACGAAACACAAGCTCAACAGAAAAATCCTTAAGGAGCTCTCAAAGTGGTGCCTGTGCGAAAGTAGCGATTCACATTGGATTCGAATCACTCGATACGAATCCATTTGGAAAAACAATTTCAGGAAGTTTACTCCACATCAACGCAGTTCTCCAGATTGAAGAGTTCTTAAACAAACTGATGAGCAGCCAGGGTCCGTCGCGTATTTCTGACATGTACCGCTCTTGGTGGAATCAACTGTGCCAAGTAATTTGAACAATTTCCTTGAAAGTACCGATAAAAGAGAGATAAGTTTTCAACCTTTTTTCGATGTTCCAGGCTTTGAAGGTTGCACGTAATGTTCGCATCTCCAATCAGGCAGATGGCCATATTCTGGATGGAATCCAGCAACTTCAGGGTATGCATGGAGATAGAGCTCCATACATGAGAGCATTACTCCAAAGAAGGTCTGATCTGAGCTTTATAAAGCATCACAAGTTGCAAAGGTGTGTACAGTTTTCTGGTTCGGAACAGTGTTCTGAGCTTTTGAGAAGCAGCCTTTGCAATTCCAGCGACATAATTGTGCCAAGACATATTGATGTCCATTTTAGCCCCCAACAAACTTATCGAAGCAGAGAGCGGAATTGTTTGACCTTTATCTTCTTGGAGAAAAACGATGCCTGGCTTTTGGTGGCATTCAATTGAACCTGGTTACTTTCGCACCAATTTGAAATCAGTTCTGCCGCCTCCTGCTGCCGGTGAAGATGTGTCTCCGTAGCCGATGTCCTGGAATTCAAATGGTGCAGTCATCAGAAAGCAATAAATTGAATTCTTGGTTTTTCAATAAGTCGTTGATATAAAATAAAAATACGGTTGGAGACAATATGGATCCTTGAGCAACACCAGCGTTGATGGTCGTTCGACAGACGTCCATCGACGGCCACTTCCAGAGAACGTTCTTTTGAAGAGTCATACACAAAAATGATCCATTTTGCTAATACAGACAATTAGAGTGGTTTTACAGGTGCTAATATCAACAAAAAAAATTATCGACCTTTCTCGGGAAATTTTCACATCCCACAATCTAAATTTGTAATGGGGAACTTTATATAGTAACTTATCGAGATAAAACAAAGAGTTTGCCTTTTCCACATCTGTATGGAGTTCTCCATCGAAAATTTCTATATTCTCAGATTGTGGAATGTGGAAATACTTGCAATTTTCGATAAAAAACTGAACAAAAATATAATTTTTGTTCGAATATCTTGAAATGATTATTTTGCTACTATAACCTGTTTTGTATTCCAGTTGTATTATTTTCTTACCGTCTTCCAAGGTTTGAACCACCACGGCTTCTGATAGAGGCCCTGCCCCTACTTCGTTGAAGGCTTGTACGACTATGGTGTATCTGGTATATTTGCTGAGATACGATAGCAATATTTCACCACCATCTTCTCCATCTCCAGTAACTGATGTGAAGTTGTATGTACCCATACTAGCCGTCCGGTATCCAACATTGAAGCCCTGCAATCATTCAGCAGGATTACAAATACTTCATTGAAGATAATAAAACAAAATATGGACCTGAAAAAAATTGTACCAATTTGATATACCTCAATACTTGAATTAGTGGATGAAATTACATTTTTATTTCGAAGAGATCAACAACAGCCATATTGGAAGTAGGTACTATGATAATTGACACTGAGGATCAAATTCATTCATTGAGAGGATGACAGTTTGGTTTTCCCTCTTTACATTTCATAGTTAGGTTAGATGAGGTCTACAGTGAGTGGGTCTAGTCGACCCTCCACCGCAACTACCTCCACCTCCACCGCAAGGGGTGTGTGTGGATCACACCTATTCACAGGCGACCAAATAAACCCAGCTTCTTAACAAAGCTGATAAGTTTGTATGGTGAGTGGTCTCTCAGGTCAGATGGTAAGAGTACGGCTCTGCCGCACTCTAAAAACATGATTCGGTCCCCAGCGAGGCAGGCACAAAGTATAGGCTCCGCTGTTTCACCATCCTGTCTCTGTAAGTCAGAGACCTTCGCTTGGGCCGTTTTCTGCAAAATCTTCGGCCACCAGGCAATTGCACCATGAGTAATCATTAGTCTGACAATCATCACATAGATCCAAGGGATTTGTTTGGGATCCAAACCCCAAGTTTCACCACGAATCCTTCGACATGTCCATAGAGGCAGTCTTGTTTTTTGTAAAACTTTTTTCAAGTGAGCGTTCCAGGTGAGTCTGTTATCAAGTACAATGCCAAAATATATCACCTCCGTTCCAAATGGAATGACCTCACCAATGAGGGAAAGTGGCGTTAGATCGTCCAATTTTCTCCTTCTGGAGAAGGGTTGCTGGGGTTGCCAGACATCTGCTCCCTCAGGCACCAACTGTGAACATCGTCCAACGTGCTTTGGAGGATATTACAAGCTACCCTTCTCGACGTGGACCTTGCCAGGATGACAAGATCATTTGCATAAGCTTGCAGATTAACTTTTCTCCTGTCGAGGGCATCAAACAGACTATCCATCAGGAGCGACCACAGAAGGGGAGGTAGTACCCCACCTTGAGGGCACCTCTCCTGGTGACCCTGAACCTAAAGATATCTCCTTGAAGTATCGCAGTTGCAGTTCTGTTTACCAGCATGGCATAGATCCAGCCAGTTATGGTTCATTCTATACCTTTCCTAGCCAGAGATTATCGTATAGATTTTGGTAGTGCATTGTCAAATACTCCTTCAATATCAAGAAAAAGAGCAACCGCAATTTTCTTGTAGTCAAGGAATTGGGAGATTTCCTCAACAAGGTTGTTTAATGCTAAATCTATCGATTTGCCGATTCGATAAGCATACTGGTGATTATTCAGGGGGGATGCATATAATGCTACCCTCCGTTCAGTATCCTCTCAAGTCCTTTCAACAGGAAGGATGTAAGACTGATTGGTCGTACCGGTTTAGACTGTTGGTCTCTCCAACCCACTTTAGGTATATATACCACCCTTGCTGCCAACCAACTGGGTGGTACATATTTCCATACTCTATATTATTTCCAGTCTGTTTAGAAGAAGAGCTGGAAATATATCATCCTCTCCAGGAGATTTGAAGGGCTGAAAGGACTTCATAGCCCTACATTTCATAGTACTTGACTGGCCAATAAATAGCGTATACTTATACACAGGAAAAAAAAAGTTGATTGAAAACCATCAAGTGTGGAGTTCCACAAGGGGTTCTGTTTAGGTCCGACTTCATTCTCAATTTACATCTAGAGGACTTAAAACAATATTTCTTTGGTTGAGATCTCATGAGTTACATTTTAACAATAAATATCGCTATACAATTATAACCAGAAGAAAATCAGATTACAATACGTTTTTTCTGAATTTCAATAATAATTCGATAGAGTTTAAGGAAGAAGTAAACATTCTAAGTTCATATCTAGATCAGAATTCATCTTGGAATTCACATATCAGTCGACTCAGAAAGAAAATTGCACCTCTTATAGACACTTATATTTTATGAAATAATGAATATTATTCCTCTTGAATATTTAGAAACAATTTATTTTGTTCTGATTTATTTAAATCTTCAATACCTAACATCAGTTTGGGCGACAGCTAATTCCTCTCATTCGGAACCTTTATAAATCATAAAATGTATATATAAGCTGAATTAGATAGAGAGGACCGGCAATCTGTATGAACCTAGAAAATTATTTAATATTAGGGGAATATACTATTTCAAAATATGCATGTGCAAATATGCACAAAAGTTAATTTGGTTTGAAATGCAATTTTCATGATGGAGTTAATTCATATAATGAAATACCTAACAATATGAAAAATTGAATTATATGAAATTCAAAATACAACTGAAAAAATATATTTTTTAATAGGCTGACAATTTTCTAGTTTCACAAATTTTTATTTGTTTTTATTATTTGTTGTAGTATTTTGAGTATGTCACTTTGTTTCTTCTATAAACATGTAATGTTTCTTGAGATTGATATATTTATTATTATTAGTATCAATATTATTATTTTTATTCGTTGGATATAAGACACATTCCAGAATGGATATGTTTTTGAATTTGTTGAAATAAGAACGGGAAGGCAATTATCGTTTAATTTTCGTTAACCTAACTTCGGGAGTGAATAATTGGACTATGAATGTGAACTTTGATAGCAAGCTATAAGCAAAACGTGTTTCGATGTTTCTCAACATGGCATAGAGAACGGACACAAAATAAGAGAGGAACGTTTGAAGTTGTTGAGACCAGTTTACGACAAGTTTTAAATAACATAGAGGCCCAGCTGAATGTAATCTGTGCTATTAATGTAATTCTATATTTTTAAAGGTTCATCTATAGTAGATTTATTTATTAGTGACATTCTATTCCAAATAAATATTATTATCACTGCTCTACAGTTGTATTGCTATTATAAAAATGTGCCTAAATGTGAATTTACTACCAAGTAAATTATTTTCGCTCTTTGTTTAATTAGAAATTGGCATGATATTTCGAAATGTTTGTGAAACCTCAGGAATATTACTGGAGTTTTTTCCCAACACCAAATCGTTATTTTTACACCTCGACACGTGTTTTGATCACCAAGTGATCATCTTCAAGAGGAAGATAAAACTAATAACTACTCAAAACTAAAGCTACTTATACAAATCAGGTACATCATAGAGGTAGGTAATCAGTAATACCACCCATACAAGTGTACCACCCTAAATTAATTTTACAATTGGCCTTTCTATTATTTACAATATGTCCTTATGTATGTTTAAATGTTACAGCTATATATAGAACAATTTTCAGCTATATAAAATTAGTTTCACAATATTGCCTATCTAAATATATTTACATTGTGTCTTTTTGTAGTAATCAGTAAACCAACAATATTATTTCAACAAGCTATATAGTATGCTATTTGGTATTGGTCCGTTGTCGTTATTCATAATATTATTATGTTTACTTATTTCCACACTCTCATAGGCATCTAGGCATCTAGAATAGCTTGTTGAAATAATATTGTTGGGTTTACTGATTACTACAATAAGACACATTGTAAATATATTTAGATAGGCAATATTGTGAAACTAATTTTATATAGCTGAAAATTGTTCTATATATAGCTGTAACATTTAAACATACATAAGGACATATTGTAAATAATAGAAAGGCCAATTGTAAAATTAATTTAGGGTGGTACAATTGTATGGGTGGTATTACTGATTACCTACCTCTATGATGTACCTTATTAGTATTAGTAGCTTTAGTTTTGAGTAGTTATTAGTTTTATCTTCCTCTTGAAGATGATCACTTGGTGATCGAAACACGTGTTGAGGTGTAAAAATAACGATTTGGTGTTGGGAAAAAACTCCAGTAATATTCATTACTACACCAAAGGTTCCACAGTATATCACAAGTAAACCTCAGGAAGTTCTTATAGCCAATGCATTCTGGGAAAGCGAGAAATCTTTCATCTACTTTGTACTTCAACATCGAAAAGGTCATGAAAATATCATAGGGTTATCATCACTTCTTGTTGGGACGATGGACAGTATTTTTGATACAAAGTCAGCACCCTACAGAATATTACATCAAACACCGTCTTCTGAAGTATATTATTTGGTAGCTGGTGCCATGACAAGAAAAGAAATATTGCAAGATTGGGATTGGCTTTTTAGTAACGTGTGCAAAACTCTACATTCCTTTGATAGTGAAGATGATATAATAGAGTTTGTAAGATGTAAAATAGAGTCTGTTATTGCCACAAGACATGAAGCTAAAATTGATGATGAAGATACTACATCTCTGAAAGTGAAATCTCAAAAGTTCCAGATATTATTTGACTTGCCAGCAGATGAAATACTTGTGAATTATTATTCATGCAGAGAATTATTATTCATGCATGTATCTATCTCTGGATCATTGTTGCTTTCACGCCTTCATTCTTGGAGTCGATACCAAGGAGTGCATACGTTGGTCACAAGTTATCAGCTTAACCGAGAAAAACAGTCTCATTTTACCTGATTCCGTACAGATATGCACCCGAGAAAAAAAGTACAATTCCACTATGTTCCTTGAGTTTATGAAAAACGGAGCTCATTATATATTATTATTATTGTTTCATCGGTTCGTGATGCATTTGTATTTAGTTTATAGTTTATATAAATATTTGAAAGAAGTTTTAATCACATACTGATGATGCTAACTTGGTTAGCAAAAGGGGTTTCAATAGAAATATTCCACGCCAGAGGTTCCAAATTCTATTCGTCAAGTTTTGGTTACCTTGTTTGATATACATTATGCGTGATAACTTCAACAAATCATGCCTTTTTGCTGGCTGGAAATATTTTGAATTGGACAATCACCTGAATATCACCGTGCCTCAATTCCGGCATTGGAGGAGACCAAGTCACTAAAATTTCGGTAGAAGATATCGCTCTGGCTGCAGGATTCAATGGAGAACCCGCAGGACGTTGCGGTTCCGTCCTGAGAACGAGGTCCTCGCTTGGCGAACTCTTTCCTGCTGGACCCTCAGCGATCACGTGAAAGATGTACTTCGTGGCAGGTTTCAGGTCTTCAATTAGGGCGACGAAAGGTAGTGGAGAATCGGTCAACTCAATTTGGTGCCATGACCCTGAATTGAAAAAAAATAAAGGAATTGAGTGGAGACAGCTCAGTTGAGGTGAGTACGAAGTATAGTTCATCTTCTGCAGCTCTGGTGTGAGGAAGCAGTGTTTGAACTGCAAAAAGGGTTATGTAGCCCTATGGATAGAGTTTTGAATAACAAAGTGAAGGAATTTTTATCTATCATTATTAGGAATTGACGTTGGGTAATATCATTTTATGAATTTAATGAGCATGTTGTGAATGCACTCGATGTCTTCAATGTTGTTGAAGAAGACACTATGCATTGGCTCATCTTTGTGTTGCCGTAGCAGTAAATAAATCTATGCGGTTTTATGTGACTTTTTGCTGAACGGGTTCTAACTCGATAAAAGAGTTGTGGTCACCTCGTTCATTGTCGAAAACTAAATCGAGTTCATTAGCTGCTTGGATAGCTGCCCCGAAAAAAAATGCAATAATTTCGCCTCTCTCATGGTCGCGGACCATGCAGGAAAGGAGATCCGAACTCCTTCAAGGGCTCCATCCAGTACCATTCAGTTATGTAGACACTCCAAACTCGAAAGTACACGGCCTCCTTGTTGTGCGGGAAAGTACAATCGTAGAACTCATGATTTGGAATGGGAAAAGAGTTTTTACGCCGAGTTGATACATCTCCTCCCGTGTCCACTTCACTACTCCAAAAGAGTAGAGTGAGATTGAAACGAAAAGCATATTCTTAGCAGCAACTTTGTTTCTTACCGACAATTCCGATGACCAGATTTGTCGGAGTTTATAATGATACTGGTCGCAGAGAGAATTCTTCACTGATGTTGCCTCTCGTGAGGTAACATCAGTGTTCCACCCTGAGATAATATCAGTCACTCCGGCATCCTTGTTGTAGAATCTATGGTGTAGGGTGCTTCCATCTACGAGCTGTACATCCTTTCAATAATCTTCGCATCGTCCTCTTCTGATAAAGACTGTCGCACATTTGTTTATCCCAAATTTCATACCGTTATTATTCGTGTACTGTTCCACCACTCTCAAGGACTGATGGAGGACCTTTTCTCCGGAGCCATAATGTTTAAGATCATCGATATAAAACAAATGAGTGACTTCATGCCTCCGGCTCTCGGGTATTATATTCTCGAGTATTTCTGAGTGCAACGGGTTTGTGTGACATACTTATAGACTTACACAAGATCAAGTACTTACTGTCCAGTTCTCTGTATTCCACAATGAATTTGAAAACTTCGTTCGAGTCACCAGATTTGTGCTGCCACTTCAAGTTAACAGATCTGCTACTTGTCATAGCAGCCTCAAGGTTCTGCGGTGGACCTGGTGGTTCCTGAACCATCAGTTGTACCAGCTGCTGATCTCTACCGTACATATTACTAGCTTGACAGAAGTACGCACCGCTGTCTTTCGCGTCAGCGTTGATGATTTGTAACTCTGCAGCCACCTGAAAATAGTTGAAGTTCACAAAATCATGAAGAAATCAATCATGGAAATGAAGCCATTATCGCTACACGATGATATACAAAAACATAATTGAACTGAATGAAAATAAACGGATTGAAATAGGATTTATCGTTTATCAGTTTTGATGTAGATGAACCAGTACATGGTCACCACTTTTTTCACTCTAACATCAGATTTCTTTGATCTTCCGAATACTTGCCATGTCATTTCCATTTTAAAGGCGTCGAAGGATGAGTTTCTGATCCTTGGTCTATACCAGCGAAAGTGTATCTGTTTTTAATTTTTTTGTTTAGAGGATATGGGTGATTTTCTTTTCTAGTGTATTCGGTAATTTCCGTCTATGAATTACCATCAAGGAAATGAAAATATTTGATCACCAGGGAAATGAGAGCCCAGAATAGTATATTAAAATGATGATAGTGTTGGTTTTTCTGGAAAGTTATTGCAAGGAGAGGTTTTTTTTGAGATGATACTCCAGTTCCTCCGCCTGTTGAGTTTTTTTTTTGATATCTTTGTTCAGCTAATGTGATTCAACACTTTAGTCTGTCGAAGACCTACATGGAGAGACTGTGAGAGAAACTAAAACCATCAGACGCCGACGAATTTACTGTACTTGCTGTCAGACCTCAACGAGCCTGAGAGGACTGAGCCAATAAGATGGAAGGGCAAACTATCACCAGAGGAATGGGACACAAACATCAGGGAAATGTGAAAAATCGACAAAGAGATGGTGATAGAGATAATGAGGTGATTAGTGAAGCGGATGTAGTAGAGAACGAGGTGATAGGCCGGATGAGGACTGGGGTAATGAATGTAGTCGAAAACGAGAAATTGTTACAGCCTTGTCATTGACTAGAACAATTATTCTTTCAGAAGTACTGTGAAAAGTCATTTTTTGACGGAATATCCTGCAAATGGTTATATCTTGGAATATATTAATAAAGTAAAAACACACAAACGGACTCAATAAGGCTTTTCACGGAAAGTAACTCTTTGAATTTGTTGAAAGCGAAATCATGTGAATTTGTGTCAGTTATTATAGATTCCAGAATCTGATTCCAATTCATAACCGTGATTAACATCTTGAAGGGAACAATCACAAAGGTCATTTCTGTAAAAAATCTTGTCAATTTTATTATTATTTCCTGATTTTTATCAGAACATCGATTTCCATGTGTTGCTCTCAACCATATACTCACCCCATCAGGAGTAACATCCTGTTTAACATTCACTCTGTAGTTAGTGGACGGATTCATTTCCGTTTTTCCCCCTCGTAGCCATATAACGCTGATTGGTTTGTCCCCATTCACATCACAATGTAGTAAAGCGGTGTCACCTTTCTTGACGGTGACTAGCCGGGAAGGGGCAGAGAAATAAGGAGAAGCTGAAATAATTGAACCAGATTAGAGACTGCTGTAACTGAAAAGTTAACTAAATAACGTTACTCACAATCAACAATACGGATTTCCAAATTCTATAAATGAAATGGTTTTTAAAACGATGTTTGAATGAAATTCAAAGATTGGGCCATTAAATACTTCTTTTTAAACTACTGAAAATGTATCTGCTTCAAGAAATTCTATATTTTGTTGCTATCGAAGAAAAGGTCAGCATTTCTAGAAATGATTCGAATGAATAAAAATATTGAAGTAGTAACATAGAGAAATTCAATGAATTACAGGGACTTCAATGAAGGTAGGTTAAGAAATTAAAAACCCATAGAAACTCAAGTAAATATGTAAACATTGCCAGCAACTTTCCGTGATTGCTAGATAATAAAACTAATGGAAATGAAATTCTGGACGCTAAAATGATCAAGGAGATAATTCAGACAATTGGGCGTGTTATCTTACATTTTTTGAACAGCTCTTTATCAAAGGCGGCAATTCTAAATGAGCTCAAAGTTAGCATGATAACTCCCTGTTAGAAATCACACGTTAAAAAGTAAGATCTCGTTAATCCTTAGCTGGCACGAGTTTCGATTTCTGAGTATTGTCGTTCGTAGGGGTGCGACAGCTGGTTGACGGAAAAAACATTTTTTTTAAACCTTCCTTTCTGCTGACGAAAAAAAAATTGTTTCTGAACAATATGTTCATTTGCTGATGATGATACGTTCAAGTCAGATTTTAATGTTGAAGATGGTTTGGAGATCGTCAATAATATATAACTGAGCAGATGTATAATCACGAGGCGGAAAAGAGATATGTAACTGCGTATCTTCCGCATAGTGAAGTATATTGCATGAAAAAATCACAGATATACAAGCTGAAAATCGAAGGCCCGAGGATAGATCCTTGTGGCACTCCCATTGATACCGGTTGAGCATCCGATACAATTCCATCCACAACAACATAACAGGAGAGGTTAGATTCTCTGAAGGAAGCTCAACAGTTTTGACATTGTCACAATGACGAACTTACTCGAGAATCAGGTCTGTCATAGAACTTGCAGAATTTTCATGATCGAAGGAGAAAAAATGATTAGTCCCAAGCTGAAAATTTCTGTGTCGAAATAGAGAACGAAACTTATTGGCTTCTTTTCTGCTGTTTTGTTTTGTCTTTTCTTTAGTCCTTTTACAAAAAAAATCATTTCAGAACATTATATTTGTGAGGAGTCTTGATAGAAATAGGACAGAGTTTTGAGTTGATTTGTCAAGCTAATGATGATGAGTATTTTTGCATTGATATGAGCATTGAGATACATTACTTTTTCAGTCTATGGGAAACATTCAAAGGAAAATAGTTACCAAGGAAAATGGGATACTCATATGATGACATATTAGTGCTGGGGGTGAATGTTATTGAATATATAAATACAGTGTGTCATTGCTTTGATGTTACAAGTGATGTTATAGGCTAAACTGTGTTGAATTTGTTTAGATACTTACAATTGACTCGCAGTTGGATCACTTTTCCAATACCAGTGCCAATTCCATTATCCGCTTGGCACAAGTAATAACCTTCTCTGTCTTCTTTCACATGTTGGAGCAAGAGAGTCCCATTTCCTAACAATTTAGTATACATGTGGTCTCGGACTCCTTCATAGTCGCCGGACTTACTGGCTGAATAAATAAAATCTGATGAATTATACGGAAAGAACTTGGTCTTGGTTTTGAATTGGTACAAGTACTCAAGCAATAATACAAGTGTACGATCTAGAAAAAAATTGTAGAATCGAATTGTACATTGACATTTTCCTAAATGTTTCACAATTTTCAAAAGTTCATTAGAAATGAAAATATTGCTGCAGATGAAAGTTATCCTTGGCTATCTGGTTGTATTGTGAATGACCTGAAATTTGCTCTTAACTCGATGTAGTTGGGGTTGAAGAGAAAAATGAATTGATCACTGGCAATGGCACTGTTAAAGACATACACGATTGATATTTGTGAAAATGAATATTTAGAAATAAAACCCCGAACCATTTACTTCTCCCAATGTACCAAAGTTGGTTCTGGTAAAGGCCTGTCGGAAAACGACTACTTCTTCGGCTAATACTACGCTGGATATTGAATTACATCCGGCAGAAATTTATGCGAAATAACTCACGAAGGTATAGGTATTACAGATATTTCTCTTTCTATGTATGTATCTATCTTCGATACATACATTGTACTTATTTTGATTTCTGTCAGACGATTGACGTTATTTACTAGATATTTCGGTGAACTGAATTTCTTATCAGTAAATAAACCCTCAAATTGAAAAGAGTCAAATTTTCTGAAAATTCATGTACAGGTAGAAATACTGGAATCAGATAATCTAGCGGAAGGATTTCATAACCAATAAGAATCCGGATGGAAGAAATACCACGCTGAAGTTTGTAGAGGAGGAAAGGCGAAATATCTGTGTGTTAGAATGAGAAAGCCCAAAATATCAACTCCAACATCTGAAGGGACAAGCAAAGGAGAAGATGATGATGATGATAACTTGTGATACACTGTCCTCGACACGTGTCGAGGTGTGAAAAAGGTTTTGGTGGTGGGACAGACCTTCAGTAATATTCAATGATGATTTCAATAATCAAAAGAAACAAACATTTTCACACAGGCATTATTGAAAAATATTTTTTTCGTGATTTCAAAGCTTCAATATCAGTTAACTTATAGTAGGAAGAAAACAAAATCTTCCTCACGAAAATCCCGTCTATGGGATATACACAACACTCAAATCATGAATATCAAAAAATAATGTGGGGACTTCATCTTTCTCTGCAACTTCCACAAGCTGGCTACTTCAAACCAAAGCCTTCGCTTTTTCTCACTCTTTGTCTTTTGATGACGGCTGAGTACAAAGGAGCATTGTGATTCAGCTCAGCAGCATTGATGAGACCACTGGCTGGTCGAAATAGAGCTGAATGATTATAGGCCAAAAAGCTAAAAGATCCAAATGAATAACGGTTATGATATAATGATAACGATATATGATTCGCAGGAAATATATAAGTGAACCCAGACTCAAAAATTGACAGCAAGCAGAAATGTTATTCCAAAAAATAGAAAAAAATTATGATGAGCTTTGGAAAGGGCTGATCAATTCTCACAATGCATCAGAAATGCTAGTTGCCGATTTACTTTTCGCCTTGCTTGATATTGACTAGATGAAAAATAATAGGTGATTCTTAGTAGTTTTGAGCCCGGTTAACGATCTGAAGGTTATGAGTTAGAATTCTCCACCAAAAAGATATTTTTCCTGCAAGAATTTATCTAGTTGAAGAACAATTCCATCATGGTGAATGATGGAGAAAGAGCCTTATAGGTATCAATCGGTATTTCATAAACGTACGGAGAAGCTGCACTTTAGAAAGTTTACCATTAGAAGTTGTAATCTTCCTGAATTGAAATTGTTTCATTTAGTAATGCATCTTCCGGGAAAAGGGTTTAGCTTAATGTGAAAACTTTTCATTATGCATTGAGTTTTCCGAACTTTGAAGAGGGAACGTATTTGATCTTGACCTCTAAAGTGGGAAGAATGTTATCCTAGGCAGGCAATCTATTTGTTACAGCTGAGAAAAGTTAAGCATTTGTTTTGAAATTTTGTTCCCTTTATCTTTGATAATCGTGAAATTATTTCTCTGTCGATCCAATATATGGCGTTTTCGTCACCACCTTCATGCTTCAGGCTGTTACATATTGGATTTCACAATAATTATAATAAATTTTCACGACACTGTTTTTTGGTTTCCAAATTTCAAAATTAAAAAAAAGTTATTTAAAATGGGTTCAATAATGTTACACACAGTTTATCGACTAACATTGAGGAAATATAAATTCAGAGATGTCATGAAAGGCAGAGCATTGTAAGTGAGTTTTCAGTTTTGCTTTAAAAATGGCTATTGAAGCTTCTTCGATAAAGTCTGGTAGAGAGTTGAATAATCTGATACCAATACATTTTTTATTCGTAGAGGTTAGTCTGTTATCTGGAATAGCGATATGGGATCTCATTCTAGTCAGATAATTATGTGTATCTCCAGTGAGTGTGTACAAATGCATGCGCGTTTTTATGTAGATTAGTTCGTTATAAATAATTGCTGACGGAAGTGTCAGTATTTTGAACTTAATGAACCATGGTTTACAGCTTTCAATCTGAGTTATACCAACCAGACCTCAAATGGCTCCTTTCTGGATAATAAATATCGACAGAGTGTAGCAAGATTGGCCTCAGTTGATTAGACCGTAAGTCATAATCTGTTTAAAATCTGTTTTTCCGTTAATCAGTGAAAATACAGTGAAAAATTCCATGGTAAGCAGAGATGACTGCCTCCAAGTTCCCTAGCGATTTCATCCGTCTAATTGCAGATATTGCTTTTGATAACGTGCTTGTTACTTGATCTACATGAAGTTTTCAATTTGAATTGGGATCAATAATATGTCCTAGAAATTTTACGCTCTGAGTAGCAGTATGCTTGATATTGAAAATAAGTGTCTGAGTCTTGCATGTGTTCAAAATGAGTTCATTTGCTGTGAACCACTCAGTAGTTTGATTGATGATCGATCCTATTGTTTTCCCAATTCTTGTAGAATTCTTTTCGATTCTGGTAACATATCGGAGGTAACATTATCGACAAACAAGGTTGGTCATTTATATGAATCAAGAACAATAGAGGTCCCAAAACGGTTCCTAGTGAAACACCTTTGCGTATTATCAGACTTGAACTGCTCTGATTATTTCAGTGAACTATTTGGGATCTATTTTGAAGGTATGAGGTCATCAGTATTATTGCGGAGTCAGAAAAACTGTAGAATTTATTTTAACTTGTCAATTAGCATAGTGTGATTGACACAGTCAAACGCTTTACGGAGGTCAACAAAAACCGCCAGAGAGAGAGGGTTGCGGCTTCAAACCCATCGGCTACAAACTCAACAGATCTTCTCAATGCTTAAGCTGTAAATTTTCCTTTCCTGGAACCATACTGATGTTCTGAGAAGAAACTGTTCTCCTCGAAATAATTAATTATTCTGAGGTAAATCAGTTTCTCAGCTAATTTTGCTAAAATAGGTAGTAGAGCTATTCCACGGTAATTATTCAGATCATCCCTGGCCCCTGATCCAAAGATTGGAATTATTTTCGCCGTCTTAAGGTTTTCTGGAAAAATATTGTCACACAGAATGATGTTTATGATATGAGTGATTGGGCTAATAAGAGACTCAATATTTTCTTTATATATTACTGTATTATGTTCATAAATCTCCGACGCAGAAGAATTCTTTAGATTCTTCAGTATTTCATATACTTCACTTCCGCTTGTTGGGTAGAATGTGAAAAAAGTTTGCACACTAATATTAGATTCCAAGAGGGATTCAGTGAATGCCTAGACAATCACGACCAATGACTGTGCAATTTGATCTTCATGAAGTTGAATATTACTGGAGTCCTTCCCAACACCAAACCGTTATTTTACCACCTCGAAACGTGTTTCGATCACCAAGTGATCATCTTCAAGAGGAAGATAAAACTTCTCTTTGAAATGATCACTTAATGATTGAATCACGTGTCAAGGTGTTAAAATAACGGTTTGATGTTGGGAAAAACTCCAATAATATTCATTACTACACCAAAGGTTCCAAACAGTGCATCACAACTTCATGAAGTTGCTGAATTTGCTTTATGCTTCAGGCAGTTAAGGTGTGGATGTTCTAGCTTTATTCTAGACCAATGATAGTATAATTTGACTTTCATAAAGTTACTGAATTATGGGTGGTTTTCAATATCCGAAATGATCATCGATAGCCACTCATAATGGATGCACTTTGAGAAAATTGCAAAATAAATTCCTATCATTTCACCCCACTGGTTGATTGTGGCAAAGTTGATAAACATTCGAAACGGTTCCGATATTTCTGTTACAAATATAATTGTATCTGTTTAGTATCTTCAGCTTGCATTCTGCAATGTCGAAATTGAATCCATCAAATTATGTTGCAAACTGAAAGCTGTTGATTTAGGAACATCCGATTCAGCAATAAACGTTTGTTCAGTTCCAACAACCTTGATGTTACTGACTCAAAAGTTTGATCAAAAAGTGGATGCGAAAATGTTGGGCGAACTTAGGTGTGGAAATAACTCTTTTAGCAATGAATATATCATATTCCAAACTACTAAAGTGAGAAGAGACCTGTGGCTTTCTTCCAGATGACGGTTGGACTCGGCACTCCTTGAGCTTGGCAGTGTAGAGACACGTGTCGATTTCTCTCTACACTCACGTCCACTGGTTCTACCAACCATCTGGGAGGTACTGGAACAACATCAATGAGTTTGAGAAAATTATTTGGGTGTAAGGAAATACATATAGTTTTTGCAATGGTGCCGTCGTGGGTGGGAACACTGACCACACTCTACACGGTTGATGGATGCCCTTCGGAAATAATACAGTGGAGAACGTTTTGGTTTCAATGCGATTCTTCAGGAGTTTGTTGAGCTCTTTCTTTGATGATATAAAAAATTAGCTGCGTACCATGACTTATACGTTCTGTTGATATTATACTTCGAATATAATATATAATTCATCATTAACTGAGACAAGTAAGTATGATAATGCGAATAAATAAGCTGATAGTCTTCCAGTGATGATCTTGTACATTTCTATGTTTTAAAATTTTTTTTTAGGTAATTGTATAGATTTTCAGTTGGTTCTGAGAACATTAGTGGTAGAATACGTTTTGTTGCTTCATTTTGTGAATATCTCGATATTTTCAAGGTTGAAAAAGTTTCCTGAATGCTAATTGATACTGGGATACAGGGTATGGATTTTTTAGAATACAATAAAAATGAACTATAACACATATCATATCATAGATTTTCTGACAAAATGTACAATGATGTCCAAATTACACAACCATTCATTCGGGTTTCAAGAGCATTCCTTTAGGTTTTCGCCACAACCATTCCTGTAGGGTTTCGCCATATGTATGGTTTGGGCAGTCTGAAACAATTTGGAAGATCGTTTGTCTTGGCGATACACAATCACACTGCAGACTTTTGATGAGGCCCCATCGGTGTAGAGAGTCGGCACATTTACCCTGTCCTATCCGTATTCGATTCAGCTTTGACCAAGTGGAACGTGGGAGGGCTGACCCATTGAAGCCGAGTTCAAAGTTGGTTATTTGAATGTAGTGGAATGCTGTTGTAAGCAGTCATCATGCTGTCCATCGCTCTTTCATATTGTATTCATCAGTCATTTTGGAGGCGGCTCTGATAGGAGGATGTTTCGATTTCAGCCTATGGCGTTCTTGGGTGATGTATGTGGCTTCTTCGTGGATCGGTTATCGTTTGACATTATTTTTTGATGCCAGTGCTATTGAGCCTCATATATTCGGCGAGGCGATGTTACTTAGAGTACGAAGCCATCTCACAGGAGTTGATTTTATGGTTCCAGTTATTATTCTCATCATTTGATTCAACTGAACGTTAACTTCATTGGTGTGAGCACTATTTACCATACGGGTGCACATTATTCTGCCGTAGAATATACCAAAGCCAACGCGGAGGATTGCAGTATGGTCGCGGCAGCTCACCATGACCTTTCGATGAGCTTACTTATTATTTTATTGTGTGTTCTCATTTTGGCGGTTATATTCGTAAGATGGTATCTGAACGTCAGGTGTCCTGTCAAGTGTAACACCCAGGTATTCAGGGGTATTGCTACGTTTGATGACTCTGCCATTGAAAGTAAAATTGACGGTTGGAAGGGAAGAGGAAGGCCTTAGTCTTGCTGGTGTTGGGACAAGGTCGCCATCGCTTGAAGTATTCGACAAGAGCTATCAAATCTTGGTTTAAGGCCCTCGCTCCTGATGTCTTGATTCTATCTCGAAATGCAATGACCAAGTCGTCGGTATAGGTGAAATTATTTATTTCGTTTCATTCAGGTTAGCTGTGTAGATGTTGAATAACAATGGAGCAAGTACTGAACCCGGAGGGAGGCCATTGTTCAGCTTTCAGACGCCGCTCATGGTGACAATAATATATACCTGGAATATTATGTTGATCAGGAGGCTACTTATTAGCTGGTTTTGAGACAGTGTATGACCCTCATCATTCTGTACAGAAAACCTTCTCTCCACACAGTGTCGTGTGCAGCCATAAGGTCAATTACCGTGACAGCTGTTTTCTTCACACTTTTCGAAACCAGTCTCAATGGAAGTTGTTGAGGACAACACCTGGTCGTAGCAGCTGCGTCTATTCCTAAAACCAGCCTGCTCAACTGGACTACGAGCGTCAATGATGAAATATACTTTGTTATATATAAGGCATTCTAGGAGTTTTAGCGGCAATTAAAAAGGGAAAATCGATCGGTAGTTCTCAGGTAACTCGCTCTCTTTTCCAGGTTATACGATTGCAATGATCCTTATTCTCTTAAATTCTGGTGTTAGCATAGAGGTCTCCAGTGCATCACTGAAGAAGTTCTTGAGTCACTGTCTTGTTCTTGGGCCGCTATGAACCAGAAATTCGGGGTACATTCCGTCAAAACAAGCTGTCTTTTCTGCTTCGGTCCGACTCAGTGCTTTCTTGATTTCATCTAATGTGGAGCCGCTTGAGTATTTAAAAGTTGGTGCGGTATTTCCTTTGAGTTGTTTCAGGGCTTGTTTGTAGAAACCGTGTGGGTCTTATCAGATGGAGTGCGGGAGACCTCAACTATTCTACTGGCTATCTTATTCGGGTCAATATTTGAGTTGTTTGAGTGCTTTCCTCTGCTGGCTTCTCCCAGCCTGCGGAGTAAACCCCAAGCCCTCAGGCTAGAGCGAGAGAAATCAAGGTGTTCTATAGTTGATTTATATTTATTCAATGTAGTTGAGTCTAGGAACAGCAGCAGGTTGTCAGCTATATCCGGGTCTCCCAATTCTACAAATTCGTCATATAGTTGTTGGATCTCTTTCGTCCAGCCCGAGAGGTATTCCGTCTACCTCCTGGAAGGCGTGCAATGATAAATCGCCCTCTCGTGGTGCACCCTGGGTAACGGTATAGATCTATCACCACTGGATGCCAAACTAGCTATTACGCTCTCTTACCTAGCAATAGCAATAGCTCTAGATTCAAATAGAGTGAAGCTTCAAATACTTCAGAGGAATATAATTTCTATAATTGTATATATTATTCCTATGATCGAATTGCATGATGTTTGCCATCAGATTCAATAGACTACTGAATGATTATGAATGAGTAACAGAACAGAATAAATTATACCCGAAATAACCTGTACTGTGTTTTCTATTATACAGGTAATTCTGTAACCTACTATGAATTTTTTCCGTTTCACAGTATCAAATACTTTGCACTGATCCAAGAACAGATACATCCATCATCTCTTACAGTTTGAATGCTAGTTATTATATCAATCACACTAGCTTGAGTATCTTTGCATAGAAAGATATACTGCTTGGCATATAATAAAATTTTTATTCTCTGAAAACTCGGATAGCCTGACACTGATTTTATCAGTAATTCCCATTTTCCTATTATCATGCCCATTTCAAATGAATTTAGTGTAACGTTACGGAAAATTGATAAAATTTCACTTTCACCTATTTCCATAAATTTTAAAGTCACATCATCAAAACAATTCGCTTTATGTATCTGAATTATTCATCATTTCATACACATCTTGAGTATTCGCCAGTTTCAGAAACGTAGATACAACGTTCAATGAACCATTGATAACTTCAGTGGTCACAAAAGTTTTTGACGATATTATCATACAAACCGTTAAAATTATAGAAAAAATTGAAAGGCTAGTCACTCATGGTTTCATCATACTGTTTGCTCTCATGGCATTGCTGAATAACAAAGTTTTCGTACAATGAATCATGAATAGTTGTGGTCACTTAAATAGATGTGATATGTTTATTTCGATTATTTTTTTTTGTGTGCATTAGTAGTAAATTGATTATTTTCACAAAATTTCAAACTTGGCGCGCATTTTGAGCCGGAACCACGTCATGTGTGTGGCCCGTCATTGGCTTTCTTTGAAATTATAGAACCGTAAATTGTTACTCATCATGGAACAAATTTTTTGCGCCACCTATGAATTCGAATTTCTCGCCAAAACGGCGGCCATCTTGAGTTCGTTCCCCCTTTTTTTATCTACTTTCGTTAATTTCAAATTTTTTCATGTTGGCTTCTACTTTTTTCTTCGAATATGATTTTGGATACCATACATTCCTGAATTTATGATATTAAAAGTGTTACAAAAAATGGTAGGTTAATTTTATGAAGGGACGACAGTTCATATTTTATTGAATCGCATGAAAGACCAAACTGAGCTACACCATATTATACCGAAGGGTGGGTTGGCTACATGTTACTGGTTTTTGCTGCAAGAAGCATTACTCGTGAGGGAATTATAAATCATTTTATCAAAACGTGGCGGTGGTGTGAACATATTAAGCGGCGTCCCAATCTCAGGTCGCCATCTACAAAAATCACAACGCATTTGTATCAAGAGCAAGAAGCAACTCGAAGAATGATATAATGAACCATTTCTCATGTACGGAAATATCATCATAGTGAACTGAGAAAAAACAACATAACTATTTGTGATATTTTCTCTGTGGTGTGTATCGCAAATAAAAATTTCTGGCCAAAAACTCACCCAAGCAATCGTATCCACCTGATATTTATTTTCCAGAACTCAAATCACCATTTCAAGGAGCCGTTTTCAATAGATAGATGACATGAAGAAGAATACGCATTAAGTACTGAAGTCGATTATGAAAAATGATTTAAAAACGTTGGCCTAGGTTTATTTATTCGAAAAATGCCTATTTTTTTAACAACTTCTCCCCCCCTCCCCCCCTTGACATCAAACCGGAGTTCACTTTGCCACATAAATTTCGAAACAAATGGAGTCACTATATGTTATGTTGATATTTTCGATTTAATTATGAATGTGTACCTGGAAGGATTGTTATATTAGTAAAGAGGCGATAAATTCGAACGAATAATATATATTTTTTGCGTTTCTTTGACTAATTCGTGATGCTCTTTTCGCATAGTAGTGAATAATGTCATGAAACATGTCTTAATATATAAATTTGTGAAATTTCTAGCAACATTCATTATTAATTACTGAATATATTTTTGTTACACACACTCATATACCAAAATTTCAGAAAAATTCTGAAGAACTTACTGTAAGACTTTCAATTTTTATATGTGTTTCTAGAAGTTTCGGATGAAAATGCTACTTTCCAACTTTTTATCAGCACCATTGATTTTCATAATTTGGGATTGAAAGTTTCTCTTGCCGAAAGTTTATATCTATACTTATTATACATTGAGTGTGTAGCATTCCAGTGTACGACATCTATTTTGGTTCCAATAAGAATATTTGTTATAAAATCTTTGTATATTTTTCTAAAAATATTTTTAGAGGTTCTTCATTTCTTATTCCTATATACACATAAGTGAAAAGTTAGTCAGTGCTTTCAATATTTTAAACACATGTATCCATACCATAAATAATAAATATAAATAAATATTTATTCATTGAATCATTTGATAATTTCAAAAAATTGGCATTTTCAGAGATGTATAGAAGTTCTATTACTTTCATTCCAGGTTTTGACTTGATATTAGCAATTTTTATGATATTTACGGATTACCAACTTTCTGTTGTTCCAAAATTCAAAATTTTTGACTATTTCTCACAAAAATAGTATTACAACAATTTCCATGTTCTGTATACATCTGAATATGTTCAAAAAATCATCTAGTCCGATACATTCACTTTTCTTTTCATATGATCAAAATGGATCAACCAAATCAGAATATCAAAAAAAATAGTTTGTTATTTGTTTCGGAAGTTAGTGTAATTCAATGTTTATCTGAAAGTAGTTGTTTCGAAAAGGCTCTTTCTTTCATTTTATTTCACTGCATGAACTACACATCTTCGTGTAGAGTTCATTCCGAAATCAATTGTTTTCTTGTTTCCTATGGAAGTATTAGGAGCGGATAGTTGTTGGTACACAGATGGATCAAAAACAACTTCAGGTTCTGGTGCAGCTGTTTTCTAAATTGGTAGCTTATTGCCAAACATGGCCCTCATCAATAGGAAACTGAACAAATTGTCTCTGGTTTGGATTCCTGGCCATACTGACCTGGAAGGCAATGAGGCTCCTGACACCCTTGCAAAGGAGTATGCTGCAAGCAGCGCCATAGAACATGAACCTGTCAATGGCATAGCTTTAGGATTTGTCAAACAAACATTGAACACCTGGATGGCAAGAAGATTTATAAACTGCTGGCCAAATCTTCCAGAAATGGCTCACTCCAAGGCGTTCATTCATCCTTCGAAGCTTGAAACCGGACAGTTATTGGACTACTTGAAGTAAGGATGAACTACGATGTCTAACAGGTCTTCTCACAGGTCACTGTCGTCTGAATCATCATGTGCAGACTCGGAGAGTCGGAAACGAGCGTGTGTTGTTGCCTCTGTTTGGAAAATGATGAAACATGATATCTGAATCAATTCCATAACAAATGTTTGGAGTACAAACTGAGAAGAAAACATTGTTTTTCCCATGTTCATGCACAAGTAGTTGTTTCGGAAGGGCTCAAAGTGTCTTGAAGTTACATCTTTGCATGATCTACGAATGTTTGTGAAGAGATGAGTCTGGAATCAATTTCTCTCTTCCTTTCATTGGATGATTCTCCCATTTTTTGTAGAAATATGAAAAAGTAGGAAGCCAAAACCTTTTTTTTCCAACTTGAAATAATTCATTCGTCATCCGCTGTTATTGATGCAGATGATTTTGAATTCTAGAAACCAAATATATTGAACTTTGAACTGATTCATTTAATTTTTCCAGGAAAACTACAAAGGTGAGGTATCACAATTGAAAATACTCTTTTTTTTTGTGTTTGTTCCTATGCTATAATGTTTGTAGTTGCTGGTATTGAAGTGAAAGTTGTTGTTCTCTTTGTTTGAATTTAATTTTTTTTCAATTGTTCTATTCCCATAATCTTCAAGATGACATTATTCCCAAAAAAACATTGTTGGCAGTTTCGGTTTCAAAATCGTTATGATAATGAATATTGTCTTTTGCTCCATAATACTTATGGAATCTTCATAGCAATGAATGCAAAATTACTTTTCATGTTGGTCATGAGGAAATTGATAGTTGAATAAATATCATCATAACAAAAATACGTAAATTGGTTCAAGAATGAAATTTTCTTTCCCATCTGATTCTTGCGATTGATACCAAAGCGCTAGACAACATAACAAACTACGAAACGAAACAATTCCTCATGCAAACGTCAATCAGAAACAAGGAAAAGTGATAGTGAGAGAAGAACAAAAGACGGTGCAACAGTACCTTGACCACTGGGTCCATTTGTCGCATGTGCCAAAGCAACGGAGGGTGTGTGTGTGTGAGGTGAGGAGGGGTGTTCGGTGGAAGGACAGGCTCGGGTTGTTACCTTTGACCTGCAACTTTGCAGTGTACCTAACCTCTGAGGCCGGGTTGCTCGCCACGCAGGTAAAATCGCCGGAGTGTCTCGAATCAAGGCTAGAAATGCTGAGGAGGCTAGAGTAAGGGTCAAGGGCCGAAACGTTGACGCCGAGGTTAGGCGTCAATGGTTGACCGTCCTTGAGCCATGAGACCACAAGGGGTGGATCACCTTTACTCACGCCGCAGACGGTACGAGTGCGCATGCCTTCTGATAGCCCGTCTTGGAAGGAAAAGGGCTCAATTATAGGGGGAACTGAGAGAAAACAAGAGAAACAAACATCAGAGATAGAAGAGGAAAAAAGGATTTAAAAAACGCGTCGCACGAGCGCACGCCTGTTTACCATTAACCACTAGCTGCTGGGTGTGTGACACTTCGGCTGCCAGGTTCCTCACCACGCAAGAATAGTTGCCGTTGTGCTCCGGGGAGAGGCTTTCTATCACTAAAATGCTAGTGAACTGGTCCACTTGAGTTATTGACATCATCTGCGCAGGTTCCACTGACCTGCCGTCCTTGTGCCAAGATATGGTAAGGGGCAAGTCGCCTTTGGTCACCGAGCAGGTCAGGCTAGCTCGATCGCCGACGTGCAGGGTGTCCTCTGCGTAGAAGGGACTAACTTTTGGGGGAACTGTAATTAAAGCATGATTAGCGGAAATATATACACGAAATAAATTTCTAGGAATGTTCCTGCGGATCCATGACTGGGCTGCTGATACTGCTGGAAAATGCCTGTGAATGTGCTGTATTAGTGATGTTTATTCACGTGAAATGTATAAGAACTTCTTTTCACTCAAATTGACTGATTTCTTTGAAAAATTAGAGTTCGAATCGCTACGCATGATACGTTGTATATCATATAATTTGGATTTCAATCCAACTTGTAGATAGGTAATGAAAAATCGTAAAGTATGGTGCAAGAAATTATGACTGAATTGATATAAAGATTATGAATCCAATATAGGATAAAGAAACATGAGAATAATCATGGCTACATAACAATTTTTTTGCTATACTTTGAAAATATTTCATTAATTTATTTTTTGTCTGAATTCAGCATCTAGTTAATTTTTCCCCACACGAAATTATTTTTTCATAGATTCAAATGCTACCAGAAGAAGTTTCGCCAATCTTGAGATTTGTGAAAAATAATTCTGTATATGTAAATTGTCAAATGGAATGAATATTTGAATTGAAGGGGTTACATTTTTAGGAGTGATTAATTTTTGGGAAAGAAAGTTTTTGGCTTTCTACTACTCCATCTTGATACAAAAAACAAGGATGAGGGAATCTTTCACGGAAAGGAAGGAAGTAATCAATTTTAAAATAAGTAACTCTATACATGGATGTGTATAATTCAGTGTTCATATAGAAGTATTTGTTTCGAATGAATTTTTTCTTTCGTGTAATTCAATGTTTATATGAAAGTAGCTGTTTCAGGAGGACTTTCTTTCAGTTTGTGTCTGAAAGTTACTTCTTTGCATGATCTTCACATCCATGTATAGAGTTACTTATTTTAAAATTGAATACTTCCTTCCTTTCCGTGGAAGATTCCCTCATCCTTGTTTTTTGTATCAAGATGGAGTAGTAGAAAGCCAAAAACTTTCTTTCCCAGGAATGAATATGAAGTAACAAATGTTTGGAAGGGAGGAGGTGAAAAATGATAATCAAATAATCAGCTGAAATCAATAAAAGTACAAATTTCAGCAATCAAAAATTGGTTGCATTGATGCTTACAAAAAAATATATGTGGAAAAATGAAAAATATAAAGTGATAGAATGAAGTTTAAGGTCGAATAGGAGTTGATGATAATTATTAATGAAATTCTGAAGGAAGAGGCAACAAAATAATGGCAAATCATATGATATATATGGAAGTTATGGAAGGAAGTATAGATATATAATAGGTTATTTTCTCCTAGTACAGCAAAACTTTCACGCAAATATGCTGGAAAAAGGCCAAGAGAAAAGCTAGAAAATAAACTGGTGAAAATAACTGAAAATGATTGGAAATATTATTGAAGAAAAGTTGAAAACAATCATAACGTCATTGAAGTGAGTCCCAATTCATCTTTTACATTTCATTATTTTGAATGAATACGTTTTTCAAGAAATACAAATTTTTGAATTATTATACTCAAAAAATCAAAAACTTCATGAATTTCATAAACTTCTGTTCTGAAAATGATTCCTGCAAAATCATAAACGAAGTAAATCATCAAAAATGTACCACAATGCAGAACTGTCAGGGGAATTTTCTCTCGCAGAAATCCAAAAACGATTCAACATGAGCATGACAAATTCTGCCAAAAAAAATCACAGAACTTTCAACTCTAATCGGGATGTCATCCTCCTTTCATTTAAGGAAATGAGATATGAATACTAGTTGAAAAGAGCTTTCGATTCCCTATCTATTACTACTTTGTTTCTGATCGGTTCGAAATCAAAATAGACAGTGTGTAAATCATGTACTCAGTTAAGCTATATAATGGGGAATGTTCCTCCTGACGAAAATCAAGTAGTTTTCATAAAAGAGCTCTAAAACAACGCATTTTAACCTTATCATTTCAACCTTTTTCTTTAGAAAAATTATTAAAAATACCTAAAAAAGAGGAATGAATTGATGTATTCAACATTTAAAGGGATGAATTCGTTTCTATTTCACCATTTGGCAACATCGGTTATAGCTAATAAAAGACAATGAAACTGTTACCTGTAACATTCTGTATCATATGACATTTCGTGCACCTAGCCTATCTTCCTCTATATAAATAAATAACAAAACAACTGTTGTTTATGTGGCTTGTGGAGGTACTATTGAACTTTAATTTATATTTTGCCTCAATTGTTCATTTATAAAGATAATTTTCCTTTTTCAAAGTAGAATATCTAGGTACGTATGAATTATTTCAACTTGATACAGGCGCTGTTGCCAATATGTGAATTAGAAACAAATCCCTTCAAAAATTGAAACCCAACATTTGAAACATCAATTTGAATACTTTTCGAAGTGAATTTGAAAAAATTATGAATTGAACTCAACTTTATTTTGTTCAAACTTGCATCTGCTGTAATAACCCAAATTGAGGAACATTCTCCATTGTACAGAGTGAGGCAAATTGGACACTTTTAAAGGGAAACTTATGTTTTCAAACTCGAGAGATGAAAAGTGATGACTGTGTCTGAGGGTCAAATTTTATGATAAACATAATGGTGAAAATCACATATCGATATCATTCATCGTTTCCGAGTTAGAGCATGTTTTCGAAAATATGCATTTTTAAAAAGTTTCTATAACTTTTTTCCTGTCAATAATTCCTTGTTTCAATGAAAATATTTCCGGAGCAGTTTTTTACGTAGAATTCAATGGTGTGTGAAACTTATTTTCTCGAATGAGATATCAATAGTTATTGATGGAAAACCATATTGTTCAATGAGACACCCTGTATTTTCCTGCATATTTCAATAGGGCTTGAAATTACCTCTTCAAAAATGTAGCCCACTTTATGTTTTGTTAGATTCAGAGCTTTCAGGTTTTTCAAGCGGACTTTGAAAGGCATACTTCGATCAAGTAGGCTTTGGATGATGCGCCGATAAAACAAAATGCAAATCTTCACTGGTAGCTGTAAAATTTTCATTTTAGCAGTTGAAACGCTCTTCAGTTGGTGGCTTTTGTTCAATTTTCAAAAAGATTAGCAATGAAGTATGCGAATTATAACCCGTGGGTTGGCCTACCTATCAGGCGCGTCCCCAGGTGGTGGATAGGGAAACGGCCAGGTGACTGGGGGACCTATCCGGGAAGCCAATATGTGGCTTTACGGACGAGATCGCCGGACTCCTGGTCAGTATCAGAAATAATTAGGGTGAGGAGAACTGAAACTCCCCAAAAACCTTTGCGAAACATGCCACCGTGGACCAGCCTAACCAAGATAAGGTGTAAGGAATCGTGCCGATAGCTGAATGGCCGCAGGGTGATATGTGGTTACGAAGGATCCCTTTGGGGAACCGGGCGAAACCTCATTGTGATCAGCCTTCCTCTGGTAATGCAGGGCTCTGCCAGAGGTGACCAACTCTTCCCTTGCTAATTGTGGGAACATACATAAATGTAACAAGCAAACATACACAACAAAAACCAATCCCGAAGCTGGACATAAGTGCTCACCGCAATCTATGGCGGTGGCTGGGTCCATCCCAATCTACCGCTCGGAATGAGGCTGGACATAGCAGATCACCTCGTGATGTAATAAAAAGGCGGCGCATTTGCGGCGCTGGGGCCAAAAGGAGAAAGAGAGCGAAAGAGGTAGGAGTGGCAGCAATTATAAGTGCTCCCTTCTCCTCCTCCGCTTCACCTCCAACAGCAAAGGCACTTCCTGCGGCGGGCGCCAAGATCTCCGACTTGAATAAAGGCAAGGAACCGGCTGCCCCTGCAGGAAAGCGCCCTCATTTGAACACCTCCATTAGGGGAATCCCAGGAAGGTTGAAGAAGCCGCACAACGACACTAATGTCGCTGCACCTTCCAAAACCTTCGCAGAGGCCGCCGTGAGATACCTCAAGTTTGCCAAATAGAGTGTGTTCGGCGAGTCTTGGTCTACATCTGCCAATATGAAGGAGATGTTTCCTAGTGACCTGTCCACCTTCCTGGAAAGGAAAGGATGGACGATGACTTAGGAGGGCAACTCTTTGGGAGTATGTACAATGTGTCACATGTGACCTAAGTGTTGTGGGTATACACTCATCTTCTCTACTATATACATATATACATACATGCGAATTATAAAAATGAGATATGTATGTTTTATACAAACCGGGAAAAGGGCACAATGGTGGTCAATTTGGAAAGTGAAGGCCAAAATAGGGTCAAATAAGGATATGGAGTTGGAAGGAATAGTCGTTTTAGGAGGTGTTGAAAATAATCTCACGTCAACGAGAAATTTGCAAATATCAACAGGCCTACCAAGAACTGACGTTAGGAGAATTTGAGAAAAAAAAACACAAATTCAAGCCATACAGGATCAGAAGAGTTCATCAACGCAGACCAGGAGATTTTGAACGCCGCATGTGGTTCCTGGAAAGTTGTAAACAAGTGCATGATTTTTCGTTGAGTTGTATTTGGACAGACAAAGCTTAGGTGACCAGTGCTAGCATTTTCGACCGCTACAATTCTCATATTTGGGCACAACAAAATCCTCATTTTATTGTGGAGTAGAGAAGGCATGAAATATTTGGATTTGGTGTGTGGGCAGGTGTTTTCAGGGGAAGAATTATTGCCCCGTTTATTTATAATCGAACTCTCACATATCACAGAGATATTTAGAAATGTTAAGGCAAAATATTGAATCTCTTGTGGATAAATTGCCACTAATGGAGCTACGAAGAATATATTTTCAACAAAATGGGACATTGCCTCACAACACTGCAATTCTCACCAATTTTTTGTTGGCTACAAATTTTGGTAATAATTGGATAGCCAACCAAGGACCCAACCGTTGACTTACAAAGATTTACAGATCTCATTTTTTAATCACTGAACAATTCTAGATACGAATTGGAAGCTGCAGTGACGTAAAGTTTTGCATCTCTCACTCCTATTGAACTAATTAATTCGGCAAACAACGTTCAGAAATGGTGTCGCCTGTATGCAAAAGAAGCTGGTAGACATTTTGAACACCTTTTCTGAAGGACTATATTTCACTGTTTGTTCTTTATCATCATTATTATTGTTGAATTTTCATTTATTGGAAGTATATATAGAATTGATTGTTATCAGGTTGACAACAACAGTTGATAGCGACTACTGAACAATTTCTTTCTGTTTTATCGTCGCTTGTCCAAAGCCTGCTTAATCAAAGTTTGCGTATCAAAATACACATGAAAAAACCTAAAAGGTCTGTATTTGAATAATAACTCTACCAAAACATCAAGTGTGCTACATTTTTGGAGAGGTAATTTTAAGCTCTATTGAAATATTCAGGAATACGCAAGGTCTCTCATGAAAAATAGTTTTCTATCAATAACTATTGATATCATTTGAAAAACAAAAAATTTTTGACAGAAAAAAAGTCACAGCAACTTTCCAAAAATGCACATTTTCTAAACATGCTGTAACTCAGAAACGATCGTGATATCAATATGCGGTTTTCACCAGTGAGTTTGTCATAATATTTGACCCTCAGACACAGTCATCAGTTTTCATATATCTGGTTTCAGAACAGGAGTTTCCCTTCAAAGGTGTCCAATTTGGCCCACTCCGTATATTTGAGGATTCGTTTGTCGAACTCCGTCAGTGCACTTGAGAATAGTTTGATGAATCGAAACCACTCGTGACAATAAAAATCCTAGCAGAAATTAAATAAAAGGTATTTTCTCTATTCTATATTCAATGGCAATTTCCTTAAAATTTCCATCAATCAAACAAGTCTGCCAAATAACAAAGTATCAGTTAAAAATTGGAAATTCATCGATACATTTTTGAGGCTTGACAACACCGTCGCTAGCATGCCTGAAGTTTCTGTAAACAATTTTTGAAGCTCTGTTACGATAGCGACGCAAAACACTAAAATCGCATTTAGAAAATGCCATAATTACTTTTTAGGTGCTTTTTAGGTACCGAAGTAAAAAATTAGGTGCTCTGTAACTTACACCGTAACTAAATACTCAAAGTTGCGTTGCTAGCATTATGTAATGTTAGCAACGCAATGAAAATAATAATAAAATATTGAATGTTAAGAAAACACTATTAGGTGCTAATTAAGTGCTGAACGGTGAGGATCGTAAAATTTTCTAATTGATAAAAAAGCTTCCAATTTCGCTAAACAACAAATCTAAGGATCAGGTCTCTCGAAAACGAGGACAAATGCTCAATCAGGTATAAACGAAGCGTGGTAATAAAGTGCTAATTAGGTGCTTGCAAGAAATTAGGATGAAAACGACCGGGATTGAGCGGAAAAAAATTCGAGATACCTGATTTGAGAAAAAAATTAACAATATGCAATAAAGTCTTGAGATGCTCGTAAACTAATACATAGACAATCAAAATAAAGTGCTTATTAGGTGCTCATTACATATTTATAGTAAACCTAGATTCCATAATTGCTATGGATTCATGGACCTGAAAACCACCATGACTGATGTACTGAGTTCCTGTAGAACGTTCCTCAATAAATAAGGGCAAGAGAATGAGGTGCTAATTAGTTGCTCACTAAATATTCATAGTAAACCTAGATTCTATAATACCTGTTTGTATATTGTTAACTAAATGAATAATTAGATAACCTTTAAATTGCTTTATCAGCCAACTGAACTGTAATAACTGATTTTGTTCTTGTTGAAAATAAATTGATTGATTGATTCTATAATGCCTATGGGGCTCATGGACTTGAAAACTACCATAACTGATGTACTGAGTTTTTATAGTACGTTTCTCAATGAATAATGGCAAGAAAATAAAGCACTAATTAGGTGCTCATTAGATATTTATAGTAAACCTATATTCCATAATTGCTATGGGGCTCATGGACCTGAAAACCACCATTACTGATGTACTGTGTTCTTATAGTAGGTACGTTCCTCAATAAATAAGATAATGAAGTGCTAATCAGGTGCTCACTAGATATTTATATTAAACCTAGATTCCATAATGCCTATGAGGCTTATGGATTTGAAAACCACTATGACTGATGGACTGAGTTTTTATAGTACGATCTTCAATAAAAGAGGGCATGAGAATAAAGTGCTAATCAGGTGCTCATTAGATATTTATAGTGAATCTAGATTCCATAATTCATATGGGGCTTATGGACCCGATAACCACCATGGACCCGATAACCACTATTTGATTCAACATGAGGAGTGTGAGATATTATTTTAAACAGACTAAAGAAAATATTTCGAATTTTTTTCTTTTTACTATAATAATAGCAAACATTTATCCTCGCAGGTTTTCAGAGCTTCATACATCTTCATCTGTTAAGTCGACAAAAAAAGATCAGAGCTTCTTTAATGAGAATTTGCCGAAGCTTCCAAATTTGAGTCAAAATAATTTTTGTAGTTCTACTGAAAGAAAACGCGAAAAAAAAAATTTTTCGTGTTATTTAGAAAGAACATTATAAATTCAGTGACCTCCATAAAGAGTTGAAATATCGAGCTGCACTTCTGAAAGAATTTTTGTAACATTCGAAAAAAAAATTTCTAGACGGTAAGCGAAAGACTGTTTTTATTGGATCACTCCATTCATATAGACAAACCAGTTAAAAGTCATCTTGCGAACGCCTGCTAATAAAAAATAATATGTTTTTAAAATAATAAAGTTATGACTCTCTCTCCAATTGTTTTTTGTGAAAATTAGGATGAAAACGTTATTATATTCAATTCTTGACATTTTCATAGAACTAGATTATTTTCAGCTGTCTCAGACGTGCACTAACGAAATGAATCGGATACCAATCCAATAAAGAACATCAACCACGGAAATTTTGAGCGCGAAAGTCAATAGGCATTATGGAACTCACGTGTTCCATGAATATCTAATGAGTACCTAATTAGCACTTTATTCTCATGTCCTTATTTATTGAGGAACGTACTGTAAGAACTCAGTACATCAGTCATGGTGGTTTTCAAGTCCATGAGCTCCATAAGCATTATAGAATCTAGGTTTACTGTGAATATATAGTGAGCACCTACTTAGCACTTCATTCTCTTGCCTTTATTTATTGAAGAACGTACTATAAGAACTCAGTCCATCAGTCATAGTGGTTTTCAGATCCATAAACCTCATAGACAGTATGGAATCTAGGTTTACTATAAATATCTAGTGAACCCCTGATTAGCACTTTATTCTCTTGCTCTTATTTATTGAGGAACGTACTATAAGAACTCAGTACATCAGTCATGGTGGTTTTCAGGTCCATGAGCCCCATAGCAATTATGGAATCTAGGTTTACTATAAATATCTAGTGAGCACTTAATTAGCACTTCATTTTGATTGTCTATGTATGAGTTCACGAGCACTTCAAGATTTTATCGTATATTGTTAAATTTTTTCTCAAATCAGGTATCCCGATTTTTTTTTTCGCTTATTCACGGTCGTTTCCATCTTAATTTCTCGCAAGCACCTAATTAGCACCTCATTACCACGCTTAGTTCATACCGGATTGAGCATTCGTCCTCGTTTTCGAATGACCTGATTCTTATATCTCATGTTTAGCGAATTTGGAAGCTTTTGTTTATTAATTAGAAAATTTTGCGATCCTCACCATTTAGCACTTAATTAGCACCTAGTAGTATTTCCTTTACATTCATTATTTCATTATTATTCTCATTGCGTTGCTAGCATTATGTAATTGAATATTGCGTTGCGATGTAAGTTACAGAGCACCTAATTTTTTATTTCGGTACCTAAAAAGCACCTAAAAAGTACCAAATTTTGGCATTTTGTAAATGCGATTTTCGTACTTTGCGTCGCTGGCGTAACAGAGCTAATTTTCGAGGCAGGGTCCGTCTTCCTTTCAAACAAACTTGAACTGTATCAGAGACAAATGAGAGACTTATTCTATAGTATTTAATGTTGCTGAATCAACCCACCTATGACGTTGACCTCTCCGCTTCTCCTGGCGCTGTGCCCCTGCTTGTTTCTCGCCCAGCACGTGTACACCCCCGAGTCGGCCTTTTTTTCGACGGGGTTGATGACGAGCGTGCCGTCCCCCAAGACTTTCTGCCGCAGATCGTCGGGCAGCTCCCTGCCGCCCCTTTCCCAGTGGATCTCGTCGATGGGATATCCCGCCACGGGACACTTCAGCTGGAGCGTCTCACCCGCGACGGCGGTCACTTTCGGGATCAGCCGGATGTAGGGCATTCCTGCGGAAAATACCGGGAGGGATGCATGATTTCGTTTCGAAGGGGTGCGGTTATAGAATTATACAGTGTGGTCCGTAGAGTCTATGTCATATGTGAATCATTTTTATTGATTACTTTTGTGAAAACTTGAAATGAATCTCTGCTTCGTTCAGAAAATGAAAAAAAAAGTATATAGTCTGTAGAACTTTTTTCAAGAAATCGGGATATGTTTTGTTACGATATTTTTTTTTAATTCGTTGCATCGATCCAACTTCAATTGAATATATTTCCTGTATCACGAACACCCTATAAAAGTAGTCACTTCTTCATAAATTTCTTTTCTATGCGACAAAAACTCTTGGGTTCGGTACTGATTCGAAACGACGTGAATTAGATAGCGATTCCTGGAGAAAATCGTGAAGATATCTGCCTAAAAAATGTTTTTTTAGCTATCATTGATTGATTTTCGCAGAAGTGCGGATTTAACATTTTAAAGGCTGTTAGGGGTTGAATGTTTGATGCATTTTTGGGTTATTTGCAAGCGAATTCAACCCTTGATTCAATCGAGTTTGGATTAAGATAATAAATTGATTTCGAAACGTCTTCTGTTGTGCTAGGGATCTCGACACAAGGAGGTGAGCGTTCGACAATCTCTTTTAGAAACATAAACTTTGAAAATTTCTTGAATTGTTCATGATTTCAGACGTTTCATTTCTCACATACCACGTTCCATACTTACGAGTTTCCTACACTCGTTGTGTATCCAGAGGGAAGTTTCAGCCTGTTTTACTTCCTGAAGTATTGCGACTACTTAGAGTTTGGTATTGCTAGACCTTTTTACCTGGTGATTGTATGCAACGAACTTGGATAATAGAATCGACGACGATAAGTACCTCGTAGAGGATTTTCTTTTCTTTAAAAAAAACCGTTACGGAAGCAATAAAGATTAGCAATAAAAATTGAAAGATAATTTTTGGGGTGAAGTGAATTAATTAAGGACGAACCGATGCTTATATTTTACGTTATACTAGGAACCTTATTCATAGTTAAGAAGAATTGAATGATTGATATGTTACCTGTTCACATTCAATTCTTCCAACCAAAGTTCTTGCAAAAATCAGCTCATATCGTTAAGTAGAACATTAAGTATTAGTGACCTTTGAGTTTTTCTTTAGCGTGATTTATCATATCCATATATTAGGTCATACCCTGGGTATTAGTTTAGGATTGAATCTTGTAGTTATCTCTCGTATATTTTAGTGATTTTTGTAATAAAAGCCGGCCAAATCACTTGGCGCCCATTTTGATTAGAAAACTTTTATTTTATTGGTGATAACATCTTTGATTCACGGCCCTGTTGAATGTTTCGAGTTGGTAACTAAACCGACCGTACTTAAACAAAAAAAGTAACTACGTTTCATCTAGAAATTAACAAACCCACGGATAAACGTAATTGTTTTTGAAGAGTATTTCTCAATATAATTTTCAGTCCATATGGAAAATTACAGCCACATGAATATTTATATGTTCTCCCCATTTTTCATAAATTGTAGTACTGTTAAAAAATAAAAGATGGAACTCCCAAATGAGGATATCCCTATACACTACGTGAAGTAAATTTTGTATGAAACGAAAGTCATTTTTGTGGGAGAAATTAAAGTTCTTCGTTAGTTTTTGGTAGCTCCACGAAGTTACTGTAAGGATTCTGTTAAGAACCCTACTATATTTAGTTATAAAAATTATCATGAGCATATCAGAATATATTTCGGATTTGGCATCACCCCGTATACGTTCATTTCCTCGTGCATATCGTCTAGAGGACTAGCCAAAAAATTGCTCTTCGCGATAGACGAACAGAATGTTTTGAGTTTTTGAAAGTGACAGTACGAATGTGAAAACGTACGAGCCGGTGATGCTATCGAGTGTCCAGAAATCAAAGTGCCGATTTACGTGTGTTCCTTTATACCCACAAAGCAACCAACCCCTTCACAATCTACTATTCGCTGCTGATTGGGTGGATGCATCCCCTCTACCCAGAAGATTTGTTTAAAAAAATAAGGTGCATGTTAAAATTTCCTGGGCTACATACATTAGATGAGAGATTTTTTGTTTTTATGTTGGGACATTCCTCTTGAACATATGTTCAGTTTTAGCTGTTCAGCAAGTTCAGTTTGTTTGCGAGTTCGGCGATTTTCTGCTATCGCAAAAAATGCATCGAAAGATGCTTCCAATTTTGTGTGAAAAACTGAATTGAGAGCTCAAAAGCACTTGAAATGTTGACAGTGGCATATTGTGGTTGTACTCTGAGTCAGAAAAATGTTTACAAGTGGTAGAAGCTTTTCACAGAAAATCGAGCAGATTTGAATGACAACAGTCGCCCTGGACGCTCCAGCACATCAACAGCCGATGAAAATGTTGAGAAACTGAGAAAAACTGTCAGGGAGAATCGTCGAATCAATATCAGGAACACTGCTTAGAATATAGTTGTATGCCATTTGATTTTTTTCAGAAATTTTGGACATGAATCGTGTGGCAGCGAAGTTTGTCCCAAAATTGCTAATTTTTTGTCAAAAAAACCATCGCACGAGCATCGCCCATAAATTGTTGGATAAGGTCAACGTGCATATGATTATGAAATCGAAACCAAAGTCCAATCATACCAATGAAAGAGCCTAGGAGAACCAGGATCAAAAAAGCACGCCAAGTTCGATCCAATTTTAAGGTTGCGCTCACTGTTTTTTCGATTACTGTGGCATAGTGTATCAGGGGTTTTTGCCTAACGGTCGTACGGTTATTTTGAAGTTATGTGCCGCTTGCGAGAAGCAACATGAAGAAAACCTCCGGTAATGTGGGAAAACAACTCATGGCTTTTGCATCATGATGATGTATTGCTTGTTCGTGAGTTTTCGGACGAAAACAACACCGTAATCATGCCCCAGCCACCGCATTTAACAGATTTGGCCTACTGCGACTTTTTTCTGTTCCCAAGATTGAAAAGACACATGAAAAAAGTGAATTATATCTGAGGGGGATCACTTTGAAGGGGACAAAATACGAATTGATGAATAAGTAAATAGAAAAATGAAAATTTACCTTATTTTTTAACCAACCTCGTGTATTATTATGTGACAAAAGTGCTGTTAATAGCCTGACATGTATCTCTGTTTTTAGAATTGAAAATCAACTATAATTCGCAATTCCCATCACAAAATTTGTCTTATTTTGAAATGTTTTCGATAGAAGTCAGAAAAAAATTGAAATATGGGGTATATTGAAGTTGGCTCAATTTTCACATTTTTCTCCAGGATGGGTACTTATAAAAACGAATTTTTCAGATCCGAGTGGAAAATTGATGAAAAAAAACATTTAAAGCTATATATATTTTTTCCATACATCTCTATAAGAAATCATAGAGTCTGTCAAATACAGGGAGTCTTTTAACGAGCTTCCATCGTATAAGACCATAGGGTTTTTCGAAAATAGTTTTCAAAATACAAAATATCCACCAGGAGCATATCGTAACAAAGTTAATATTTTTTTCAAAGGAAATGACATATATTTCTTTTCTTAATCAGTTTCCGATAGAAAAGTTTTTTAAAAAATATCATTGTATAGATTTACTAAACAGTTCAGAAGTTATTTTAAAAATAATGTCGTCTTCAGGAAACGTGCGTCAAAAGCATTTCTGTTAATTGAAAAAATTGCTTGTTTCTGAATACTGAAAGCAATCTATGGCATGTCATTCACAAAAACCTCACTAGAAAACCCCATGTTCCTACTAGATACCCTGTATAATGAAAAATGTTTTATAAAAGCCTAATGCGTTGATATCTGGCACTTTTCTAAGAAACATTTTTTGATAACTTTGGAGCTCCATCTCAAATTCCTGATGGAACCTCAATGTGACACAAACTAAAGGGTGAGTCAACAAGATTCTCTCGGTCCATTGCTATCAGAGGAAACAATTTTTTGTGCTGCTAAATTTTGTTTTGCAGTCATGTCGATGAATACTATCTTTCAAATTCAGCCGAGCATGGCCAACCGAAGTTATATGTTTTTAAATAGAACACCCAGTATATGAATACGCCATTCGATTCTATATTTATATCTCTCTAGGGAATTTTTGTTTTCAAATTTTCATTGCACCATTGCCGAGTTATTCCAGAAAAACCTATTTTTGCAGATAATATTTTTTTAATCCCCCACTCGCATGTCTACAACAATTGAGTGGATTTTTCGAATACTTAGTAAATATTACTATGATAATTTCTGTGTTACTGTTCTGATATTATGTGTTGCAGAAAATGGTCGCCATTTTGAACATCTTTTGGACTCCTCTATTCAATAAAAATTCAGGCGTTATTGTTCATATTGAAACATTTTTTGAGTGAGTGAACGTGAATAAATGAATATTTTGTAGTAACAACAATTAATAAAATTGGGTATGATTTGTAAAATATCTATTTTTCGTATAGTATACCTCTGATAAAAGATGTAGTGAAATGTTGAAAGATTTCATATGAATGAAAAAATACAGGGTGTTCCATTTGAAAGAGTTGAATTATGTCTGTTTGAAAGTAGAGATTCCCGAAATTATCATAGTGATGTTGAGTAACTATTCCTAAAAAAGTTTACTCAGTTGCTGTAGACATGCGGGTGGTGAATTAAAAAAATATGGTCTATATAAATATTGCTATGATGAAACAGTACAGGAAATTTACATATAATCACGTCAAAATATTTCGAACATTTTCTACGCTGGAAAAATCCATCAATAAATTCAAAGGTCTCACCGTATATATTCAGCCTGGCAGAATGGGAACTTTTACCCGCTCTGTTTTCTGCTGTGCACGTGTATTCACCACCATCCTCCACCATCACGTTGCTAATGTTGACGTGGCTTATCACATCCCCGTGAACAGTGACGTATTGCCCAATCACAAATCTGCAAATTAAAAGTATGGAAATATTATTTCACACCATTATTATTCCGGTGGATGTTTTATTATTAGGGTTTGCCATATTTTTCTGCAATCAAAGTACATTGATTTTTAGAGGTGAGAAAATTAAAGTACTCAGTATCAAAATGCAATTCATTTGTCTTCATTAATTTGTTTCAAAACATATTATCCGTTGCTTTTTGCAAATTGTTTTAAATTGTGATCAACGCTGAACAATTGCAGCCACCAATCTGAGAGAGGCTACTATACTGGCAAAAGTGAAGTTGCCCACAAGGAGAAGCATTATCGCCACTGTGTGGGTGACCGTAGTCGACACCCTCCTCAGGAAGCTGACAGTGGAAGGCTTTCATTGTCTATGATATGTGGACGATTTGGCGAGAGTCACAAAAGGCAAATTTTTTGGCGTTATATCAAATGGTACTTAGATGTTCGTCTCTCAAAAAAGTACCGTCGTTGTGTTTGCAAGCAGAAGAGCAACCAGAAGACTGAAACCACCCATGCTCAACGAAATGGAGATTCCATTCGCCTCGGAAGTCGAAAATCTAAGGGTGATTTCCAACCATAGACTTATGTGAAAACTCCACTTCGAAAAAACAGCCGATAAGGCCAGGTTGGCCCTGGAAATGGTCCAAAAATGGATAGTGAGGACGAATAGGCTTTAAAGGTTGCATTCGGAGGTTTGCATGCCTGAGTGTCATGAGAGCCCCTGCAATTTCTAAGGTTCTGCTTGAACTCGAATGGTGATGACACACAGGATGATGCAGGGGCAAGCTCCGATCAGCAAGTTACACGGGAAAAAACCTAAAACTGTACAACGAATTGGGGGCAGATTTGATACTGGGAATGTCAGTGGATAATACAGTCTCACAGTAAATCACACCAATGATCACATCAAGCAGTGAGGACGTGAAAAACGATTCACCGGTTGAAGAAGAACAAACTTGCAAAGCGGAGACGGGAACCGCACTCAGCATCGGACAGAAAGCAACAGTGTTCCGAGCACTGCCTAGAAGAAATGCTCAGGTAGGAGGTTGAACACTAAACCATTGCCATTTTCTCCGATATCCAGGTGGCAATTGAGGCGCTCAGCTCCTACCAAGTCTTATTTGTAGGGAGCTGTCTTATCGCACTCAATGAGCTAGATTTCCAAGAATAAGTTGAAATCTCCTACTTTTCCATAATAGAGTTACTCTAGCCTGCATACCCGAACACGAAGAATACAATGGCAATAGGAAAGTCGATACGTTAGCCCATGAAGGTGTATCCAAGTCCATGCTAGGTCCAGGAACTTTTGGTGGTCTGGAGAAGACAAACATAAATACATCTATGAGTTTGTGAATGCAAGTCAAATCGCTGAATTGGTGAAACAAGCTTCCAGGAATGAGTTAGTCGAAGAAGTTCATGGAGAAACTCTCCAACAAATTTACGGAAGACCTGGTAAACCGCAACCACAAGCTATAAGCTATATGAAGAAGCCCATATCTGTATAGGTCGTGGTAAAATAGGCCACATGCCAGCTCCAGCTCCCCAGTTTGAATCTGAAAGTTACTTTTTTGCATGATCTACACTTCTTTGTAAAGAGTTTATTCTGAAATTGACTGGTTTCTTTCTACATTTGGAATTTTTCCACATTTTCTGTATAAAAATGGAAAAGTAGAAAGCCAAAACCTTTCTTTCCTGAATTATCATTACCAAATTACTAAAAACACAAATAGTAATAGAAAGTATCAATACAAACATACAATACACATACATTTGCCAACAATGACAAATTGATGAGTGATTAAGCGTCTATCTTTTTGAAGCACCAATATATTTTGAATGTTAGTTTAGACTTTGTATTTATCGAGTTTTCTGGTATAATGTTACATATTGTGTGTGAAGGATTTTTGACCTTGTTTGCCCTTGTTTACCTTAGGCAAGAATGCATGTTTCTTCATCAATACTCGGGTATTGAAGGTGTTCTTCAGCTTGTTTGGGTAGATCGTATTTTTTTTCAGTAAAAGTAACCGTCATTTCATAACAGAAGTTCCACAGATATTCGATATATTCAGATCTTTCAGTTCACCAAACCGCAACACGTGTTTCTATATACAATAGCTTCCTCAAGCATTTTCATCTACATGTAATTGATCTGAAAGCGAAATTTTGGTCACAGGTTCCAGTTTGGTTTCCGCACTCTCCCTCCAAGTCCAATTATACCGTAACTAAGTAATGATCGTGCTGAGGTACTTTCATAGCGTACGGTATTCGTGATCTCGACATTTTAGTCGTTGAAATGTATAATAATAATAATAAATGAAGGTTACTCAGTACAAGAGATACTAGGTTAGGTTGGGTTACGTCAATAGTGAGTGGGTCTATTCGACCCATCACCGCAACCGGCAAGTGTTCATTGTGACAAAGACCTATTCACACCCGACCAAATGAACCCAGCTTCTCAACGGAGTCAATTAGTGATCTGAAAACCTGATTCGGTCCGCAGTGGGTCAGGCACAAAGTATGTTCTTTGCTGTTTCATCAATTCCCAAACAGAGACGACATACACTGTCCTTCGACAGTCCGAGTCGCTGCATATGATGATTCAGATGACAGTGACATATGAGAAGACCTGATAAACATCGTAGTTCATCCCAACTGTGGTTCAACAACTGTTTAGGTTCAAGCTTGGCAGGGTGACTGAATGCCTTGGAGTGAGCCAATCCTGAAAGATTTTGCCATAAGTTCATAAATCTCTTTACCAACCAGGTGTTTAATGTTTGTTTGGCAAAGGCTAAAGAGACGCCAGTGACAGGTTCTGATTCGATGAAGCTTTTTGCAGCACCCTTGTCTGCAAGAGAGTCAGAAGCTTCATTGCCTTCCAGGCCAGAGTGACCAGGAATTGAGACCATATATAATTTGTTGAATCTTCCTATTGAGTAGGAGCCAAAACCTTCCAACGCCGCTTGACTGTCCTAGAATATTTTTATTGACTTGTGTATGAGGTTACATTCTACCAATCTCTCCTCACACAATTCAATAGCATTGATTTCCGCATGAAATACAGTTGCATAGGTGCCTAGGCAGATTGATATCGCTGTTTTGGTATGGGACTGAAAACACCTGCACCAGAAGATATACTAACGTGACCTAAAAAATGGCAGAATTCACTATCTGCACATGATGCATAAAAGCATACATTGCAAGTGAAATCAATTTAAATCGGTCTTTCATCTATTTAAAGTCACTTTCGGAGTTTTGCCAGGAATCAGTGCGATATAATAAAATCGTTCGACTGAGGATACACTACAAAAACACAGTTTTGTCTATTTTCCACGATATTTCTTTATTGTTGACTAGTTTCGGCTATTACACCATTTTCAAAACTAACTGATTACATTTGAATCTGAGTAATTTATACCTAAGTTGCCTATCCTATCATAAATAATTTGGTACCTAAATTTTGTATACCTGTAATATCCATGAACATAACAAAACAAAGCTTTTGATATAATGTAGGTTTTGGAAACTGGATTATAGATTCAGGAGAGGACTATTATTTAGATCAAGTTGTTCGCTGAGAAAAATAGAATTGGGATTTTTCTTTGACTTGTTTATTTCCATAGATTCCTACAGATTCATCATTTTCCCTTTTTCGCATGTGTGAAGGATCTTTAAATTATCTTTGTCTATTTTATTTCGAATTTTGAAGATGTTCGTACATTAATGATTTTTTATCCGAAATGACATGTTCATGGTACCTTGTATCAAAATTTCTACCAGTTTGGCCTGTATATATGGCGGAGCATTCATCACATTCTAGTTGATATATACCAAATCTCTTCCCTTTGTCTAATTTCGTCTGTTTCCTAAAATCCCGTTGGATTTGTAGGATGTTTGCAGATTGAATTTTGAAAGATAATATAATTTTCAATATTTTCGGAGATTCTACCGGCTTAATTGATACTAACATATTCGTGTTCTGGTCTTGTGGAAATTGAATATAGTTCTTAACTAGAGTGATAGGTATTTTGTTATTAACTGCTATTTGTTTAATAATTGCGATTTCATTTCGGAGGTTTTGATCAGAAAGGGGTATTGTGAAAGCCCTATGTATCATTGACCTGAATGCAGACAATTATGCCGGTAGAATCTTCGAGAATATTAAAAATTATCTCTCAAAATTCAGTATACAAACATCCTTCACATCCATCGGGAATTTAGGATACATATTATTCAATGCCAAACCTAAATTAGACAAAGGAAAGAGACCTGGTATATATCGACTAGAATAAGGTGCATGCTCTGCCATATATACAGGCCAAACTGGTAGAAATGTTGATACAAGGTATCATGAACATGTCATTTCGGATAAAAAATCATTAATGTACGAACATCTTCAAAATTCGAAACATAAAATAGATAAATATTATTCAAAGATCCTTTATACATGCGAAAAAGGGAAAATGATGAATCTGTTGGAATCTATGGAAATAAAAAAGTCAAAGAAAAATCCCAATTCTATTGTTCTCAACGAACAACTTGATCTAAATAATAATCCTCTCCTGAATCTATAATCCAGTTCCCAAAACCTACTTTATATCAAAATCTGTGTTTTGTTATGTTCATGGATATTACAGGTATACAAAATGTAGGTACCAAATTATTTTTGATAGGATAGGCAACTTAGTTATAAATTACTCAGTTAGTTAGTTAATCAGTTAGTTTTGAAAATGGTGTAATAGCCGAAACTAGTCAACAATAAAGAAATATAGTGGAAAATAGGCAAAAGTGTGTTTTTGTAGTGTTCTCAGTGAACATGAATTTCCACAAAATAAACAAGTCGTCAATCAAAGACGTAAAATCGTTCGAACTTCGAATGAAATAACTATGCCAGAGGATTCTGAGATTGAAATATTTGAATATATTACGGAAATTATAGATCTGAGAACAGTACCAGGTGGAACTCCATCATCTTTGATGACCCTGCTAGTATCGGTAATAG